CAATAAAGATGTTAATTTAACATTACTATGTTGAAGTTCTTTTGCTGAATACTGTTAGGAGCTCTTTTGTCTATTTGTAAGCTAAATGGAGACAGTCTTACTACTTAGATCCTAGTTGAGAGCAGAATACAAATGAAAATCACTGAATCCAACTCTAGAAATCTTAGAAGAGGAAGTTAAGGAGTGATATTAAAAACAACAAACACTGGGATTAGATGGATTTATTTTTTAAAAAATTAAGTTGTAAAGATGCAGCTAAGGAAAGTTGGAGATATCCCCCAGATGCAGAGAAAAACTGGAATAGCAGCTATTCCTAAGCCTAGAACAGGATGCATGTACAGTGGAACCTCGGGTTACATACGCTTCAGGTTACAGACTCCGCTAACCCAGAAATAGTACCTCAGGTTAAGAACTTTGCTTCAGGATGAGAATAGAAATCGTGCGGCGGCGGCACAATGGCAGCAGGAGGCTCCATTAGCTAAAGTGGTACCCCAGGTTAAGAACAGTTTCAGGTTAAGAACAGACATCCAGAACGAATTGAGTACTTAACCTGAGGTACCACTGTATCTGGAATCTTACAGGCCCATCGTTCTACTAAACAAAGATGCTAATTTATTCAAACATCCTTGCCAAAAGTGTTAAGTGCTATATTAAGAACCAAAAAGGTTTGTTCACTGTGGACAGAGGGTTCAGTATATACAATATATCCACAGAACTTGCCTCTGAACAATGGCCTCCCTGGAGGAAAACTGCCATGGCATTTATCTGAGGCACTTTGTCCATACTGCACTTCAAACTGTGTATAATCTGTTCCTTACATCCTTACTGCTCACAGGAAACTCTCTGCAAGCAATTTAGCAACTCCTGTCTATCTCACTTTTAATACCAACAGAAAACTGCTTTTTCAAGATTCGGAAAAGTATGGTTCAAAGAGTGGGGAACTCCATTCTCATGAACAGCTAACTCAAAAATAAGGGGTTATGAAACCTACTTGGTCCCACCTGTTCCAAGCAAGACATTTGTGCCTCTGACAAATTTTCAGCACTGGGTAATGAATAGGTTGAATATAGCAGTAAAAAGTTTTCACATTATATAACACGCTGCTTGGTATTTCAGGCAGACGGCACAGAAAAGGTTGAAATCTGCATGGCAAGAGGATCTGTAGGAACCCTTTGTCTGCAGGCGGGAAAGCTGATCCAGCATCTGGAGACAACAGCAGCCTTTCAACATGGGTTAGAGAATGCTCATTGATATCTGTCCAAAAGCTGACATTTGTCCTCACTGCAACTGCACAGCGTTTATAAAATCCTACATCCCAGTGTTGGAGGGCTTATGGGAAAACAAATACAATACTGAGGCCAGTGTTGAGAACAAATATTTAGTGCTTCTACCTGAACCTTATTGCTCTCTTTAGAGACCCTGCTCTGAGGCTCCTCACCAAAAGAAATGAGGTGGAGGACCACCTTTTTGTGGTGGCAACCCAGTTATAGAACAGCCTTTCCAGAGAAGTTTACCGGGCACTATCTTTATGGTCCTTTAAGGTCCATAAATAGCAACATCCTAGAGGTCCCGGGCCCTAATGAAGTTAGATTAGCCTCAACCAGAGCCAGGGCCTTTTCAACTCTGGCTCCGGCCTGGTGGAATGCTCTGCCTCATGAGACCAGGGCCCTGCAGGATCTGATTTCTTTCCGCAGGGCCTGTAAGACAGAGTTGTTCCGCCTGGTCTTTGGCTTGGAGTCAATTTTATTCCCTCCCCCTCTTTCTTTTTGCCTTTGTCCTCCTGTGATGAGGCTGCATTTTAATGTTTTAATGTCATATTTTAATCTTGTTTTTAAGTTGTATTCATTCAGCTTGTTTTTATTATTGGTTGTTAGCCGCTCTGAGCCCGGCCTTGGCTGGGGAGGGCGGGGTATAAATAAAATATATTATTACTATTATGTCTCCCACCCTGCCAAAATCTGTTTTCCAGGTGGGGCTATACCAGGGTTTCCCCAACCTGGGTCTCCAGCTGTTTTTGGATTACAATTCCCATCATCCCTGACCACCGGTCTTGCTAGTTAGGGATGATAGGAGTTGTAGTCCAACAACAGCTCGAATTGGGAAACCCTGGGCTATATGAATAGACAGAGACCAAATCTAAATAGGGCAAAAGCGTCCAGGAGGGTGATCTTTACAGTGGTACCTCGGGTTACATACCTTCAGGTTACAGATGCTTCAGGTTACAGACTCCGCTAACCCAGAAATAGTACCTCGGGTTAAGAACTTTGCTTCAGGATGAGAACAGAAATCGCGCTCCGGCAGCACGGCAGCAGCAGGAGGCCCCCATTAGCTAAAGTGGTGCTTCAGGTTAAGAACAGTTTCAGGTTAAGAACGGACCTCCGGAATGAATTAAGTACTTAACCTGAGGTACCACTGTATTTCAGTGCTGCAGCAGGATCCCTTGCCCGACAAGTAAGGAGGGGGGCAAGAGATGCCCATGGCGTAGAACAAAGAACCCTTATGCATCTTCTCAAATGAAGAACTTTAAGCTAATTGGTGACATTTTGTTGTGGCCTGCACACACTGCTCACGGCCACTTATCAACGGCTACATTCCTACCCTATCAGGCTACTTTTGAAGTAGACTTTGCTCCACAGTGGGGGCTCCTCTTGCTTATCTTCAACCTCCCTCCTCATCTGTCTCACAACTATCAGGTTGCATAAACATTAGGCATTCAATTGTCCGCCCTTGGCCTTGCTCAAATGCAAGTATTGTTCAGACAGCTGCGTTGTTCCAAATTAGTTCTTCACAGGTGCCGGGTTAATATCTTTTTATTCACATGAGCCTCTTAACTAAAACTTACGCCAGGCATCCCCAAACTCGGCTCACCAGATGTTTTGGGACTACAATTCCCATCATCCCCGACCACTGGTCCTGTTAGCTAGGGATTGTGGGAGTTGTACTCCCAAAACATCTGGAGGGCCAAGTTTGGGGGTGCCTGACTTATGCATTTCATTCTGGGTCTCTCAGTTTTAAACTGGGGTTTGTTTGCTTTAAAATAATAATAACATAGTTCAATAATGACACCTTCAATATAAAAATTTAAAAATAATGCTTGTTGCTGCGGGACATTCATGTTTGCTGGAGTTCTTCAGTCATTGGGACATTGGTTAGAAATATGCAAACTAAAAGGGAAATTACATGATATATTACACTAATGGAGCACAGTAGCCTGGCTGGCTCAGCAATGCCATGGGGGGCCGGAAAAGGACCAGGTAGGAACAAAGTGGTTCTGAACTCCTCTCTGTGAACCTGCACATTTGCTTAGCTCCATAAACCATAGTTTCGCTTACTCATGATTCACAACCCAGACCAGCATCTGCCTGGCTTGTTATTTGCGGCTGACATGGAAGGCACAGTTTTATAAAATATTACGGAGTTTACTTGCAAGGGACAATGGTTCAAAAGTTCCTGATAACCAGAATAATAATTCCCCATATTTAATAAACTGGTACTGTATTTCATACTTTGGAATGTTGCTTGCATGGCAAGACACTCTTTGGTTAAAAATGGTAGAAAGGTTTGTTGTTTAAATTTTTTTGCAGTTTGCAATTACACATATAGCGTCAATTTGATTTCTTGTAACTAATATAGCTACATCATAATAAACATAACAAATATACACAATTTCTACTCATGATGCCATTGTTTATATAAATATCAGGTGGCAAACTCTTGTTGTTGTTGTTTTTAAATGCAACAGAATTTGGTAAGAAGTATGAGGATGACTACATGTGGCTCACTAGCTCTTCCTAGACTGTGGGGCTAATAAGCATCTTCTACGTTGAAGAATTATTATGTTCAGCTGCTCAGTTTTCCTCCTGCCAAAGTGTCCTGAAATAGCAACAAATTAGACCCCTGTCTTTGAAGCTTCAAGTTTCTGCCTGGAATGAAATTAAAAGGGAAGAACGAAGATTCAGACCTAAAGCATCTGTAATCTTGCTAGGAGTCTCTCTTCACTCCTGTTAGACCTAGGTTGTTTATAAAGCCTCAGATGCCATCCTGACCACAGTTCCTTGGGAGTAACCATCACACAACCCAGTGGGACTTACTTCTAAGCAGGGGGAAGGTCCTGGATTTACAGAAGCCATCCCAGTTTGATCCCGGAATGTCCCACTTTTCCTTAGGACGTCCCTATTTTGACTGGAGAAATGTTGGAGGGTATGGAGTTATCTGAGCTCTGAGCTATCTTAAGGCAGCCTTTCAGCTTCCAGCAGAATATTAAAATACAATGATTCACCCAATATTAAAAGCTTCCCTAAACAGGGCTGCCTTCAGATGTCTTCTCAAAGCCCGATAGTTGTTTATTTCTTTGACATCTGATGGGAGGGCAGATGTGGTACTATGACTTCCCTTCCTCTGGACACTATACTTCTGTTAGGGCTGCCATATTTCCAAGAGCCAAAAACATTTGTCGACTTCCACTTTTAACTATGGAGCGCGATGACGGCTCTCATTTCAAAGATCCATGAAGAAGAAGAAGAAAAGGACTTGTCCTGGAAAAAGAGGACATACAGTGGTACCTCAGGTTAAGAACTTAATTCGTTCTGGAGGTCCATTCTTAACCTGAAAATGTTCTTAACCTGAGGTTCTTAACTTTAGCTAATGGAGCCTCCAGCTGCCACCACTGCACGATTTCTGTTCTCATCCTGAAGCAAAGTTCTTAACCTGAGGTACTATTTCTGGGTTAGCGGAGTCTGTAACCTGAAGCGTCTGTAACCCGAGGTGCCACTGTATATGGCAACCGTGTTGATGCAGCCTAGGATAGCATTAACTCTTTTTTGCTGCTGCATCATCACACTGTTGACTGATGTTAAGCTGGTGGTCCACCACCAGCTGAACGTGTTGCGCGTGCTCTTCCTATGGGTGGCCTGGCTTCTCCACCCGATCCATCTCCCCGCTGCCCTAGGGGTCGCCATAGGGATTGGGTAGGCAGGCTCCTTAGTGTATAATCCGGGGTGGGTGGGTGTGTGAAGAAGAGGCCACCGAATGCATTGCCTGGCAACGCGTCTGGGATCTGCCGCATTCCGTCCCGAGGACTCGGCGGGAGAATGTTTCTTTTCTGTCGTTACGTCTAAAGCGGCGCCTGCGGAACGGCGCCTTTTATTTCCATTTCTTCCCTTCCCTCGGAGCGGGGAGGAGGAGAGGAATTCGCTGGGCTTGGAAACTTGCTGCTACCAGCAGACGACGCTCCTTCCTCTCTGCTTTCCGTCCAAGCCGGCGGAAGGCAGCTCGCCTCCCTCTCGCACGGCAGAGCCAGGTAAGCTGCCGGCTGCTGCCCTGGGAACGAGGCTGAGGGGGCAAAGGCGCGCAAGGGCAGCTGCGCGCCGTGTGCGCCGGCCGCCGCCTCCTCCTCCGCCTCCTCTCAGCCCCCTTGACGAAGCGGGCCTGAGGTGGAGGAAGCGGGGCCGCCGCCGCCGCCGCGTCTCGCCGGCTTGGCTGTTTTAGGGAGCGGCGGCTGCTTCTAGGCGAGGCTGCGGCTTCTCTCAGGTACAGGCTCGGCGGCGGGGAGGAAGGCGCCGTGTGGGGCTGGCGGGAACGGAGCGAGAAAAGGCGCGGGGAAAGGGGAGGCCAAAACGAGGGTGGAAGAAGAGATATTCAGGGGAAGGAAAGGAGGCGGCGGCGGGTTGGTTTGTTTATTTGCCCCCCCCCTTTTTTTGGAGAGGGCGAGCAGCACCCCCAGGCCCAGGCCCCTCTCCTTCCCACGTTCCTTTGCTGGAGAAGCCCCTCGGGGGCTGCAACCCGACGGCCTCCTCTTCGGGAGAGTTGCCAAGGCCACGGGGCTGTCTTGGGCATGTCGGCGCACGCGGCTCCTCTCCCAGCCCAGACAGGCTTGGCTGCTGTCGCTGCAGGTGTATATGGGGCTGGAGCTGTCAATAATTGAGGAGCAACCCTCACGACGGCGTCGGGTTTCTCCGCTTCTCGGCGCGGAACGCAGCGCGTCTTGGCTGGGAGGGAAGGAGTTTGCTTTTTGTAAGCTTGTCCGAAAGCATGCCTTTCGCTTGCGTGGGTTTATGCGCTTTCCCCTCCCTGCCCCTTCCAGAATCGATGCTTTTGCACAACCTCATTATGCTGCCCATAGAAACCAACTCCTATAAAATATTTGACGGGGGGGGGGGCAAACCACCCCCTCCCCAAGTTGATGGGCATTGCAATTCAAATGGAGTGTGATCGATTATGCTGGGCAGGGTTACCGCCCCCCCCCCACTTACAGTGGTACCTCGGGTTAAGTACTTAATTCGTTCTGGAGGTCTGTTCTTAACCTGAAACTGTTCTTAACCTGAAGCACCACTTAAGCTAATGGGGCCTCCCACTGCCGCTGCGCTGCGGCTGCATGATTTCTGTTCTCATCCTGAAGCAAAGTTCTTAACCCGAGGTAGTATTTCTGGATTAGCGGAGTCTGTAACCTGAAGTGTATGTAACCTGAAGCGTATGTAACCCGAGGTACCACTGTATTTTGTTCAAGTTGGCACCCCGGATGCTGCATATGAATTAGGCATCAAGTGGACATCGCTGCAGTTTTGCAGATAATGAGATATGCACGCAGGGTGGGGTGGGAGAAGAAGAGCAATAGCAAGCCAGGTCCAAGGGATGAGGCTTTAGTAACACCTACTGCTTAAATTAGAAACATCCATTTGGGTGGCATGAGAGGGCAGTGTGCCTCCTCACGTTTGGAATGCAGACTGTGGTGCTTTAAGAACAAATCCCAAGGCTGTTCTTCTAGAGCCACAGCCAGAGTGGATAGCTGTCAAGATATCAATGCAGCCACCGTCAGTTATCTTTTGGTATGCCTGCACATGCTTTGATTATGGGAAGGAACAGTCCATATCTAGCTGCAGACAAGGAAAGGCCATCTTGTTTTCCTTTGAGGAGCAGCTGTATTTTACAATTCGCTTCTACTGTAGTCGTTCTGGGTTCTGGTTAGGATTTTGGGGACTGATTTTGTTTAACCGTAAAGAGAGGCTGTGGGGAAAAAATAAGACCAACAAGAGCACAAATTAATTCTCTGGTTTCCCTATCACCACCAGCTGCTCTCTCTGCAATGGCATGCCAAGCCCTGAATTGATGCTGCATCTTCCTGTGGCGCAAAGGCATAAGATAAAAGTGAATAATGCAGATTGAACACATGTATGTTAGGGCTGCTGTCTTGTCAAGCCGTTTTGGCAGGAGGTTCCAGAAGCAATAAAAATAGATGATAGGATATGATGTTCTGTTAAATCCTAAAGGACTCTTTCTGGGATGTTTGAAGGGTCACACCTGACAGGAAGACTTGGAAATTTCGAAGAGTTTTACGTGCGATAGCAAGATAAGTGGTAGCTGCATCTTGGAAATCCTCGAGAATATTTTGGTATGAGGAAATTTGACATTTCTAACCAAAATGTACAGATTAATAGGAGGGTGCTCAACAGACAGGTTTATTGAAAAGTGGTGTTTATTTATAATCAGTGGAATATGAAATACCATGATAATTGAACCATATATATTATTTTGATAGGTCCAACATGTTGTTGTTGTTGTTGTTGTTGTTTTGTTGTTGTAAATTTAAATCATATCTTCATATGCTGTATATTTTATTATCTAAAAGTAATACGGTTTTTTACGTTTGCGTTTTCACAAAAACAAAAATTGTTTTACAAAAATGAAATATGGTAGATTTGAATTGGAAGAGCAAATAAGAACGGTCAGCTAATTAACTTGCCATTAAATTTGTGTTATCGTCAACACAGCTTTGCAAATATGAATGGTCACTATAATGATTTTACCGTTAATGTAATTGTCACAGTCTGGTCTTGTATTGCATTTATCCCTTATCGCTTACACATTCCCACTCCCCATCTGCATTCCCATGCAACCTTATGTATGTATAGATCGGTCAAATTACATAAAATTGAATGCATCTGAAGTGGAGACTAGTCCGCAAAAGCCTATGCTATATATTGCAAGCCTTTCCGTAGCTTTTAATGCAACAGGCTTGCATGGCTAACACGCTGGATATATGTTAGCTGATTGACAGTGATTGCCTGCTTCATGTGGAAAGTTGATTGCATTGACAAAACGTTGATTTTCCTCTAGCAGGCCATAAGCAGAGTAAGTTTTTGGCAGTACAGTCGTACTTTGGAAGTCAAACGCTTTGCGAGTTGAATGTTTTGGCTTCTGAATGCCGCCAACCTGGATGTGATTGTTCCGGTTGGCAAACGTTCTTTGGAACCTGAACGTCCATCGCGGCTTCCAGTTGGCTGCAGGAGCTTCTGTGTCTTGGTTCCCGAACATTTTGGAAGTCGAACGGACTTCTGGAACGGATTCCGTTCGACTTCCAAGGTCTGACTGTACTGCATAAGAACGTAAAAGCTCTGCTGGATCAGACTAAAGGCCCATCTAGTCCAGCGTTCTGTTCTCACGGTGGCCAACCAGTTGCCCTTCGGAGGCCCACAAGCAAAACATGAACCTTAACTGCATTTTGCCAGTGGTGATTCCCAGCAGCTGTCAGCCAGGGGCACATTGCCTCTGATGCTAACTGTAATATAGCTGTTGTCTGTAGTAGTGAAATACGTACCGGTATGTTGAAGTTTATATTTCAGCCATTCTTTGGCAGTTCATGCCACTAGGACTGCAACACTCAGCCTTCTCCTTTTTTAAAAAAACAAACCATAATCCCATTAGAACTACTGTTTTATTAATGTGCATATTTGTGCATAATTAATCAGCAATTAATCAATTAAACCGCATAGCTTATTCCACTATGATTTCTTCAGACAAGTGGCCACTCTGTTTGCCAGCAGCTCCTACAGTTGCTCATTGGGCTGGCTCACTGTAAAACTGTGTTTCCCTTGTTAAATGGCAACTTTAGCAGAAGCCTGCTTTCTTAACCTTACTTTTTTGCAAGTGACTTCAGCTGAAATAAGCGTAACTCTGAATAAATACTGTTAGGAGTGCTTGTGTCTGAGAGCTGTCAGGCTAGTTGGCATGAGGGAGAGGACCTTTTCAGTGGTGGCTCCATACTTTTGGGTTGAATTGCTGGCTGGGGTTCTTCAGGCTTAAGGAGAATCCCAAAACTCATGTTTTTAGTACCACTTCTTTGAAATATATTTTTTGTGGTTCCCTCCTCCCCTTTATTGTAACTGTCTTTTGTTGTGTTTTTATTGTTGTTCGCACTGTATTTTTTATGGTTCACCATATCAAGTAGGCTTGGACCCTTAATGGCAGTTTAGAAGTATTTTAAAAGAAATAAACGAATTAGGAGTATGTTACTTTAAATAGTTCATATTAATGTTTGGACTGAAAAACAAAATGAGCATATGACTGAGGTACTATGCCCTTTGTACTGCATCTTTTAACTGATTCCTGCCCTGTAAATAGTGATTCTACTTTTAAAGAGTGTGCACAGCTTTTCCTAATCTCTTGACGTATTGGCAATATTCTGAGCAGATTTAAGAGTAATCCAGTTCCATTTGCTAAAAAAAAAGAAAAAGTAGGCAGTTGGCAGAAAAGATGGGATTCAATCTGTAATATTCACTGGTTGATCATGTGTGGATATTGGATTAAGAGGAGGGAGAACGACAATGTATTATCATGCATCTTTTCCTACAAAGTACAAGTATGATTGTATGTGAGAGCTATACAGGCTAATTTCAATTAACTTGTGTTAACAGTAAACTATTGGCGGATTTTAGATGAATCATTTTGCTTCTTCCGTTGTGTAGTCTATATAGACCTTGGAATTTTATCTCTCAGAAGCTGTGGGTGAAAAGCATTCAAACAAGGACCTACAAAATGCTTCTAGGTTACCCCTAACATTAGCTCTAGGTTTCTAAAATCATATTAGCAAGGAGGTTTGTGTGTGGGGGGGGGGTAATGTCTCTGGTTCACTGCACTGCAGCTGGGCTGACTGATTAGCTAAGTACCTTTGCATGACCTCCATGCTACACCCCCCCTGCTTTCTTCAGATTTGCATCAGATGCCGCTGCTAATTTAGCATTACAGCACCACGCAAAAAGGAATGAGAGGTTCCTTTGCTGAAGTCGCCTGTACTTCTGTAAGCCAATACTGTACATGTGAAGTTATCTGGATCATTAACAAAAGGGGGTAACTAGAATACAGTTTAGAGGCTTCAGTCAAACATGACGGGCATTAAATATGTAAACAGAATGCCTCTCTGTCTGGTCAGGAATTGTCTTTCTTGAAGTAAAGTGTATCTGCCTACTATAATGACATTTAAGTCTGCCTTTCTGGCCCCCGGATGAGGTTTCACACAGTTTCTCCTCCTTGAGTGCTTTTATTTCAGTACGCCCAGATTGCAAAGTGCTGTGATCACAATGCTGTGTGTCCACAGAGAGACTCTAAAAGCCTCTTTCCTTTTTGTGCAAATTGCCTCATCTAGCCAATGTTGTCAGCTTTGTCAGAAATCCCTTTAACCCGAGTTCTTCACAGGCCAGATCCTTATAGAGAGGAATTGCTGTCAGATTACACAAATGTGCTTGAAGGATAACTTCCCTTTCAAGATATTATTATTATTATTATTGTTATTATTATTATTATTATTATTATTATTATTATTATTATTAAAAACTATTCAAAGAGGGGAAGCAAGATTAGTGATGTAAATGAACATTGATTTTATATAGCAAATGTGCCATCTCTGTGTACATATGGTTAACTTTCTGCACCATGTTTTAAAGAGGTTTTGGGGCAGTAGTGACAGATAATTTTAAGCTGCAGAGGTGAGAAATAAGTTATGGTTTGTTTGCTCATCTTTGAGATGACTTGTTGAACAAATCATGGTAAAAACAAACCATAGTTAAGCATTACATGCAAACAGTCTGTGAGCTGAACTGAAATAAGCATTTGTATTGAATGCTTCTCTTGTTTACTTGCATGTGCCGCTTTGAACAAGCTTTTCTGGTTGCTTGTCTCACTGTCACCTTTCTTGTCTGCAGCTTGAAATAAAATCCAATTTCATTTGAAAGAAGCATTTCCTGGTCTCTCATCAGTATTGGGACTAAGTGATTTGGCTGTTCCTGAACCCCTGGCGGTCTTTTGCCCATAACAATTTGGTGACCCCAAAGAGACCACACTGCTTGATGTTGCCAAGGCCCTGATACCCTTAAACCTGACCAAAGGAGCAACACAGGTGAGTTCACATTCCTGTGGTCTTTCTTGGGAGTTTGGACCTTTGTATGAACCGCCAAGTTTGTCCCTAAAATTGAGAGACACCTTTCTGGTGGAAACGTCTGGACCGGTGGGGTCTGGAATCCATGCATGGGTGGTCTAGTAATGTATTTGGTTTAGTTCTACTTAAATGTCTGTAGCTCAGAGTGTTGGTTTTGAAACAGGTTTGAGACCTGTAAAAATAAATTGGTGATTACAAGTTGAAGTTCTGTAGCCTGTTGAGTAAATTTTATTGGAAAATCCATGGATTGGGTCAGTACTGTGTGTTTTGTTGGTACTTTTAATATGTATTTTTAATATGGCGCTGTGGGTTAAACCACAGAGCCTAGGACTTGCCGATCAGAAGGTCGGTGGTTCGAATCCCTGCGACGGGGTGAGCTCCCGTTGCTCGGCACCTGCTCCTGCCAACCTAGCACTTCGAAAGCACGTCAAGTGCAAGTAGATAAATAGGTACCACTCCGGCGGAAAGGTAAACAGTGTTTCCGTGTGCTGCTCTGGTTCGCCAGAAGCGGCTTAGTCATGCTGGCCACATGACCTGGAAGCTGTACGCCGGCTCCCTCGGCCAATAAAGCGAGATGAGCGCCGCAACCCCAGAGTCGGTCATGACTGGACCTAATGGTCAGGGGTCCCTTTACCTTACCTTACCATAATATGTATTTATTGTACTGAGGAATACAGATTGTGATGTGTATATATACGATACCATTGCCTTGCTCTTTGAGTCCTGAGAAGGCAGGGGCAACCTTTAGTTCTGACCTCTTGATCTCTGGGCAAGACAGAGACATTGTGACTACTGGATGCTAGAAGTTAGTGAATGTTGTGTTAAGAATATTTGTTTCCTTCCTTTTTTAAAAAACTTATATTTGTTGTATTCCCTCCTTGTTTCTCTAGAGAGGGGTTCCCAGCGGTCCATGACACTTGAGTTGCAGTGGACAGTTCATAGATTATTCTGCAGATGTCATGACTTTCAAGTCTGGGATGCCAGACAGATATTGTAAAAACAATAATAATTAGAAGTCATTGGCTTCTTATATTCTTTTAGAGGCACACTTTTGCCAACATCCTATGCAGTAAACGGAAAATCAATATAAGGACTTGTTTCTTCTTTTTAGGATAACAAGATGCCAGAGATTACTAACGTAGATGTGTCAGGGAAGGCAGATTGATAAAAGTGTTACTAGGCAGCAGTCCTTCCTTCCCCATGCCAATTAGCTAGTGGTGAGTGCTTTGAAATGATGCAGAGCAGCAGGAAGACTATGCACAAAATCCAATCCTTGCTTGAAGCTTTACTAATAAGCAGAGCAGTCTGTTGTCAGTGAGCTGAGTCTCTATCTGTGTAATTTCATTGCCTTGGTAGTTTTGGTAGCAAGAGAGTAGAGTTCTCAGATTTTGTCTGTCTGTGGCTTATTCAATTAAAAAGCAATTAATAGCAAGCATTTATTTCAGGAAAACTTAATGATTTGATAAATTGTTTGTTTTTGTGGAGACTAGGTCAGGAGTGGAGCCATAGTTGTATAATGTTTGTGATGGGAGTAACATTTAAAAACACACGCACACTTCAATGTTGTTTGGCACTGTTGTCATTCAGTCACACTTGGCTTCTCAGAAGACAGTTGATATGCAGTATTCCTAAGGGCAGTGCGTTCTCTTTCTAAATCACAGGGATTTTCAATCTTTTCCTTTCCTTTTCTTTTTTCAAAGTTCCTGAGGACGGAGGCTTAGAAGAGATGCAAACATTAGAAATCTAACCATGCCTTGTCTGTAATGCTTACCATAGAGCACCATTAAATTCATTGATGGCATAATAAGACATGGTAAGCCATCTACCATGGCGTACCATGGGTGAGCAGTGCGCTAGCGTCAGGCTGGATTGCTCCTTCTGCACTCCTCCATCACAGCAACAAATAAGCAATTGTAACAACTGTACATTTTCTTTTCATACGCTCCCAACACTTCCTGAGAGGAATTCGGGACACTCCCCATCCCACTGCTTGTCTTCCCACACACCCACCCCGCCTCCACCTTATCTTCCTCTCTCCACCACTGTTTGTGGCCTGTGGTTGCAGGCAAAGACCATGATGCACGGTTAGGGAAAAAACAATGTTGTCCAGGGTTGTAAAGACTGCAGAGAGGATAATTGGGTGCACTCTTTCCACCTTCCCAAATCTATGCTTCCGGGTGCCATAAGAAAGCTGCAGAGATAGTGCAGGATAGCGCGCACCCCGGAAATGATCTCTTTCAGCTTCTGCCTTCTGGAAGAAGGTACAGGGTTATAAAGACTAGGACTAGCCGCCTGAGAAACAGTTTCTATTCAAATGCGATTTGGGTTTTAAACGCAGTGTAAGGTAGTCTCTATGGGAGTATATTGTATTTAATTATGGGGTATCAGAGTTTTTAGGGGGCTAACCAGGCTGGGATAGCAGGATTGTTGGTTTCTCAATGTCTGATAAGATTTTCAATTTCGTTGTTCTATATGGGACAGTGACAATAAAGACTATTGTATGATGCGGTAGAGGTGGAGTTTGTGGTGCAGCAGAAGTGTGTTGTCAGCACGCTTCTGGAAAAGCCCAGAGCCTTGGCTAGGGCAGCACCAGCACAGGTGGAGACTGTGGCAGTGGTGGTGTTGGCCAAAATGGGACATCCAGGATTACCTTCAGAAGCTGGGGTTGCTTATGTAAATCTGGGATGTCCCGGTAACATTGGGGCACTTTTTTTTAGTATTGTTAAGTCCAGTTTTACAGCGGTACCTTGGTTCTCAAACGTAATCCATTCCAGAAGACCGTTCAAGTTCCGAAACGTTCGAAAACTGAGGCGCAAAGGGCTGTCTGCAAATTCAGTTGAGAAAATTGAAAAACACTCAGCGGAAGCTGTTTGACTTCTGAGGCGCGTTCGAAAACAGAAGCATTTACTTCTGGGTTTTTGGTGTTTGGGTTCCAAAACTTTCATCAATGGAGACGTTCGAGAACCGTGGTACCACTGTAGTAGCTTTTCCTGTGCTTGCAAAGCTGGCTGGAGAGAAGAGTATTTCTGATCATGTGCAAACATAAAGCTTGATGGAATTCTGCTAAATAAATATAGTGTTATAACATCTGGACTTGGAGGGTTGTTTGTTCATCACAAAATTAACTGAAGTGTGGGGATACGGACCCTTTTTGTGTTCACCACCCATATTTGTCTTTAAAACTTCAACAGGCCCTATGTTATGATACCAAAAGGTTTTTTACTTCTACCAAGGCTCCCCTCATTTCCCCCTCCAATTTAGACTTTTAAATTATTCTTTCTTGATTGCTCCCTTAGTTTCTTAGTTTCTGTGATGTCTTGCTTAAAATATGTGATTCACCCCCGCCCCATTTGACATTTACAAAAAAATAATAATTGAATTTTGTAATAAATGACTCAAAATAGTGTAGAATCTTTGATGGAAAACCCTTATGGAAGGCAGCCTTGGGTAGTTAGGAAATTATTCAAAGCTCCTGTAAGAGTCTGCTCATTATTCTACAATTAATAATATTCACATTGGGCATTTAAAAGGTACAAATTCGTTTTATGTAGCACGCCTCATGCTTTTTGCTTGCTTTTCAGGCCACTTGTGAAAAATGCCTACAGATGCTCCGAGACATGTGGGAGTGTGGCGACAAACCAGAGCTCTTTTATACAAGAACTGCCTAGTTAAATGGAGGACGAAAAAGAGCAGTGTTCAGGTGAGCTGAGCAGCAGTATTCTAATGTTTATGGCTGTCTGTGTTTTCTAGATTTATCTGAAAATGTTGCTGAAGGTTTAACGGCATTTCTTTAATTCTTGGGGCTGTGTTTTAAAAAGATCTTTCAGATTTGCCCTTGGGTTCCTTCATCAAAAAACAAAATTGCTTAAATGTGATGGGCTATGCTAAAGACAGTGTTTTAGTTAGCCAATTTTAATCCTTTGTGCTCCACGTTTTCTAAAAAGTGGAACTTGCAAGTATAAGGAATGTATACGATGATTATCATGAGCTCAGTAGGAAAACAGTGTAACCATGTGAATTGCTGTAATCACACCGTCATTTCAGTACTGCCACAATCTCAGGAGAAGCCTTGGTGCTTTTCTACCCATGCTGCAGCTGACTGTGCTTTTTGTTATTATGAATCATCAAGGGCACACTGACTGCGAGACAATATTAGGAGCAATGCTGTAGACCAAGAGCTGTTCTGCAAAGAGCATTTGCCAATGGAACTGCCAGAATGGGGCAGAATCATGCAAAGGACATGGGTGCTGCTAGAGTAGAATAGGCATGCCATATCCTATACCCTTTCAATGTGCAGTGGATGTAGCTGTTGACAGAGCAATTTTGCACCAACCCCAGACTTGGTGTAACAAATTTCCCTCCCGCTGGTTCTCATTTAAGTCTGTTGAGATGCTGTACCCACTAGTCATGATTATTTGCTTCTAAGGGTTTTGAATTTATCTGAATAATGTTGATTAATTTGATGTACTTATTTTATACTGAGCAAGTTTGTGCAAAGGGTACAGTCCTGTTTATTATGCATATTTAAGCTTATTGCCTACCATGGGGTTAGGTACAGGAATGCAGCCTTAGGTGGCTACTGTTAGTTACTGTTACCCATTTAACTTATTCATTTCATTTGTGCAGGAAGTCCTACTTCCACTTTTCTTTTTATTTTGGCTAATATTAATGAGCATGATGTATCCAAACAAGAAATATGATGAGGTGCCTGATTCTGATCTTTATTCTGTGGATCACTCCAGCATCTCTGAGTTAATTGTTGGCTACACACCAGCGAATGATGAGACAAGAAAAATCATGCACAAAATGTCTGCAGAATACTTTACAGAAGGTATTGTGAGCTTTCATTCTACTCTGTTTTTTGTTTGTTCCATAAACGTGTTTTGCCTTTTCCCTTTGCATTTACTTGGCAGATGCAGTTATCAGAATGATTTATCGGGTACGTTTTCTGCATGGAAGAGTGTTTCTCCTGTATAAACACTACATTCTCAAAGCCTTTGACTTCACATTTTGTTCATAGTATCTAATCCTACACGACTACTGAATCCCTCTTGCATCCAGCACAGCGACATATAAGGGCTCAGACAGACATATTTAAGGAGGAAGGTTTCTTTTCTCTCTCACTAGAATCTTATCTCCCAATGTGCTGTTCTCCATTGTTTCCCACTATTCAACTTGTCATTGATGTTAGAAGGCTGCCTCAGAGGCCCTGAAGAATACAGTGTTCTCATTGCTGCATACCAAGGGAGTTTTCACTACTATTCCTGTGCCACTGCCTGAATCACATTAATAAGCCACATAGCAGCTATACCTTCCAGGAACAAAGAAAACAAGTTCAAGATTTGTCTTTCTCCTATTGGAAAAACTGGGTGAATATCCCTCCAGGGATGTTGGCATCCTGAGTCTTAAGTGACCTGCCCCCATGCCTTATGTTACTTGAGAGCAAAAGATCTGGGCTCTGCCATTATATTTCCAGTTGCACTTCATTTGCCAGGGGCTCAGAGCCCTAATCTATAGAATCAGTCCATGGAAAAAGTACTTTTCTATTTTTGAAGCATACAATTGCTAGGCTCATGTATAGGACATGATATTCATACGAGTTTACAATTTTCACTTTGCTGTCTGTTGCTTTGAATAACTTCAGGGGTTCCCATGCTGCCTGAAAAGCTAGAGCTGCCCTTTCCAGCACATAGCGGTATTTGTAAAAACAAAACCAAAAAAGGCCTTCTAGGCTGTGGGCTAACAAATGAGGCAGCAGCTAATGTACTGAATTGTCCTTCTGTTGATATAGATGTCCATAGTTGAGAGTAGCTAAGAGAGACTTTTATATTTTGCAGGAATCATTACAGAAGAATTTCTAAGTGAGGAGGGAATGCAAGAGGCTAATCTTCGTAACCCTCGAAAATTTGTGGGTGTAGTTTTCAAGGATTCTATGTCCTACCATCTCAGATTTCCTCCTGCAAAGGTTCCAGTATCTGCAATTTATATGGAATCCAGAGGTAATACCTGTATGTATGCATGTATGTATGTATGTATGTATGTGTACCCCTTATAATATTACAGCTTTAGTCATGGGAGCAACTTGCAACAGTAATTTTCAAGACAGTTGGTTTTGGTTGAGCAACTGCTAATCTTTTTGCTGATGCTTTTTCTTTGTTATTTTATTGAATATATTTTTTGAAGCTGCCTAGAGTGTTTAGGTAGAAGAGTGCATTAAGTAAGACAACCAAACCCACATTTTTGTTCCCATAGCATAGAATCACTGGGCAAAATCTAGCTCGGTGACAATAAAACAAATTTATGTCAGCCTTTTTGCTTTTGGCTAATTAACAGAGAAAGTTTAGGTTTCTCATCTTAGAATTTGTTTTTCCACAGCCAGCTGCCCAAGCCCTTCCAAGATATGTGAAGCTGAAACGTACTGGCGCAATGGATTCACTGCTCTACAGATCAGTATTGATGCAGCAATTATACAGGTAAATGAAAATAATGAGAATGTGAAATGCCCTGAATCATTGTTGTTCAAGAAGAGTTGATATATTAAAAATCATTGCACTTTCTTCCTTGCATTGTAAGGTGTTTCACATAATGGAGGGCTTTTGCTCAAATGAATGGCAATAACATTTGCCTTCATGGTGACTATCAATCAAGTGTATATGATGGTTTCTATAAAGATATCAAGGCCAATGGTTAGCCAAATATAAAACGTTTTTTTCTGAGTTATGCCATATACGTCCACCCAAATGGGTATTGTGGATATACGTGCAAGCAACATTAACTGTGTTATGTGTCGATAAAGTTGGTTAACTGGATATTTTCGATAAGATACAGCAGACAGGTAGGTGGAGAGTACCATCATAAGAAATGAGAAAACAAGAGGTATGGCTCACATGACTTATAAGATATGCAGAAACATCAACCTATAACTGAAACCATTAGAGGCACAAGGAGAACCAAGAATAAAAGGCTCTGTATTACATCAAGAAAATTTTTCAACCAATTAGATGTTACTTATCCCAAATTTCTTGAGAAGCTTGGAGAAGGGACAAATGTAATTTTTAATTTTTTTATGTATTCGATAAAATCTCACCAAACAGAGGCAAAAAAGGTGGCCTTTGTTTCCCTTTCAAAAAAACAAACACATGAAAATTATATTACATGAAACATTTACCCACAGGTAATGCAATTTTCTATACATCACTCCGCCATCATGTCAAAAACAGCATTTTGAATTGGACATGGAAGCAAGACTGGAAGCCCATAAACACAACAAAGCACTTGAGAATCTCACAGAACTCAAAAAGAACTTACTTCTAATGACTGTACTGTATGGATGCTGTCAGAGCTGCTCCCCGATCCCAGCTCACAGAGGATCACGCTAGCCAGCGTTCGCTTTATAAAAGTCTTTATTGAGTTACAGTTTCCATTTCCAAGCTGCTGCGTGCAACTCTACGTCTTATGGCTAGACCGGCGAAGCTCCGTCTGAATCTCCGCCCCTCGTACACCAACTTAATATCCTCGCCTTACTCCACCTTTTCCGCCTGACCGTCCTTCTCTGGGTCCCTCTGCCCCCCGTGGTCTCCTCCCTCCGGGACTCCTCTGACGCTGACCCCCCGGACCCTCCTGTCTCCTTGCGTCGGGCTTTAGGACCTGGCTCCCTTTCCGGGCTGCTTACTGCGCCGCCTTCCTGTGCATTTGAACTTGGCGCGCGCGCCCAGCCTTCCACTTTCCGCTTGACCGTTTCTTCGCTCCCCGATGGGGGCGTGGTCACTCCTGACTCATGCCCTCCTCCCTGCTGCGAGCTGCCAGGGCTCGATCCCTGACGTCCTTCCTCTCCACTGCGCTCTGGTGGGGACGCTGGCCCCGATTTCCAACTGCTGCCCTCTGAACCCCCGCTGGTCCCTTCCTCCTGGGGTGTCCCCCTAGGCCCCCCCTTTGCTCTGGCCACTGGCGCTCCTTTCTGTGAATCTTCCGATTCACTGGAAAGACTCGGAGATCTCGGGTCGTCGTCATCACTCATCCTTTCTTCGGACTCCTCCCCCTCGCTCTCTGTTTCCTCCCTTGCCCTCGCCTCTGCTCCTGAACCCCTGACAGATGCTTTCTGAGCATTTATCATTTTTGCTTGTGAATGTAACATCCCATGCCAGTTTTGGTTTGGTTTAGTTTTCATGTGCTTGTCTCATGAAGTTCTATTTTGCTATTTGGTTTATATGGGTAAAATAAAATAAAAATAAAATAAGGCCGTTCTTTGTTTTGTTTTGTTTTGTTTTGTTTTTAAGTGGATTTTGGCATGTTGAACTAGTTCCAGGAATGCTTTGACATAGATATGAATCAGTTTTTGGAAAACCTGAAAAGTTGGTGATAATGCAGCGTCACAGGTTGTAGTATGGACATGTTTTCTGTCTGAAATTCATTTTTTATTAATTTATTTGACTTTTCCTCTGCTCAAGAACCCCAAGATTCATAGAGTGAAATAGATAAAGCAAGCAAGCATTTAAGAAATCAGTTTTGTGAAACTCAAAAACGTTTGAGTTCCATGGGATTTAGCTGGATTACTAAACTAGGTTAAAGCACACATATTGTTATATTTGTTTTAATGATTTTGGAATTAAAGTTTACTTAATAGGGGCAGCATAGAAACTGATTTTAACATTCCCTTCCTTTTCTTTCTTTCTTTTTTAGCTGAAGACAAATCATTCGCTATTGGAAGACCTGAAACTAACAAACGCGGTCATGATGGGAGAGTCTGCCATTATGGAAATAGACAATTTCCCTCGTGCAATCATTTTAATTTATTTAGTAATTGCCTTTTCCCCCTTTGGTTATTATTTGGCAATTCATATCGTGGCAGAAAAGGAGAAGAAATTGAAAGAATTTTTAATGATCATGGGTCTCCACGACACTGCCTTTTGGTATGTATGTGCCTTAGTTCTTCGATGTTAAGTAAACAGCATGGATAGTAATGCAAAGCCAAAGCCATGTTTTAGTGTGATTGCGTAGGCTCTCAGAGACGAGATCATAGCTGCTTTGCTCCTTCTAATCCTGCTACTTTGAGCTAAGCTGTGGTTTGGGTTAGCGTGGTTTACAGCATGTGGTTTGTCTGGAGGAGACTTACCTTGAGCATTTCTCCTCCTCCTACCACAAACATGAACAAACAGATCACAAGGGCTTAGCTTACTCTCAAAGCCATTGTTGATTTTTCATATGCCGCCATTATTGATATGAGCTCTGCCAAAGGCTCCAAAATGGATCCAATGGTGCATGGTAAAGAAAAACCTATTATCCTAATGATGCTGCCACCCTTTTGCTCAATATGAATTCCAAGAGGCCAGGATCTTATACCTCATTTCCAGAGGTCAACTAACACTTAGATTGGGTACCATTATGTAGCCCTGGTCTTGGGGGGCAGGGTTAGTTCTGACTTGCAGTTCCTCTGTTGTGGAGAGGTCTGGAAAGGAAACCTCTCTCTCTCCCCGCCCCCACCCCCATCAATGTTGTTTTCCTTATCTTGAGCCAAAGGATGATGATTATGATGATGATAATTTATTATTTATACCCCACCCATCTGGCTGGGTTTCCCCAGCCACTCTGGGCGGCTTCCAACAAAAGATTACAAATACATGAAAACATCAGTCATTAAAAACTTCCCTAAACAGGGCTGCCTTCAGATGTCTTCTAAACGTCTGATAGTTGTTTATTTCTTTGACATCTGATGGGAGGGCGTTCTACAGGGAGGGTGCCACTACCAAGAAGGCCCTCTGCCTGGTTCTCTGTAATGTTGCTTCTCGCAGTGAGGGAACCACCAGAAGGCTCTCGGAGCTGGACCTCAGTGTCCGGGTTGGACAATGGGGGTGGAGACACTCGTTCAGGTATACTGGGCCGACACAGATAGTTGGCAAAGGATTAGATACATTGGCAGAATTTCTGAGACAGCTGTTTTGAAAGAGTTCGGAAGAATTATGTACTTTAGAACCTTTTGGATTCAAATGTTATTGAACTCATTTCAATATCTGTGCCACAATGTGCTCCATTCATTTGAGATTCACGCGAGGGCTCATTTTAGGGCCTTATCACTTCGTGCAGCATTGAGTAGCATGTATTGCATTTGGCTTCAGTTTGTTGTTCTTCATGGTCTCTGGGGTATCACACCTGAGTTCTGCACCTATGTTGGGCAAGTTCAGGATTTTCCTAGAACTACCCTTCTGTTTGGATAGAGCAGTGAATTGAGAGACAGGGCAAGCACCTTCCAGTTCGGTTCTCTTCTGGCTGTTCTTACAATAACAGCATTGATAACTTCCCTCTGTCAGTTCCCTTACAAAATTTCTTCTAACACGATCCTTTGCATGTTTACTCAAAAGTAAGTCCAACTGTATTCAGGTTGGCCAACAGTAATTTTGTCTTGTTTTGTTCCAGCCCTGGTTTGTTAGCCTACGTTCAAACCACCCCAACAATGATGTAGAACCTTTTTGGCTTTAGATGAAATGGAGAAATATTGCTGGGTGTCAAAATCCCTGGCCCACCATTTCCTGTGAGTTCGTGAAGATGCTAAATAGTATGAGGGACAAAATAGGCCAATGCCAAAGGGGTGAACGGTGGTCCCCCCAAACCACCTTCTGGGGACACTTCACCAAGCAGGACTGAAGCCACTGAAAAATGGTGTCTCCAAGCCAAATGTTGGACATAATGGCCAGTGACATAAAAAGCCACTGAGCATTCTAGTAGAACTAAGAGGGACCCCATTACTTCCCTGTCTATTATCTAGCGTAGATAGTTGGCAAAGGCAATTTTAGCCCCAAACTATATCAGAACCGAGATTGGAAGGCTTTGGCCTTCCTAGAAAGTTCCCAACTTGCTCTTCTCAGGTACAGAAACCAGGTTTGAGACGTGCCCAGATGACCATTCAAAGGACTCACAGAAAAAGTATCTTTATCTGTATAGTTGTACAGATGACCTTGAAATTCATGAACTTTCATTGTGTTTCTCCTCTTTCTAGGCTTTCTTGGGTCCTACTGTATACCAGTCTGATATTTGTCATGTCCCTTCTCATGTCGGTCATTGCAACATTCTCTTCGCTCTTTCCCAAAAGTAGCAGCTTTGTGATATTTCTTCTTTTTTTCCTATATGGAATATCTTCCGTAAGTGTGTGTATGTGTTCGTGCTCATTGTCAGTATATTGAGAGTACTGTGTTTTGGAGTCCTTCTTGCTATATTGGCATAAATGATTTGTTTATGATGTGTTTTTTCCCTCTGCTGTGAATAGCAGTTGGTACCCTACCTCTTTGACATAAGAGGTCCTGAATAGTTACATTTGCTTATACATTTTGGCAGACATTATTTTTCATTTGCTGTTGAATGTATTCAAATGGCTACTTACCACATAACCCTTCCCTGATATTAGAATGAACTGCATTACTTATTCACTGCAGTCTTATTTTAAGCTGGCAGCTTTTAAAGAGTTATTAATTATCCATTAGCCAAGGGTGCAGTTCATCTTGGAAACATTACCACTGATTTTTAGTGGACCTGGATTATTCCAGTAGTTTCTGAGTGTTTTAAGTCTTTTGACTTTTAAACAATTTATTGCAGGCATAGGCAAACTCAGCCCTCCAGATGTTTTGGGACTACAACTCCCTAGCTAACAGGACCAGTGGTTAGGGATGATGGGAATTGTAGTCCCAAAACATCTGGAGGGCCGAGTTTGCCTATGCCTGATTTATTGTTTCTTGATGCTTGCAGGCATTTAAATAAACCAATGGTGGGTAGCAGAATGCACTCTGTGGATACTAAGATTAATTTATTTACAAATTTATCATCTGCCTCCTGTGAGGCCAGGGGTTTTGGTTTTTCAGTTTCAGAACAAACATCTTCAAACAATAGGCTATGAAGCTGGCTTGTTTATCTAATCACTGTCCATTTCAAACCACGATTCCTCGTTTGCATGTCATTACAAGCCATAAGTTGTCAAAAATGAAATGTAACTCTGGCAAAGTCCTTAGCATGCGACCCCAGGTTTTTGTGTGGGCTCATTTCTGTTCATGCACACAGTAAACAATGGTTTAACATCATGTGCAAATTCAGCCAGCATATCAAAAGCTATAACACTCTTAGGAAAAGATCCTCAGGATGATGGCCAGTTGATTTCTTGGATCAGGTACATTATAGATATTAAGAGAGCAATACGTTGTAATTGTTCCAAATTGTCTACACAAATTATGATTTCAGCAATTTTAATCGAGGTTTCTTGTGCACTGAAATAAATGTTCTGTTTCTGTTCAGGTTTTCTTTGCATTTATGCTGACCCCTCTCTTCAAAAAATCAAAATATGTCGGTACGGTTGAATTTCTGACCACCCTGGCTTTTGGTTTTGTGGGCCTGGCAATCGTCCTGCTGGAGGATTTTCCAAAGTCATATGTCTGGTTACTAAGTCCTCTGTGTCAGTGCACATTTTTGGTTGGTGTTGCACAGGTTAGTAAAGTTCCCTATTTAATCAGTGCTGGTATATGGGTTTCCATGAATAGTAACTTCACTATCGCTTAAATACCAGATAGGATAATAAGATTTCACCTCAGTGTAAAAAATGTGTGACACGGAGTTGTCATTTCTTAAACTTGCAGTGAACATGTTGCTTGTTTATTATCAATGGTTTTCTCATCAGCTAACATTGGCAGATATTTTGGGGGGACCAGAGCCAGAATAAATCTGCAACCCACACCCAGCACTCTCTGGGATGAGTAAATTTGGAATAGCTGGATCTTGGGCTCAGCCAGGGCTATGCAAGCTGAATTCTCTCATCTTGGCTCAGCTGGAGATATGCCAGTATAAGTCCCATAGCCAGCTGAAACCTGCTGAATTGAAGTCAGGTCAGGGTAAGTCCCCCCCCCAAAGGGCATTCTGTGGGTATGGTAGGGGCAGGGCAGGGGAAGACTTAGCGTTATTCCAAACTCCTTTGAGCTCAGTCACATGACCTAGTCAAACTTGTATTTTAAAGGCTTGTTTAAAGCCTGACATCAGCCCTACTCCTGAATGGAGTTAGGAATAGGATGTTCACAGACGTGTCCGGGATTTCAACTAGTGTCCCAGGGGAATTTCGGAAAACCGGCCAAATGTCAACAACTTCCCCCCAAATAGCTCAACAACCCAGGGATATGTCCCAAAGCATTTTTTTTACTCTGGGACAAATTACACTGGCTTCCTGTCATTTGCATCGCTCTAATTAGCCTTTTCCTTTTGCTAGTATACAAACCAAAAATAATGTGTCTCCACAATTATTGATGTACTAGAATTAATGGTTTTTGTTTTTGTTTTGTTATGTATTTTGTGTTCTCGTTTTGTATTTTTATCTTGTGCCCGTGATCTTCAGATGAAGGGCAGTATACAAATTTAAATCATCATCATCATCGTAATAGTCTTTAAGGTGCCAGAGGACTTAAGCAAAAACAGCAAACATAGATAGCCCTCCAAAAGGAGGTTTCTGCTGTAAACATTTGTACTAAGTGTACTGTTTTGCCGCTGTGAAAATGTAACTGCTAAACCTTTCCCAAGAAAAGGTTAGGTTCACCACCCATGCACTATATAAATCTTTCTCCTTCCATGTTCTGAGTAACCTCAGCTGGAACCTGCTAGGGTCTGCATTCCAGCAAAATAGGTAGGACCAGAATAAGTGCACATTCACACCCTTCTATTCTCCTCTTCCCCTCCCTCTCTTATGCAAAGCTAAGTAGAGACAGGCCAACTGCCTGGCTTGGATTCTCAGTCGTGGGGGGTTGAGTGTGGCATTGTAGCCTTTGTTGCTTGGGCTAGTGTGCTCGTTTACATGCCTGCTTTCTTCATGGCGCTGCAGCCCAAGAGGAGGCAGCCAAGGAAGCGATGGGAATTGGAGAAGTTGCACTCCCCACTCCCAGCTGTGGTAGAGGTATTCTGGTCCCCTCTCCTGTTGTATCATTGTAGGCTGACCAGAGCGGGCATGGCTGGAGGTTAGGCTGCTGAGGTCTGGGTGAAATGATATCATGGTCTGGAGGTTCACCATTCCTGTTACAGGGCAATGTTCAAGCTCTCATTTCCCATGAAACGTGTGCTTACTGTGTTCGCCATGGGATTGCATTCGCTCTACCTGCAACCATCATTAATGGTTCATTTTGAAGCTCATTGTTTCCTCTCAAAAATGCAGGGTGTTGTGTGTCCAGTTTCACACAAATAACAACTGTAACTTCTTCGTCGTCTTCTTCTTCTTCATTTATTCTTCTTCATTTATTTATGTATTTATACCCCACCCATCTGGCTGGATTTCCCCAGCCACTCTGGGCGGCTCCCAACAGAATATTAAAAACACGACAAAACATCAAACATTAAAAACTTCCCTAAACAGGGCTGCCTTGATGGCCAGTTAGAAACGTTCCCCTGATAATATTAAATAAAGTAATTCTGTTCCATAGTATCTATAACTTCTATAGTCAGTCAGTTTTATTGCACATAGCCAAAGGCTGCCGCAATGTACACAGAATCATTCAAGAATTAAAAGAAAATACGCTGGATTAATACGCTGGATTACTATAACTTCTGTATTTGTTTGCAGGTGATGCATCTGGAAGATTATGAAGAGGGAAGCATTTTCTCAAATTTAAGCCATGGTCCTTACCCTCTAGTTATTGCACTTTCACTATTGGCCCTGGACAGCATGCTTTATCTACTCCTAGCACTTTACCTGGATCAGGTGATTCCAGGTATGATTGGTTTTAGCATACACGCACGTATGTGCTAAACATTGCCTAACACAGCATAAAGTTGGTAGCATCTGGTAGGACAACATCCGGTCAGTTCAATGCCCACCTGTATAGGTGCATCCCTGTCCTAATAGTTAAGTGGGAAATTGTTCAGTGGGTTATCCCCATCCTTCATAAGAGAGAATGAGAAAGCATAAATAGGATTCCACCCCTGGATCTTGAGCCAGAGATGCTCGTGGGTGAAAGAAGGATTTATATGCACCACTAGTATTGTGCAATGCAAAGCATAGTGCAGCTGCACAGACAGCAGATGTGTATTCCCAAACAACTGTCTGAAGGCATTTGACACAAATGCATTACTGGAGGTAAGCTGGTGTGCCTGATAAGTTGCCTGGGTGGGAATCTGTTGTTACTGCTTGGATGGGCTGGGGCCTTTGCACATGCCCCAGAATTATGTGGTTCTTTTAGCTTTGCTTAGCAGGTGACTATGCAGTGTGTACACTCGAGGTGCAAGTGCACAGAGGGGGCGAACCATGGCATAAACTGGCGGCTGTAATTAAAAAGAGATTGTTTGGGAATTGAGAGGCATGTATGCTGACACCTAATTAGGCGTGTGATAGTTTGCTATCTGCCAACACCAGCATGAGCCTCTGTTTGGTCTTCATTAGCCCTGGCGAAAAGGAAAAGAACCTCCTTTTGATTTACACTGTCATGGTGGGGACTGAATCAATAGCCATTTGCGTTTCCTAAGATTGAACACTTTTACCTTCAGTTTCCTCTGTATCTTAGAGCCATATATAGCATGGACTCGAGACAACTGAGTTCTGATTGGTTGTTGCCAATGGAGGCTGATCCATTAGGGCAAATGGAGCTCTTCTCCACCAACTCAGTCTACCATCAGCCAGTCCCCCCCCCCCGCCTTACAGCCTGTCCTGGGGGTGGCACTGTCTGCCAGACTGCTGCTCCTTAGTCTCAGTGCTGCACTTGCAGAACTCGGCAGGGAGGAGGATGGGGGCAAGAGTGGAATTAGTTGGCTCTGCTTGGCTTTGGCGCCACCTGCTGTTGACCTCCCTGTCTCCTGTCATACTAATCCCAATGGGCACTACCCACCGCTAGTTTTTGCCTCTCGCTCTTACCCCCTAGGTTGGCCCAGTCTGTGGGGTGAAATTTGCATGGCCGTGTTGCGAGAACGTAAATAAATTTGAAACAACTTTCCCAGGCAGCTGTTCAAAATGGTTCCATAAATACTTCCAAATATGTGTTTCTGTTGGGTTCAGAAAAGGCAAATACTCTACACGTATCTCCTGATTCATTTGAGCAGAGCAACTGGGCATTAGTTTATGCTGATAATTGAAGGACGTGCATGCTCTGTAGTACTGACAAACTTTCCTTAATAAAGACCTAAACCCCGAATAAACCTTACAGTTTTCTCAGCTATCTAAAAAACCAGTAAGCCATAATTGGAAATCAGTGAACATAAAAGCACCTAGCATTGATATGCTTTGATCAGCCTGTAGTTAATATTTACAGGCCTTTCTTCCTCTCTCTTTTTTTTATTTCTCAGGAGAATATGGACTGCGGAGAAACTTTTTTTTCTTCCTGAAACCATCGTTTTGGTTAAAGCGAACCAGAAATTATAAAGAATTGTATGAGAGCAGCATTAACGGGACCTTAGATTTCAATGAGATAATTGAACCGGTATCCTCTGAATTTCAGGGGAAAGAAGCTATCAGGTATGGACTGATTATGCTTCATTCTAGCTTCTGTTGCTAATGTCAGTTAATAATACATCAGGGCATGGGACACGGATGGCACTGTGGTCTAAACCACTGAGCTTCTTGAGCTTGCTGATCAGAAGGTCAGCAGTTCAAATCCACGCGACGGGTGAGCTCTCATTGCTCTGTCCAAGCTCCTGCCAACCTAGCAATTTGAAAGCAGCCAGTGCAAGTAGATAAATAGGTACTGCTGCAGCGGGAAGGTAAACAGCATTTCTGTGCGCTTTGGCACTGGTCACGGTGTTCTGTTGCACCAGAAGCTGTTTAGACATTGTGGCCACATGACCCAGAAAGCTGTCTGTGGACAAACGGCAGCTCCCTCGGCCTGAAAGCGAGATGAACCCCGCACCCCATAGTTCCCTTTAATTGGACTTAACCGTCCAGGGGTCCTTTACCTTTACCTTTTTTACATCAGGCAAGTCTGAAGTAGCAGTGATTCAGTGATTAGAATGTGCAGCTACTGCAAGTAGCAATTATTTTCATGGTTCAACTAATGTCGTGTAAGAAATGTTATGTAGTGGTTTCCGCATGTTACTGTGAACCAACTAGTTCTTTTGAATATGCAGGTTAGCTTTCACTGCAAACCAATGCAACCATTATTTATGGTAAAATAAATATTGATCCCTTTATACTGTTCACTTTTTATTTTGCTAGGGAAATTCTGCCAGAGTTCTGTGTTACCTTTTTATAAAAAAAATAAAAAAAATAAAATTAGCTTGTCTTCTTTCAGAATCAACTGTGTACAGAAAACATTTGTTAAGAAAGGTGAAACTGTCGAGGCTCTAAAAAGTAAGAATTTCATCCCTCTGCCACAAGTGGGAGTCCTTGTACTTCGGTTGCTGCTGTTTATTATATAGGGACAGCAGAAGCAATGATATAGCACTTGAACAAGCTTCTCTTAAACCTCACTGATTATTAACTCTTCTGGATGTTTAAATATATTAACTAATATATGTTATATTATGTTGTGATAGTTCCTTAAGGGTGAGTGGGACTGTACTCTGTATGGCAGGGTTTCGAACATTTAATAAGGAGGCATGTAGAAGCACTTTCTTACAGCTTTTATCTCTGTCCCTCACCCCCACCCCAAATCACTTCATTCTTCTTTCCTTTCCTTTCCTTTTTTTAGGTTTATCCTTTGACATATATGAGGGTCAAATAACAGCATTACTTGGACATAGTGGAACAGGAAAAACAACCTTAATGCACATTCTTTGTGGATTGTGTCCACCTTCTGATGGTAAATATCATCAAAATGTGTCTAGTTTATCTGATCTGGGGACTAGTAAAGAAAGAGTCTTTCTAGGAAGAATTAAACAGGTGGAACTACTTGATTTAGTTCATAGAACAAGTGCAGCATCACTCCTGTGGAGGGCCTTCTCGGTAGTGGCTCCCTCCCTGTGGAACACCCTCCCTTCAGATGTCAAGGGGATAGAGAATTACACAACTTTTAGAAGACATCTGAAGGTAGCCCTGTATCGGGAGGTTTTAAATGTTTGATGTTTTTATTGTGTTTTAGATACGCTGTAAGCCACTCAGAGTGGCTGGGAAAACCCAGCTAGATGAATGGGATATAAATAATAAAACTATTATTATTATTATTATTATTATTATTATTATTATTATTATTATTATACAGCTAAGTCCCTGCTGCAATTCCAGTGGTCCACACTTACTATTTTCTATTTACTATTTCTTTTCTGCATCATTGCCTATCTTAATTGTATTTTTCCCCCATTAGGTTTTGCATCAATCTATGGATATAGAGTTTCTGAAATAGATGAAATGTTAGAAGCAAGAAGAATAACTGGAGTTTGCCAGCAGCTAGATATATATTTTGATGTATTAACAGTGCAAGAAAATTTGTCAATAGTTGCCTCAATTAAGGGGATACCCCCCAATGATATGATACAAGAGGTGAGTTAATTGGATGCAAGCTGCACAGTGCATGCAATCATATTTAATTAAGGTCAACATATTATATTTAATGTTTTCTAAGCAAGCTTGGTAGATGTCCCAGTAAATTGAGGTTACCGCTAAGTACTTTTAATCCTTATTTTTAAAGGTCCAGAGAGTTTTACTAGATTTGGATATGCAGCCCATAAAAGATAACCAAGCAAAAAAGTTAAGCGGAGGACAGAAAAGGAAGCTGTCAATTGGAATTGCGATTCTTGGAGATCCAAAGGTAAATGGCAGCGGAACTGAATGTCCATAATATTTTGTCTTCCGCATGCAAAATAGATGTTTCTTTGCCTTGTATGTAACAGTTAAGCATCTTTAGAAACATTTTACAGTGCATATTCATTATTCCCATTCATTATCCTATTTCTGCTTTTAAAGTGAAAATACAAAATAGCCAAGCGTTGTGGTTTATTGGAACTGACTGGGATTTTTACATCCAGTTCTGTTGCAATAAACACTCTTGGTGAGAGTGCTGAATCCTAACCCATAGACCACCAAGGAACTCAATAATGCTCTTGGAAATGTATGTCCATCTCTGTATACCCAACTTGCCAAAAAACTTATGTCCACCTCCCCATACATCTATCTTGAGACTGAGTGCTCTTGAGGGTCTATTGTATCTAGCACTATTGTTGAGGGTCCTCTTTCAAATCATTTTTGGGCTGCAAAGTTCAGTATTAAAGGAAATAAGTTGGTAGCTTCCAGAATTGTGGGGAGTAGAGGAATAAGCAATTGGGAGTTTTTCTCTCTCCCTCTAACAGCTTCCAGCTGACGAGCCCGGAACTTCAGCAGCTCAGCACTATAATGCTTTTTTCCTGTAGTGTTGACAACTGAAATACAGTGCTTGTGGAGCATCCAAACTGAAAGGCACTCAATCAGTTTGTCATTAGATGGAGCAATGGGGATGTGGGTGGTGTTGTGGTCTAAACCACTGAGCCTCTTGGGCTTGCTGATCAGAAGGTTGCCTCTGTTCCAGCTTCTACCAACCTAGGAGTTTGAAAGCATACCAGTGCAAGTAGATAAATAGGTATCACTGCGGCAGGAAGGTAAACGGTGTTTCTGTGCACTTTGGCTTCCATCACAGTGTCCCGTTGTGCCAAAAGCGGTTTAGTCATGGTGGCCACATGACCCAGAAAGCTGTCTGCAGACAAACGCTGGCTCCCTTGGCCTGAAACGAGATGAGCGCCGCACCCCATAGTCGCCTTTGGTTGGACTTAACTGTCCAGAGGTCCTTTACCTTTTTTACCTTTTAGATGGAGCAAGTAGCTATTACCTCTAGCATGCTGATAGCTCCCTGTTGTACGTTAGTGGTGCCATTTTTGGTACCTATCCCCCAGCACTCAGAATTGAGATGACTGTATGATGGTGGTGAGGATAAGTGCCTGCCTTATTGCTAATAATCTCACTGGCAATTTGAAATGAATACCTAGATATTCAATCTATTGCTTTCCTTGGCCAATAATTCAGGTATTACTCTTAGATGAACCAACTGCTGGCATGGATCCGTGCTCACGGCACACAGTTTGGAACCTGTTGAAAAACGGAAAAGCCAATCGCGTGACGGTGTTCAGTACCCATTTCATGGATGAAGCAGACATTCTTGCTGGCAAGTGCAAAACATTTTGGGGGGAAGTGGGGTCTTTGTTTGTTAAATACGTGTTTGGCAATATGACCAGCTTTTTACTCCATTGGTTATTACTGTATCAACTGGAATAACTGACGGTACCCTCTGCTTTTGTTTCTAGATCGGAAAGCTGTGATTTCTCAAGGAATGCTGAAATGCCTTGGCTCCTCTCTGTTCCTTAAAACAAAATGGGGGATTGGCTACCGCTTGAGGTATCTGTAGTTCGAAAGCCTGTTTCACTGTGTGTGGTAAAGGCCACAGCCCAGCCCAGGGTTAGATGCTATTAAACTTAATGAAGTCAATATATTGCTGCTCACAGGGCCGGCCCAAGATATTTTGGCACCTGAGGCAAACCACAAAATGGCATGCCCCCTCCCACCCAGGGAAGAACGGGTGAGTGAAGATCTACATCAGAACAAAGAAGGGTGGAATAAAGATCTACCCTGGGACCTGCCGCCTGAGGCAGTAACCTCACCTTGCCTCATGGGTGGGCCGGCCCTGGCTGCTAATATTTCCTTTGGCTTTGTTGGAATCTTAGAAAATGGATACATACTTATTGATTTTGTTCTTCAGTTGGATTAGGAAAATACAATTTCTCTTGTAAGTCGGCTTTCAGTATGTTATTATTCCTAATTGTTTCTAAAAACAAGACTGAGACTCGCTTTGTAAACAAAAAATGCTTATATTTTGTATTTCCCCCCCCCTTAGTATGCACATAGACAGGTACTGTAACACAGAAGGTACAGCATCTTTGATCAGACAACATATCCCTGGAGCCAGTTTGTTAAAGCAGACTGAAGAGCAGCTTGTGTATGCCTTACCTTTTAATGACATGGACAAATTTTCAGGTATAACTTAACTCTCTATTGAAATTTCTAGTGAATCACATGGATGGCTTTTTAAAAATAAATTGCTGACACGGGAGGAATTGGTTCAGATTGGGACCCCAGTGCAGAGAAGCCTTAACACTTTGGGCCACATTGTTGTCCCAGTCTGAATGACCCCCCCACCCCATCGAATTGCACTGGGGAGGAAAGTTCCCATTGGACTCTCTAGTTTGGCCTTTATTTCAGGCTTTGACTTATGTCCTGTTATGTGGAACAAAGATACGGCAGTTATTCTGGAAGAGGACTGCTGATTCTCAACTCTTTCCCCAAAAATAGCAGTTCTGGAAAGTAATAGGAAAGTTCCCTGCAAAAAAAAAAAACACCCCCCCCCAAGGCTTCAAGCCTTAGACACACTTTTGTCCCTTACATGAACGCATTTCTGGACTACAACTCCCATCAGCCCCAGCCAGCATAGCCAGGGATGATGGGAGTTGTAGTCCAGAAACATCTGGAGGGCCACAGATGTTGTGCACCCCTCCCTTAAACAGTAGTGATAACACAAGCCATGTTGCTGTTGTGCTAAGAACAACTTAAAGAAGTAAGAGAGCATAACTGCAAAGAAATGTATTTCCAAGCATTAACTTAACTACTTCTTCTTACAGCACTGTTTGCTGATCTAGACACTCACTCTCATTTGGGTGTCATTTCTTATGGAGTAGCCATGACGACTTTGGAGGATGTGTTCCTCAAGCTGGAAGTTGAAGCAGAAATCGACCAAGCAGGTGAGAAGCAAACTGCAGTGCTCTCTCTAGTTTGCTAAAATAAAACACCATTATTATTTAAATGTAGATCTACCTTTCCGCCCAAAGAAGCCCAGTGCAGCAAAGATGATCAGTATCGAGTTTATTAAGGTTGTATTTGCAACTGGTAATAGTGCACAAGATCCCATTCTCGTGATATATTTACAATGGGAGAGATCATTAAGACTGCAGTGCCAACCATATTTATTGGAAAGCTGCGCTGAACTCATTGGGTCATTCTAATGCAAGGGCTAATATATTGCTCTATTGTAGAGTTGTTTTTTATTTTCAAGATTCTGGTTCCAACAATGCCGCCCTCCAAAAAACAGAATTTTCTATTTCCTCCTTTAAGTAATACCTCATCCCTCTGGGTACAGTCCTGGCACTTGGCACTGCCAAATTAATGCGAATCCCAGAGTATAGTGTGGCAAACTTAAATGTAGGGTGTTACTGACAATCATAGTATAAGTGTGGACCCAAGCTTTATAGAGCTGTGGTTTGATCAGAGGGGATAAATTCTAAATTGCCAACCTATTCTACTCTTTCCCCCTTAGATTTCAGTGTATTTAACCCAGAGCAAGCTGAAGAGGAAATGGATGAGAAATCTGTTGATGAGTTAGAGCAGAGCCTACTACTGCTATCCGAGACGAAATCTTGTGCAGTGAGCAATAAGTCTCTTTGGAAAAAGCAGGTCTTTACCATGGCGAAAGTACACTTCCTTAACTTAAAACGAGAGGTTAAATCAGTGGCAGCGGTGTAAGTATTTCAGCTTCGTGCTCCATAGAATTGTAGAGATGGGAGGGACCTCAAGGGCAGTCTAGTTCAACCCCCTGCAATGCAAGAGTCGCAGCTAAAGAGTCCCTGACAGAAAGGCAAGGTCCAACCTTTGTTTAAAAACCTCCCAATTTTTCCCCAGAGGGCAAAGTATGTGGCAAATGGAGCATCATGCCACACCCACTTCTCTTTATATATGTTTACTTGATTAAATGTTGGGAAGCATTGGAAATGGTAAGGTAAAGGGACCCCTGGCCACTGGGTCCAGTTGCAGACGACTCTGGGGTTGCAGCGCTCATCTCGCTTTACTAGCCGAGGGAGCCGGCGTTCATCCGCAGACAGCTTCCGGGTCATGTGGCCAGCATGACTAAGCTGCTTCTGGCGAACCAGAGCAACACACAGAAACCCCATTTACCTTCCCGCCGGAGTGGTACCTATTTATCTACTTGCACTTTGACGTGCTTTTGAACTGCTAGGCTGGCAGGAGCTGGGACAGAGCAACGGGAGCTCACCCCATCGCAGGGATTCGAACCGCCCACCTTCTGATCGGCAAGCCCTAGGCTCTGTGGTTTAGACCACAGTGCCACCCGCGTCCCACTTGGAAATGGTGGGAGAATGGAAAACTTCTTGTTTACAAGTAGCATTCGTTCCACAAGCCAAATATATATACAGTGGTACCTCTGGTTACGAACTTAATTCGTTCCAGAGGTCCGTTCCTAACCTGAAACCGTTCTTAACCTGAGGTACCACTTTAGCTAATGGGGCCTCCTGCTGCCGCTGTGCGATTTCTGTTCTCATCCTGAGGTAAAGTTCTTAACCCAAGGTACTGCTTCCGGTTAGCGGAGTCTGTAACTGGAAGTGTTTGTAACCCGAGGTACCACTGTAATAGGGATGGCACACCTTATTCATCCCAAGGGCTGCATCGCCAAACACAGCATTTTCCCAGGAGTTGTGCTTACATAGGAAGTTGATAGCTGCCTGTTGATAGGCTGTTGGGGGGGGGGGAGTTTAAGGGGTGAATATAAGAGGAAAACCAGAGACAGTGTGCTTGTGGGATGTGTTAAGATGCTGGCCCGCTGGCAACTGTCTGAGAATGTGGATGAAGGATATGATATCATTCCCTTAGACATGCCTTGTGTCTGTGTTTTGATTATTAAGTCGTTTCAGTGTTACAAACTCTATATCTTTATCTATCTTTTTATCTATCTATGTATTGTGATTTTTTTTAATAAAAAGACTTTTGAACACCACAGTAGTCTCAAGTTAGGCTCTTCACTGATCTAGAGAAAAGTAATTATTAAATAGACTTACATATAATCTGGATCCGTTTTAATTATGCTTTTTCTTTCCTTTCTTTCAGATTCTTGCTATTCGCAGTGTTTCTTCTTATTCAGATTCTTATGTTCCTTATACACCATTCCTTCAAAAACGCAGTGATCCCTATCAAACTCTCCCCAGATTTATATTTTCTTAGCCCCAATGAAACTCATCACAAATACAAAACCAGCCTCCTCATTCAAAACTCTACAGGTAAGATGTATTTTATAATGTATTTCAATCACAATTTTAATGTGAACTGTCTTGGAATTATTTTTTAATGAAAGGTGGTATGAAAATGATTTTTAAATAATTAAAAACATCCAAGTTATAAAATACAATTGATTGTGATGTACAGTGGAAATAAAGAATAGTATGTGTTAGTTCAGGTTGAAGAGTGGCTGGTGTGGAGCATGGCAGGCAGGTGGCAAACTCAGTCCTCAAAAGCAGAAACAAATCTGGGCATTCACTCTCCTCCCAAGTCATTTGCAAATTGTTCTGACAGACATGTTTTGCACCAAGAACCATTCTTCCCCCTGGTCCTGTTAGCTAAGAATCATGGGAGTTGTAGGCCAAAACATCTGGAGGGCCGCAGGTTGGGGATGCCTGGTTTAGGCAAAGCAGCTCTTGCTGCTGTAATAGCTGCTGCTGGTGAAAAGGTGGAGGTATTTTTTGTTTGTTTTAAATGAAGATTTCTGCCATTCTCAAAGGTGAGCAGCCCATTTAAATCTTGCTACTGGGTTTCTGGGGTTTTTTCCTGTTGTTATTCTGTCTCTCACAACTACAATAAACCTACCATTAAAATTATGGACTGGTCATTTCTTCCTCAGAGGGCAAACGGGCAAATTTAGCAGGGGATCAAATAGTTTCCCCCCTCACTGCATATTCAACACAAAAAACAGCAACAGTTTGTTGTTGACAAAGGACAGCTGGACATATAAAGGGCCCCGTTACCTTCAGTAGCTTCGGGCCTCATCAAACATAAATCCAGCCCTGATACTTGCGTATCATTCTCTTCGTTGTCTTTAACCTAGGGTCAAACATTGACGACATCCTCAGATCTCTTAGGAGCCAGAATATTCTGACAGAGATACTCAATGGCAGTGACTACGGATCAGCTGACTCCCATGGAACAGCATTGAATGGCAGTGATTACATCTCATTTGCTCCACATAATGCAGTATTAAACGTGTTGCATGATGACAAGGTGAGAAGAAATTCTGGTCCTCTTGGGATTAGAGACAGGAAGGCCTGGGGGGGGGAACGGAAAAATGGGGGGGCCAGGGTTTTTTCCCGTTTTCTTCCAAATGGGAACAAACAGCTTTTTTGGGAGGAACCCTGTCCCCCCCCCCCAAATTTTCCCGGGGTTTTTTTTTCCAGGCCTTATCCCATCTCTGCTTGGGATATAGAGAGCTCAAGTAAACTGTTGCGCGTGTGGTTGCAATATGATGGAATTAACTTGCTGGAAGCCAAGTAGGCTGGGTCACTGCCTGGATGAGAACCCCGTGTACAGGCCCCTGAATTCTGGGATGGAAGAAATGTACTAAATATAAAGAAGCAATACTTTTAATGTTTTATTTTTAGTGCATAAATGTTTATTAAATGTATGAGTCACCTAATAAAGTGACATTCAGAACATAAAAAAACAGATCCCTCCCCCGGTTGTAAGCGATGGACGATTACTTCTAAGAAGTGGGAAAGAATCCTACAATTAGTCCCAAATTAGAGCCATTGCTCCTTGGAATAAACACAGGGGAGTAACATGGCTAATCACTATTTTTGCAGTGTGATTTGACCACCAACAACCATGCAGTTGCATTATAACATTTGTCAAGGTGGAACTTGTAATGTTGTGACATGCTTTCTAAAATCCTTTTAGAAGCACATGATAGATACTCTATAGTCTGAGGGCATTCTCGCGCAGAGGTATTTGCAAACCTGATGTCCCATAAGTAGTATTATCTGAGTCTTCTCAACACTTTGTGAAACTGTGTACTTTTGATTCTGGAAGCTAGTTTTTACATTTTTGCGTTGTTGTTTTTTTCCCTTTCTTTCTTTTTTGCAGAACTACATGTTTACAGTGGCTTTTAACCGTACAATGGTGCATTCTTTACCTGTTATGATGAATATCATTAGCAACTTGTACCTGCACAATTTAAACGTAACCGAAAGGATCCATGTCTGGAGTAACCCTTTCTTTCAAGTAAGTGAATGCAAAACCCAAAGACTAATAATTGTAAATTGAAGTGGTAAGGGAAATGTAGGTGTGTGTTTTTCTTGGGGATAAGCAACCCCCCTGTTTCGCTCCTTTATTCCTTTATGGATCCACTGCACTCCAGTCTGGTCCTGTAGATATATGCTCAGTGGCGGAGCTTCATACTCCAGCACCAAGGGGCGGAGAGCAGGTGGGGGCGGGGCTGGTGTGTGTCCTGGGGGTATGGCATGCCGCCTGCAGGGGCATGGCGCCCAGCGCAGGTGGGGGAAACAGCCGCAATGGCACTCCACTGGGATCGTGCTGCCGGGGGCGGTGCGCTCACCCCACACTCCTCTTCCTCCACGGTGTGTATGCTAAGAACTGGGAATGTCTACAACATTAATTCCACCCTCATATTTTTCTTGCTGCAGTTTCACCATTTATATTTATTCGAATTAAGCACATGCACACACACACACACACACACACACACACACATATTTTCTTCTTCTTTGGCAATCACTTGTAGCCGAGTAAGGTAGTCTTCCATAAACACGGTTTTAACAATGAGTCTGTAAGTGACTGTGGAGGCCAATTCTGGATCCACACGTCCTTCCACAGTGGGGACATTGGTTTCCAGGCGGGAGTTAATCACGGTGTGGATTTGCCAAGTGTGCCTTCCTCTTAGCACATTTCTCCCTTGAGTCCTGAGTTCGAGTGTCTTCAAAGCCCATGACACCTTTGGTAAAGGCTGTTCTCCAACTGGAGCGCTCGCAGGCCAGTGTTTCACAGTTGTCAGTGTTTATACTATATTTTTTAAGATTTGCCTTGAGACAGTCTTTAAATCTCTTTTGTTTCCATTTTTAAGTTTGGAATAGAGTAGTTGCTTTGGAAGACGATCATCAGGTATCTGCACAACATGACCAGTCCAACAAAGATGATGTTGAAGAATCATTGCTTTAAAACTGGTGATCTCTGCTTCCTCCAGTACACTGACATTAGTTCGCCTGTCTTCCCAAGCGATGTGTAAAAAATTTTGGAGACACCATTGACGGAATCTTTTGAGGAGTTGGGAGATGGCTTTTATAAGTGGTCCATGTTTCAGAAGCATATCACACATGAGCACAGCCAACCAAACACAGCCAACCATCTAGCTGTGTACTGTGGCCTAGCAAATGTTTGACAACCCTTCTATACCTTTCCAGTAACTAGCAGACAGCAAAAACAGGGTGTTGATTGAGTCCATTTGTGGACACATCCCCTTCCATGTCTGCAGACATAAAATTAATGTTCCAGGTGATTTTTTGTTTTGTTTTTCTTACACTGAAATCTTTTGACTTGCAGGAAATTACTGACACAGTTTTCACACTAGTTCTGTACTTTGAGGCTGTGTTACTAGGAGTCATTGTAACTGGGATGCCGCCATATTTTGCCATGGAGAACGCAGAAAATCACAAGGTAATATATTTCAACCACAGTATTTAAAAAAGGAACATAAGTCTTATTTACTGGTTCCCCCGGTCATCTGGCCAAACATAATATGATATGAATGAGTAGATAATCAGGCCATCTAGTTGTCCTCATGACCCACATTAATTGATCTCACTTTGTAGTGTACTAATCTATAATAGACACAAACATATTATATGAAACTTCGGGAGTTTGCTGCTAGGGCAAAATTAACTCATTACTTCACATTCAGACGACAGGAAGGTATGATAGCTTTGTAATATAAGATGGAATAGTTTTATTGAATATAGCAAAATTAAATGATTGTGGCCACAAGTAATAATAAATCAGTTTGTAATGCAATTCAGAACAGATACAAATATTTTTCAATATAAATCAGTAGTTTTTCAGTTCTTCAGCAGGACAGTACCCTTTCTTTGGTGGTAGAGCCAGTGTGGTGTAGTGTTTAGAGTGTCGGACTAGGACCTGGGAGACCTGGGTTCAAATCCCCACTCAGGCATGAAACTCACTGGGTGACCTTGGGCCAGTCATTGCCTCTCAGCCTAACCTACCTCACAAAGTTGTTGTAGGGATTAAGGGGGGGGAGGGAACCATGTACGCCACCTTGAATTCCTTGGATGTGGGGAAGGTGGGATAGAAATGCAATAAATAAATATTTGATAATGATGAAACAGTACAAATAAATTAGTAGTATGCGGTTTATGTAAGCTTATAATATTGTAATTAACTATAGTTTCAAATTTAAAAGATGCTGCACGAATTAAGTATATGCCCATATTTGGTTTTTTTTAATGGTTTGGGACCACACTAACTGAAGACCACTTGTACCTGCCTAGCCTTTATGATCAGTCACTGAGGTCCAATTCTCAGCAGTAAGAGATGTTAGGTTAACAGATTACCAGGGACAGAGCCTTTTCAGAAGTCATTGGCATTTGTAGACCAGGGATTAAATCTCCTTCTCTAACCGTATAAAATCCACACGCCGCTCTGGAGGATTTTTATTTATCTTATTTGGGCTTCCCTCTCTCTCCGGCACCAATGTATCTGTCTTTCCTTCTTTGAGCTGCTCTCTACTTACTATATAGCTTTGTTACTAAATAAGACCTATTCTTATTTGATCTGTGTTCATTCATCGCTTACTGGTGTTTTGGCTGCTGTACTTCAGTCCAGGAAGTTCTGGGCTTCCCGGAGGCATCTTGTTGGTGAGAACAGAATACTAGACTCGATGGGCATCCAACAGGGTTTTTCTTACATTCTTACATTTCTGTGATGTGCATAAGCCATTCAGCTCTGTTCATCCCAATCCAAAACTGCTGAAGAGCAGAAATCTGGTTAGGCTAATCTGGTTAGGCTTGGTGCCATTTTCCGTGTTTGATATGTGTTTTAATGTGTTTTGCAGATCAAAGTCTACACTCAACTTAAGATCTCAGGTCTTTATCCATCTGCATACTGGTGTGGACAGGCGCTAGTTGACATTCCTTTATTTTATATTATTCTCCTCCTCATGATGGGTAGCTTATTTGTATTTCACCATGGAGTTTATTTTTTCCCTGAAAAGTTTATTGCTGTGGTAAGTTTTGCTTAATTTCAAATAATTTTCCTGTATTTTACTCATTCTTTGTTGTTGTTGTTGTTAATACATTTGGGTTACTAACCCACTTCTCAAAGGTGGAGACAAGATCAAAAATACCTAAATCTTAATTCCTACTAAAATAGAAAACAATGATACCACTTAGCCCCTCATACTGGTTTCACTATGGCGGTGAAAATCCAGCACAGATGCAAACATCTGAGCGCTTCCCAAACATTCAGTTTTTGTACTGTCTTGGTATGCAGGTGCTATAAACATAAGAATTATTTTCATCTCTTTTTTTCTGGCTCATGGCCTTTAATTATTTGTATGCCATTTCCAATCCAACATGGCAAATTGTGTCTGAAAATGGCAGTAGAGATACAACAGTGCAGCTGTGAATTTACTTTCTAGTAGCTACTCCCATTAGGGTACGGGCTGCTGCTTTCTTCATGCAGATTCATGGGCAATTTTGAGCAAAGCGCATATTTTTACTAATAAAAAGTAAGAACATCATCAGTGTACGCAAGCATGGTGTAATGGTTAAGAGCGGTGGACTCGTAATCTGGGGAACCGGGTTCGCTTCCCCGCTCCTCCACATGCAGCTGCTGGGTGACCTTGGGCCAGTCACACTTCTCTGAAGTCTCTCAGCCCCACTCACCTCACAGAGTGTGTGTTGTGGGGGAGGAAGGGAAAGGAGATTGTTAGCCGCTTTGAGACTCCTTAGGGTAGTGATAAAGCAGGATATCAAATCCAAACTCTTCTTCTTCTCCCTCCCCTGTTTCCCTTATCAAGCGGTCGTAGTACACATGTGACCAGCCATTTTTGGTAAAAAGTGGTCTGTGTTTTCCTTTATCACATGGATCCCAAATCCTTCCCTCCTTCTGAAATCTCCATGTTCAGGCTATAATCCCGAGTAGCCTGCAAGACAAGCCCTGGACAGGAGCAGGGTTGTTGGCTTAATGCATGGGTAGGCAAACTAAGGCCCGGGGGCCAGATCCAGCCCAATCGCCTTCTAAATCCGGCCCGTGGACCGTCTGGGAATCAGCGTGTTTTTACATGAGTAGAATGTGTCCTTTTATTTAAAATGCATCTCTGGATTATTTGTGGGACCTGCCTGATGTTTTTACATGGGTAGAATGTGTGCTTTTATTTAAAATGCATCTCTGGGTTATTTGTGGGATATAGAAATTCGTTCATTCCCCCCCCCCAATATATTCCGGCCCCCCACAAGGTCTGAGGGACAGTGGATCGGCCCTCTGCTGAAAAAGGTTCCTGACCCCTGGCTTAAGGTCTGTGAGGGAAAAATAACAGAAAGGGGGAACTTAAAGGACGCCATTGAGCCCTGTAGGGATTTCCTGCTCGGGGATTTAGGGGAGCAGGGAGTGCCTTAGTTTCTTAACTGCTGTTACCTGTTTCCACCTCGGAACATGTTTTAATTAACACTAATAACTTTCCTTTCCTTACAGATTTTTTGCCTCATTGGCTACGTACCATCAGTAGTTCTGTTCAATTATGTTGTCTCCTTCACCTTTAAAACGATTCAAAACACCAAAGAATTTTGGTCATTCATTTTTTCAGTGGTAAGTTTAATGGCTGTGTTGAAGTTGCCTTTCCTGCTTACCATAATTTTGCAATGAGTATTGTATCAGTTACACCCCCACCCCCACCCCCAGTAATTTGGATGTGGCCCAGTCCTGCAAGCACACAAACCCTGTTTAGGCGCTTGGTAGCCTTGGCTACCAAATGCAGGATAGGACTACCAAGAACACATGGAGCGGCCATGTCCTCTGTATGATGACACCGGCCATGCCTTCCCTCCCCAATCTCATAGGTATGCACACACAGTTCCCTCCATGAGAATGTGAAGCCGGTTGTTGAAAGTCCAAGTCTTTATTTTAATTTCTTTTCCCTTTCAGGCAGCCTTGGTTTGTTCTGTTGTCATCGAAATAGCGTTTTTTATGGTGTACTACACAACAGCGGCCGTCCTTCACACCTGTTTTTCTGTCTTTATTCCAATCTATCCCCTTATTGGATGCCTCATTTCTTTTATAAAGGTAAGTTTTCAAGGAACTGAAATAGGGGTATGTTCTGCTTGTGGTGTGTCCTAGGGGAGGGAATATATTAAACTGCAATGTGAGTGCAGGATAAAGACATATCCAATAGTATTATGTGGGTTAGCTCCTTCCTCTGATACCCACTACAAAATAAGGGTAGACCTTTTTCAAAGAGCATCATGGAGGTTGCCTGGGCAAGAGGAATGGTGTGAAGAGGGGCAGTTTCTCCTTTCACTGACAGGAAGAGTGGAAGAGGAAACTTACTGAGGCAATATCCCCAACCATAGCAGCCTCTGAAGTAACAGACTGGCATTGTATTAATGTATGCAGTACTACCAACCTTATTATATGCTTGTGAAACATGGATCGCTTATAAATGCCACCTCCAACTCTTTGAAAGATTCCATCAACGGTGTCCCCCCAAAATTTTACACATCACTTGGGAAGACAGGCGAACTAATATCAGTGTACTGGAAGAAGCAGAGATCACCAGTGTTGAAGCAATGATTCTTCAGCATCAACTTTGTTGGACTGGGCATGTTGTGTGGATGCCTGATGATCCTCTTCCAAAGTACTCTATTCCAAACTTAAAGATGGAAAGCGTAATGCTGGTGGTCAACAAAAGAGGTTTAAAGACTGTCTCAAGGCAAATCTTAAAAAATATAGTATAAACACTGACAACTGGGAAACACTGCTCAGCAAGCGCTCCAGTTTGAGAACAGCCTTTACCAAAGGTGCCGTGGGCTTTGAAGACGCTCAAGCTCAGGATGCAAGGGAGAAATGTGCTAAGAGGAAGGCACACTTGGCAAATCCACACCGTGATCAACTCCTGCCCGGAAACCAATGTCCCCACTTTGGAAGGACATGTGGATCCAGAATTGGCCTCATTGTTAAAACAATGTTTATGGAAGACAATCTTACTCAGCTACGAGTGACCGCCGAAGAAGAAGAAGAAGAATCGTGCATTTTAGTCACAGGCAATTATGGGAGCTCTCTTTTACTGTGTCATTTAAGCATCATGAAAACTTTGATAATATAAACTGCAGCTGAATCGAAGAGAAAAAGGGGCGTTCTTGGGCCGCGCTGTCCTTAAATGACCCTAGCCCCGCCCCTGCAGTCAGCCGATTGGCTGGCCTGGGGTATGACGTGACCCGAGGATTCCCCTGATTGCGCGGGGCTGCAGCCAGCCCCGCGCGGGTGGTGGTGGGCGTGAGCCCGCAACTCCCCCCTCCTGATGTTGGGAGTGGCTTTATCTTTGAAATATTCTTGTTATATTTAAAAAGGAGGGGAAGCATTTAAACAGCATGGTTACAATCCAGAAGAGACATCCCATTGGAATAAACTGGTATTTTAAGTTTATGGTATCTTTAATAGTGGTATTAACTGTATTGATTCGCTATAATTCAGAAGAAAAGTTTTATCACTCTTTGGGAAAGCATGCAGATTTTCTGAATTGCAGTGTTAAAATTAAAATTGGCATCATCTGCAAAATACATTGAAAAGAGTTGTATGAATAACTATTTGTTATCTTGTTAGATAGCCCGGAAACTTGATAACAAGATGGAAAGGAATTCAGAAAGATTGCTGGTTTCAGTAGTAGCGGTAAGCATGCTGTTTTTCTTTTGATATTCGGGGGATCGGCTATTTGGTTACATTTTGGAGAGTAATTATTGTTACTGTTTATCATTTGTGCAAACCCATCATATTATTGTGTGTTTAACTTTTTTGTTTGTTTGTTTACATGCAGTATTCTAACATCAAGTAGTATAGTTTCACCTTTTCAATCAGAGGGCATGTGGTGTTTGTTCCAGACAATCCTGGAAATCAGTGTGCTGTGCCCATAGATTACTTGGGTTTCTGTAAGATCCCAGTTGAACTATTGCAATGCTTTATAAAGTGGGATTTCTTGAAAAAGCATTCAGAAATTTGGACTAGTGTAGACTGTGGCAGATTATTGACTGGAATTCACCACAGGGAACATATTACCAGAATGCTGAATGATTTTTCTTAAGACTTCCATTCAGTTTCCGGGTACCATTCAAAGTGTTAGTTTTAACTTTCAGTGGTGAGTCTAGAACTTTAAACGGCCAACTTCTCTTATGTGAGAGTTCTATAATTTAAGAGCTTCATCTGAGGTCCTACTTTGAGTGTCTTTGGAACTTAGGCAAGTGCCTGCAGAAGAGAATTGGCACCCCAATTATGTAGTTTCTTTTCTACACTGCAGTCGAACGCATTGTTATCTTTTAAAGTCTTGTGTGTCTGTCCTGATTGCCCATGCTTTACTATAGCTCTTGATATTTATTATCTGGTCTTTACTTGGTTTCTTAATTGTCCAGTTTTAATTCTGATTTTATGAGAAAAAAATTTTTTTTACATAAATAATTTAATCTACAGGTGGGTCCAGAAAGTGCAATGACAGAGTGAAAGATGTTCTATCAGAATAATTTTACTTTTACGGTGTTTTCCTAAGTACCCCTAGCATTTTCCATGCCTATAAAATTGAATGAAAAAGTCAGATTGCCCAGAATATTTATGCCACATTCTATATCACCTGACTATCATTCAGATTGATACTATTTAAAAGTAGGAGGTTGTATCCAACCAAGTTCTACTAAGAGCAGATCCGTTAAAACGAATGTACCAAGGTTAGTCATGTCCAGCAATTTCAAGGGGTCTCTTCTGAGTAAGTCTCTTCTGAGTAAACTGGAGACATCCCAGTGAATTATTCCACTTGTGAACTTGTCTTCAGACTTGGAAAAAGGGAGGGAAGAACTTCACGAGAGTGGTTGGTAGCAACAAAACCAAAAACTTCACTCCTCCATTCTTCGTAAAAATGTGACCAACTGCACCACCTTTTCAAATAACAATTAGGATGCTATCCTTCATTCTGGGCAGTGTTATTCAGAAAGATTATTTCACACTTAAGGCTGCTGCTTGAAAAATCAAACCAAGGGTTCAGAGGTCTCACCTGAGGTCTCATACTTAGGAATGATTGGACGTTTATTGGTGCAACAGGCCTTGTTTCCAGTGCCAACATAAGAGCAGCCATTTTGCCTGAACCTGCCACCACTGTGGCATGTAAGTGCTGCTCAAAACGGTATTTAGAAGGGATAGGGTGAGACAAACCTACTTATTTCTTAAATAAAACAATAGTATTTATTTTATTGATCTTTGATCAAAACATTTGAAGGTCACCTTTTAGAACTTGGTCCTTTTAGGCTGCTTAAACAAATCAGCCTACAGATGTATGCAGAAAAAAAGACGAGTGTTACATGGAGTGTAACACTCTCCTGCAATCTATAATTTTAGGTGGTATACCCACCATGTCTTCAAAGGGCATTTGAAGCACATTCTTTCCCTCACAGAAGTTTGGGCATTGTAGTTTACTGCTCACAGAGTTACGATTCCCAGCTACCTTTAACAAACCAAAATGCCTCGAATTCGGGGTGTGTGTGTGTGTGTGTGTGTGTGTGCGCTTCAAATGTGCTTTATATGTTTAGTGTGTACCACAGCTTTACATTACACTGTAGAACGGGAGGAGTGTTAATAAATGTTCAGATCCTGAAGTTCAGTTGAAACCCAGAGAAAGACGTGTAAGAGTACTGTGGGAGACCTCATATCAGGAAACATATCTAGTTGTTTTGGACTAGTCTCGATGAGCCCCAGCCAGCATAACCAATAGTTAGGAATGAAATGAATTGTAGTACAAAACAAGCATTCCATGAATGATGAAGAAAATCAGAAACCTCTTTCATGACGGGGAAACGTTCAAGAAATTAAGAGAACAGATTTCAGCAGATTACAATTGGGAAGACTGTGATTTCCAGATTGAACATTTTTTAAAATAGAACTTAAAAAAAAAAAATCACCACAGAGCCTGCAGCCTTATCATAAAGGTTTGCACTAAATGTGTGCCATAGTCTCATAACCATACACAATACCATGGATTATAAATATAGGAGTACAGCAATTGGCATGCCCCATTCTATACATTCATGTTTAAGTTTCAGTAAACTTGCAGTTACAAATGCAAATCAGCACAGGACCAAAGCTGTTTCAATTAATATACTTTTTCCCTTTCTTCAATTTAGCCTTATTTGCAATGTGTAATTTGGCTCTTCCTTCTACGATATCTTGAGGTGAAGTGTGGAGGCAAATCGTTGAGAGAGGACCCATTTTTCAGGTTTGTTTGTCTTTGAAGTAGCAGTATTCAGAACAGTGTGCACCAACCAAAAGAATCAGCACGGATCGATGCGGAGGCTGAGATCCAAACCTGATTTCAGGATGATATTATTAATAGTATTCGTATTTGTATTAGTATTAGTATTATTTGCACTTATTAGCCACTTTTCTTACAAAATAGTTCAAAGATTAAAATCAATATAAAACCAAAGCAGAAAAAAACCCATTCATACATATTAAAAGCCCATTCATTTTTCCACTCATTTCACATGCGCCTTGGATGTGCCTCCTCATGTGAGGAGAGGCAGTCCTTAAAGTATTGAGCCACATAAGGCCGAAAGCTTGATAGGCCCAAAACCAGCACTTTGAATTGAGCCCAGAAGCTAATTGGTAGCCAGTGTCATCATGCCAGAATTTTTATATGCTTGGAGTGACTTGCTCCCATTCATCTCCCATTGGCCAACAAATTTTTCACCAGCTGCAATTTCGGAACTGTCTTCAAAGGCAGCCCCCTCCCTATATAATGCATTGCAGTGACCTAACCTAGAGGTTACCAATGTAAACATCAGAATTTAGGCTGTCCCAGTCCTGATAGGGCACAGCTGGGCCAGCAGCCAAAGCAGATAGATAGCACTTGGTGCCACTGAGGCCCCTTGAGCTTCAAGCAACAGTAATGGTTACCAGAAGCTATGTAGCAGCTCCTTCAGAGGGAGTGTAACCCCACCCAGAGAAGACCACATCCTCTTCATCTGGTCTAACATATAACCCTAGCAGTCATGTCTGGATTAGGTTCCAGTTTATTGACACTCATCCAGTCTATTACAGAGGTAAGACATCAGTGCAGCACATTCATTGCTATGCCTGCAAATGTAAAGGAGTAGGGCTGGGTGTCACCAGCGTATTGCTCACGGTGTACTGCAAAACTCTTGGTGACCCCACTCAGTGGTTTCATGTTGGTGTTAAGCAGCACGGGGGATAAAACTGAACCTTGCAGAACCCCACACTGAAGGCTCCATGGAGCTGGACAGTTGACTCCCCAAGCCCATCCTTGGCTGTTGCTCCTCTTCAAGCCAGTACTAGATGACTCACAGAATCTGCGAGGGACTGTGCTCACTGCCAGTTCTGCTGCAGTGATGCATCGGATAGGGACATATCAGCAGGGTTGCATGTATGGAACTTTCCATATTATGGACTGGCCTGTTGAGCTGATGGCATTACAGTGGTACCTCTGGTTGCAGACGGGATCTGTTCCGGGGGTCCGGCCAGATCCCGAGGTTTTGCAACCAGACAACCGCTTCTGTGTATGTGGCGGTAGACCACTTCTGCGCATGTGCGCACAGCAAAACCCGGTAAAATACTTCCGGGTTTGCCACTTTCGTGTCCCGAAATTTACGTAACCAGAGGATTACGTAAACGGAGGTACTACTGTATTTCTGTGAGTGCTATGTATCCAGAGGTCCCATGAGCAGAGTTTAAACCTATTTCCCTACCTTCAGAACTCCCGTGAAAGTGAAGCCCTGGAAGTTCCCAGATGTGCCACATAATGAAGATGAGGATGAAGATGTTATGGCTGAGCGGTTGAGGGTTAAGGAGATGACAACCTGCCAGAGCTGTGAGGAGGTAAGTCTTTCCCTTCAGTGAAAAATCATACTCCCTAGTTTGCACCCAATGATGTGCTAAGATTTAGGGAAGCTGGAAGTCTTTCTCCTGGCAGCACAGGAGGAAGACAGGTGAGTGAGGAGCAGATGAGCCTGAGACTTCTGCTTAACCTCAGGCTCACATGTGTGTGCCTTAGGCTCATGTGTTCCTGCACATCACATTTAACCAGGGTTTGCTAATCCTCACTTCAGTGGGCTAATTCACCCCAATATTGTTTTCTGCTGATTTCGGTGTTGGTGATGTAAAGAACAGAAATTAAATTAGACACAGCATGCACCGGGGGGGGGGGGGGGATGGAGCTCAGTGCTCGGATGGATTATTTTTTAAAAAAATTGCATTATATAATCTCATTCAGTATTCAACTCTATCATCTTTTGTTTTATTAGAAACCAGCAGTTTTGGTCAGTAATTTGCATAAAGAGTACGATGAAAAGAAAGATTTTCTTCTTGGAAGGAAAATAAAGAAAGTGGCAACAAACCATGTCTCTCTTTGCGTAAAAAAAGGTTTGAGTTAAATTGTTTACTACGGAATCAATACTCTTTTTTTAGAAAATACAACACACCCTCTTGTGAGGCACAACTGCAGGTGCTCTTTCTTTTTATTTCAGGGGAGATTCTGGGACTGTTGGGCCCCAATGGAGCTGGGAAGAGCACACTCATTAATATATTGGTGGGAGAAGTCGAACCAACTTCAGGCCAGGTATTCAAATGCAACCTAACCTGTCTGCTCACTCTTCCTTCTGAGTTTTATTGTGTTCACCATTACAGGAGTTCTCTTTTAATTAAAAAGTTTCATAGCTCAGGCATTGGTCCCTCTTTCTAGATTGAAGAAACTGATATCTCATACCGAATCTACATACAGTTTACGGTTTGATTTCAGAATGAATTGTCCATGCGGCACTCTGCTCACGCCACACCCTGCATTGAGTCGCTTAAGAGCAGTAGCTCCAATGCCAGTCTTCCTACTGCCACAACAGCAGTGTGGCTCACTAGGAAGCGTGATCTGACACGCCAGCCAGCCAGAACAAAAAGCGTACAGAAAGAGAGAGAGATTGTGGTGGGTTGACAAAGAAAGAAGGGGGATTGTCAAAGAGCATGGGGTGTGTGAAGTGTCCCTTTTCTTCAGAAGCTCAGTGTGCTGATGCTGGTACAGCTGTTGGTTTTCATTTGCGCTGAAAAGGGCCATACAAAACTGAAATGGTTGAGCTGAACAAAACAGCGTTACGAGTTACAAACAGACTCACCCTCATCTTGATTCTGGCAGCACTCCAGTAGAAAATAAAGATAGGAAAAATGGATTCCCCTCACGCATATAACACTTTATAAAGTCAGAAATAGGCTCGTAGGAGTGTTGGAACTTGCCCAGCTTCCATAGGATTATCATGTATCAGTAAGATGAAAACTCTTCAGATAGTATTTCTTGCCATTATTTTAATTTAGCTCTTCCTATCGTTCAGTATTTCCTTGCAAACTTTATGTAGGAATTTTAAAACCTTAGACTGTGTAGTTTATTTTTATGTACACCATATTGGAATGCTAATTACTAATTGGTATAGAAATGTTTTAAACAAATACATTAACAATAATAATGATAACAACAAGGTGAAAATGTTAACTAAGGATTGGTATATCCACAGGTGCTGATGGGAGATTATTCCTTAGGTGAGAATAATGAGGATAGCTCCATGAGATTTGTGGGATACTGTCCTCAGACAAACCCCCTCTGGCCTGATATTACATTGCAGGAGCATTTTGAAATTTATGGTGCCATCAAAGGAATGAATGAAAGCGACATGAATGAAGTCATAAAATGGTAAATATTTTATTTTGAACACTTGTTGTACAGTAGTTTATCTCCCCCTCCCCGTCCTTCGGTATGGGTATCTTACTTAATTGCAAAGTATAAAAGCTTTAATTGATGGTGATCAAATTGTACTTGTAAAACTTAGCATGTCCCTTTAAAATGCAGCTTTCAAGTATTAAAGTGGTACATACAATATTTAACAGATGTGTTTCCTTTACACTTGACAAATGGCTCAAAAGGGAGATAAACCCAGAAAGAAACAAGATTTAGGAACCTCAGAGTGGTGTAGCAAATACATACCAGGAACTGCTCTAAGTTTTAAGATACTGGACAGTTCACAGGGGGTGGCAGGGGGAAAGGATTCTCTGAGAGCTGCTAAATCCATCTTCCATGCCCTTCTTTCTTTATTGGACAGTTTTCACCAGGCACTGTTTGTTTTACTACTTTTGTTCAGATAAATCACATAAATCTCACTAGCACACTGAAAAAGATATAATGAGCGTATAATGAATTTATTGATGTTCTCTCATGTAGGCTTTTTAGAATGCTTAATACTGTAGTGACACCCCTTTCTAGACTACAAAAATGTTGGCCATGTGGTTTTCTGCAGCGTTTCCAGTGCACTTGACTTCAAGGAACATCTTCAGAAAAGGACAAAGAAACTTGGAGCAGGAATCAAACGGAAGGTATTTTATTGCTTTAAAACGTTGCATTTCTAATTCAGGCTACATGGAATAAACGGGCATTTGACTATATGAGCACCCCCTGTTCAAGCTGATGTAAACAAGCAGCCCTCTGTCTTGATGCTTCTCAAACTCCATTCTCTGCCTGCCTCTTCCCCAACAACAATAAAACCTCACCTTGCAAGAAGCGGACATGGTAGCAAGTGGAGGAGAGCTCAATTGAGAATGAAAAATGCCTGTCTCCCTAGGTGATCATCCATCAGATGGGTAGATACTGACATCTATTGTCCAAAGGCAGAAAATGCAGAATTGAGGAAGTAGATTGCCTCTCAATGTACAGAACCTCCTGTCCATTCATGAGATTTTCATGTCATAGTGCCTCTTTCCCCCTCCCTCAACCCCGAGCCCTTTCAGTCACAGTACAGTGGTACCTTGGTTCTCAAACTTAATCCGTTCCGGAAGTCTGTTCCAAAACCAAACCGTTCCAAAACCAAGGCGTGCTTTCCCATAGAAAGTAATGCAAAATGAATTAATCCGTTCCAGGCTTTTAAAAACAATCTCTAAAACAGCAATTTAACATGAATTTTACTGTCTAATGAGACCATTGATCCATAAAATGAAAGCAATAATTAATGTACTGTACTATAAAATCAATAAGACAGTATTGTAGATGATAAAATAAAATAAAAAAATTCTTTCCTGCACTGATGATAGTCATTGTTTGGCTGGGAGGCTTTTATCTATTTCCGCAGTCACACAATCAATCAGTTAATCAATCAATCAATCAGTAGCTGAAATGGGTTCCACACAGTCACAAAAACAAATTAACTGAAAAAGCCTCAAAAACAAAAATGCAAAATAACTAGCAAAAACAAAAGCACCAGACTTAATCCATTCTGGAAGTCTGTTTGACTTCCAAAATGTTCGAAAACCAATGCGCAGCTTCTGATTGGTGCAGGTGCCGTGAAAACAATAGCCGACAACCGCATTGGGCGTTTGGCTTCCAAAAATCATTCGAAAACCGGAACACTTCTGGGTTTTCAGAGTTTGTGAACCAAAGCGTTTGAGAACCAATACATTTGAAAACCAAGGTACCACTGTGTAGTGGTTGTTTGCTTTTTAGTTAACCTTCCTTCCATCTTCCTTTCTGTGAGTGGTGTGTCAGCTCCTGGAAATTTATGCATGGTTTCTTGGTGGCATGCTTCTCTATTTAATCTCCAGCATTTGCAATTCCACATGCACAGCAGCGTTTTTCTCCCTTGCCAGCTTCCCCCCTCCAAAGTAAGCCTTTTTTCTCTGAGACTCTTTTCTCTTACTTTTCAATGTCACTTGATTCCTCCTTTAAACAAACAAACAAACCCAATCTATCTTTCCTACTTTCTTCTCCTACTCTCCCAGTGGCAGGCTGAATGGGTTGAAGCCCTCCTCTACCTACCACCAACTTCAGCTCCCCCAAAATGAGACTCTCCCCCCCCCATTTTGGGGGAAGAGGCAATAGACAGAAAGATTGCCATTGCACCCTCTGGCATTAAATCAAATGCTTGGAGATCCCCTTTGAGGGTTTCCAAGTGTTTGCACACTTTGAGGATTAAAGTCAATGTAGTTTCAGTGTGTACGCATGTTTTCTTCATCTGTAGAGCACACGGCCATCAAATTAATCTTTCTTTCCTACCCTCTTGTTTTAGCTATGTTTTGCCTTAAGTATGCTTGGTAACCCTCGTATTACTCTACTAGATGAGCCATCTACTGGTATGGACCCCAAAGCAAAGCAACATATGTGGTGAGTAACACCAAACGACATGGAGAATGTGTTTTAGAATGGAATATCACAGCTTTTTATTTAGAATTACATCTCACCCCTTACTGCATCACTTTCAATGCAGCTAGCAAACCTGGAATAATCATCTGAAAAATCAGCACAGTGAACAAACATTGACAGCAGGAACATAATATAGTTGCAACACAAAATAACACTGATTCTATTATTATTATTATTATTATTATTATTATTATTATTATTGCTGCTGCTGCTGCTGCTGCTGCTGCTGCCTCCCCCACCCCCAGAATGCCCAGGGTAATTTTGGACAAAGGAAAAGACAAAGTAGGTAGCAGCTACCTTAGGAAACCTCAGCTACCTCTGCCACCTCAGAATCAGCAAAAAGTTGAGAAATATAGATATTGTGCTACCCACAGTAAACTCCAATCTCTTAAGAACCCTCCTGCTGATTATCAAGAACTTTCAACTCCACAGTACCAGAAAAGGGAGTTTTGTGCCATTTTTTCCACATACCCCAATGAAAGGATTTATCAGAGTATTGTGTAAATTGTAACCTATGGCCAGTGCGCTGGACCTACCTGTCATCCCTGGAGAATGGGCACAAAAATACTTGGATATGGAGAAACAATTGGGGTGTGAGAGAGATTTGTATTTGATTGCATCTCCAGCTGATGGAAAGTCCAGCAGATGACTTTATAACCATTATATGCTATTCCATAGAGGAATACTAAAAAAGTGAACCATTTGCAGGTTAGCCACTCCACTTTTCCACTGTTTATTACATCTGACAGGAAAGCGATTCGTGCAGCTTTTAAAAGTAAAGAGAGAGCAGCCATTCTGACAACTCACTATATGGAAGAAGCAGAGGCTGTGTGTGATCGTGTTGCAATCTTGGTGTCTGGAAAATTAAGGTACCTCCTCCGCATCTTTGGGATATCTTGAATAAAAGCATATTGGGCTTTTGCATTAAAATAATGTGAAGGGTTTTGACATTAAGTTCCCCTTTGTCTGCCTGCCTGCCTTTTCTTCCCCTTCCCCTCCCCTCCGCCCAAAGATGCATTGGTACAGTTCAACATCTCAAGAGTAAATTTGGCAGAGGATATTTCTTAGAAATGAAACTGAGACATGTGCCGCTTACAGAGAAGAAGGAGTACCTTCAGAGGGAGATTCTGCGCATCTTTCCAAATGGAACTTACCAGGAAAGGTAAAAAAGCAAGTCGTGTAAGAGTTCTGGGTATTAAGCTAAACAAAAAGAAGCTTGATTTCCCCCAACACCCCAAAGTGCACAACATGGGGAGGGAGGATGAACAGCGAGGATTCATTGGTCAGCTGGCAACACACCTGGCAACAGTGACACAGAACTTAGCCCACAGGTTGGTCACAACAAATGCCTGACTTCCAGCTGATCAGCTCTACAGCAGGTAGCCTTGGGAAGGGATCTCGGAAATAGATTAGAGTGGGAATTTCTCTCCTCTGGTCTTCTCCCGAGCCATAAATTGGGCCCTGATGCAGGTTTAGGCCAGTATTTTCATGCCTGTCCTCCTACTTAAATTTGGACACTCATTATTGCAAATATTGCTTGTTACTGTAAATACAGTTATGTGTTTGCTATAGACCCAAAGTAGACTGTGGTTGATGTGGCTGGCAGAAAAGTTTGCTTGGGTCCCTGACAGGCAGCTAAGATCTGCTTGTTATGTTTGGTTTTCTCTTTGCAAATCACTTTGATTGGTACTTTTCTTTGTAGGACCCTCAACTGGCTGTGTTAAAATAAGTTGATAGAACAGACAAAAGCTGCAGTCTGATCCAAAACGACAGCCTGTCCAAACGTATTACGACATTGTACGCTTCATTCCAGTAACATTACTTAAGCCACGGGTGGTTTTCATTTCTGCTTAGTTGTTGCTGAATGCGCTGATGCCTGTTTTATCTTTGTTGCAGTTTTGAATCTATTTTGGCTTACAAAATCCCAAAGGAAGATGTCCACTCACTTGCATTATCGTTTTCTAAACTGGAGGAAGGTGAAGTAACAATTTACTAAGTAGAACCTCCATCTGATTCTCAATTTTCTATCCAAACCACCTGTTAACCTGAATTCATCTTAACCTGAATTCATCTTGTCAATCGCCACCCCCATCATCATGTCTCTCAGAATCACAGTTCTCTCTGTAAATAATATATTCTCTTATCCAAACCCCTGGTGAGTGGGTATGTTGCCTTCCTGATTTGCCTTCCTGAGACACATTGAAGTCTGTTAACTTTTAGAGAGCATTTAAAGAGGTACAGGATTTCCTCTTGATGCATTAACTTGTTGTCTCCTCACAGGCTATACACTATGCTTGACTAGTGCTTGCATCCTTAAACATTAAAGTCTTCTGGAAGCTCCTAATGTGCAGAAGAGGTACCTTGGTTCTCAAACTTAATCCATTCCGGGAGTCTGTTAGACTCCTGAAACCGTTTGAAAACCGGAACACTTACTTCCGGGTTTGCAGTGTTTGGGAGCCGATTTGTTCGACAACTGAGCTGTTCAAGAACCAAGGTACCACTGTATACTGTACTGCAATGCACACAGTGGCTTTCCTGATCACTGGAATCTTAGGGAACAGCAGGGTACATGTACCCTGATGTGTCTGTATATGCGGGAGCCAGAAACTGCTAAGAGCTTTAGGATGTGCACATCTTAATGCTTATGACCTTCAGATTGATCAGTGTTTTCTATTTTTATTGATGTTGAGAGACAGGTTTCATTTTAAAATGCGTGTCCTTGTAAAGTAATTTTTGATGTATAATTGATTACTGTTGAGGAGTAAGGAGTTCTTTCTATCACTTTTTAACAGCAAAACATGCGTTTGATGTTGAAGAGTACAGCTTCTCCCAAGCAACACTTGAACAGGTAATTTAAACAGACTTTTTCAAAAATATAATGCAGCGTTCCACAGAACATAGTTTCACGGTTTTCAAATTTATATTTGGTAAAATCGTTTGCTTCTGTAAGCTAGCTATATTTACAAAAAACATGGTCACAGAAAACATTCATACCTCTCATATCTGGCGATGATTTTATTATAGCTTTCCAAGTTCACAAAAGTTTTGTAAATTAACATGACACATAATTTTTGGACCAAACCATGGCTTAGCACAAATGTGCAAATGTTTGGGTTCTGGGAGCAAATATCGTTGCCGCAACACTCCTGCTTCTTCTCTACTAACTAAAGCTAAGTCATTCTTTGGCTTAGTGATACATCTAAACGCGGGCTTATGGTTTGCAACCAAAGTTTTAGTCTTGGTTTACTGCTTGTGGAGATTTCAAACTCTCTATTAACTTGGGCTACCATTTTGCCTGCAAAATTCTCACATGCATTGTGGTTGTAATTTAACATATTCATGAAGCTCTTACTTGTTTTAGGTATTTGTGGAACTTGCAAAAGAGCAAGAGGAGGAAGACAGTGGTTTTGGAACACTAAACAGCACTCTTTGGTGGGAACGAGCGCAGGAGAGAGTGGTTTTCTGATCTGGTCTGCGTTGTAGAATTTTACCAGTTTCATTCTTCAACTTTTTTTTTAAAGGACTGTTCCCCCCCCCCCCCCGTCTTTGTTTCCTTCCTTTGGAATGTGTATGAGCACAGTGAATCGGAAACATATTTCCAAACAATTCTAAGTATAACACTGATTTCACCTAAAAATGCAAAATGGAGCCTATTCACCTTCTTTGCCTTACATACATCAACATTATAAATGTCTTTTATCTATGACTTGCTCTTTTTATGTGAAACGTTTTGTAGCCATGGCAGAAAGAGGGCAGATTAGAATTTAATTTTGGGGGTGCAATATATGCTTTCTACTCTAGAATTTCATATACCAAATTGCATCAGTCAGTACAAGTATGTGGTATCCTCTTTAGCAGAAGACAACTACAGATTTTTAAAATTTATGATTACAAGGCATTTAAATGTGCTGCAGTTCATGAAGCTTGATTTCAAGAACCACCTCTGAAGAAGTTGTAGGGAGAACATTTTGCGACACTACTGAGCAGTCTACAGTATAGTAATCGGTTTATATGGATATTTTTCAGAGGAGATTTTTGCTAAAGACCATACTGACATGGTTCCGGTTCAACCTGGTAACTCCTGTCAATTTGCACACATTTTTATGTAAGCTAAATCATAAGAGAAAGCAGTTCCCTAGACTAGCAGGTATTATTCAGGTGGCTCAAAGCTCAGGTACACCTCAATTTGTAATAAACCACAAAATAGAATACTTAGCATTTATTTAATCTTCTTCAAACTTCTGGGGAAATTCATATTGGAATTTTCTTTGTATGCTAAGTGCTCAAGTTGATCTTACTGTGCAACCCAAAGTAAGGAAGTCTGCCCGGGGACAGGAACATTGGCAGTTCTGGCATCACAGACTCCCATTTCATACAGTCCCCATTGTATGATGGCTGAGAAAAGGGGAGCAAGAGCATCAGAAGGCACAAGGACACGTCCATGATAGCCCCAACCCACAGCAGCAAATTCAGACGCAGCTCCCAGCAGCAAAGGCTGATCCACCCAGTACACACATGACCAGACAACACATGACACTCACACTCACTGTGATACTGTAAATACACTTAGCACCAGCAGTGCTGCAGCTGGGTGGAAATCAACACCTTGTCATTTCCACTTCAGGTCCCTAAACACAGCACTCACACCACCAAAACACACAACAACAGGCAGATCATTTTTTTAAAGCCCTTTATTGTTACGATGGAACCAGCTACACTGTCAAACAATCGACACCTTCTCATTTCCACTTCAGGTCCCTAAACACAGCACTCACACCACTGAAACACACAACAACAGGCAGATCGGTTTTTTTTAAGCCCTGTATTGTTACGATGGAACCAGCTACACAGTCGAACAAAATACCTCTGTGCACCTTGTTGGGAATCCCTCTAGAATGACATGTGTGCATGTTGGCTTGGTGTGCTTACATCTGCAACCTGAGCGGAGTAGCAGAAGTTTATTTACATTTGTATCATAAAAATATATATCAAAGCGGTTTACAGCAATAAAAACATAAAATGGGGCCTGTGGTTGTCCATGGGTGGGCTGGCTCTTTTGTTGCAGGGGGCTCGGTCATTTGCTTACAAAGACATGCTCCCCCTTTCTGGACTAGTTTTGCTGGGTGGGGTTGCTGTGGGAAGTCCTCTCCGACCCGGTTACCATTTTTTAGTGGCGTTTCCTGCTGGGTCCTGTTATCTGTAGAGCTGCTGCTAAAGAGCCTGCTTGGGATGGAAGCCCAAGAGTAGCGTTAGCTTTGCCCCATGAGCTGTAGAGGTAAACTTTGAACAAAGTGCCTTCTGTTTATGTTCTGTGCAAAATGCCCTTTCACCAGAACCCCCCACCCCCTCAAGTTCCAAGTCCACAGGCAGAAGCATAGCCTCATGCCGTTTTACCTGTTCTGACATTCTGAGTAGGGTTTGACACGTCACAGGTTTGTATCCAATGTACTCCAGTGGTTGGCTGTCTGGTTCTGCCACATGGATGAGAGAGGGAGGGAGAGCAAACCGGGAAGTCTGGTTTTGACATGTTTGTGTCTTACTGGGTTTCCCTTCCACCAGACCTTTCGGTGGGATTTGCCAGGTTGTAAGGGTGTGGCCAGCAGCTATGGGGTCTGGTCAGATGTGGAACTGTGTCTGTCCCTAACCACGCCCATTCTTCACCAAAAGCACCCCATCTGTGTGCTTTTCACCAGGTCAATTACCAGCAATTATGTCTTCTGCCCTCTCCATGGCCAAGGAGACACTTTTCTGACAGCTTGGACCCTCTCTGCCAGTACAGGGCCCCAGTACTGCCACATCCAAACCCATTTAAATGAAGCTATGCACTATTTGAGTTAGAATCTACATTGTCAGTTTGCAAATTTTAATGCTTTTTTAAAGCAAGTTGTGCATCAGAATTAATGACATTTATGCTCTAGCCCCCATCTCCAAGCCCCTTTCCTTTTGTGTTGTATGGGCTAAATACCAGCCACATGATCTTATAGCACTGCAGGTCAGTTGGGCATAATCAGCATTTCACTAGTTTAGAAGAGAGATTTATTGGGTCAAGTCCCAGAAATATATTGCACTTTAAGGCTGTGTAGGATTACATTATAAACCACTCTGAACAACCACATACTAGTCAACAAAATCCAAATACATGTACATAAAGTGTAGTATAAGGCTGCCAGGTATATAAATTGTTTGTTTTGAATGGTAAGTCTAAATTGTGTCACTGTTGCAAGTTGCACAGAAGCCTATACTGCATGCACAATTACATTTAAATAGTTTAAATAAATAGGTTTCTTTCACGTTTACAAATGCAGATTGTGAAAACCAAATAGCTAAATCTATTTGTACATTCCTTAATAGCCTATAGCATGTTGAACTGTTGCATCATTGTGGTTATTTCTGTTGAGAGTTTCAACACATTAAGATCTACCACTTTTGGCAGGCAAACTTTTCTGTGTTCAGTTTTCAAGGTCTTTCCTTGACAGTGAAATTGTAGCCACGCACACCACAACCTTGTATTTATTGTGATGTTGATGATGATAACTATGGAAAAACATAACGAAGCTGTTCCAGTATCACTGGGAAGTAATAAAGATCTATGTTTCGTATAGCCATACTTGAATGTAATCAATTTATTATTGGGATATAAAGAGAATTCTTCAAAAATGATAAAGAGGAGATCACATTAGCACACCCCTAGTGTAAGCTGAATTCCATGCAAAGGCCTAAAATATCTGTACTTAATTAAAGAATGTTAACCTTTGACTAAGCACTATAGTATGAAAGTTAAATGCCGGATTCTAGCAGACTTACTGTTGCTTCAGCATGTACTCTTACGAAAAGTCAATTTTTCCATTAGGTTCTAGAGACTCTTGCTATTGCTACTTCGATTCTGACTTTGCTAAATGCACAGTAGAAACGCAAAACTAAGATGTGGAAAAATATGTGTATATATGACAAAAGATCCTCCAAAATCTTGTTCCTATAAAATCATGTTATTTTTGATGTTGGAAGGCTGTTTCTCAAGAACAATTTTCGCTTGCAGGATTTGTCATGCCTTCCTGTTTGAAGAAAATTGGGAGAAGGGTTTTTTACACAAGTCAAAGTTATGCTGCTATTGTTTTAGGGGGCTCCGTACTTTAAAAGGATGGTTGAGATACCACAAACAGGTTGTTGCTAACTGGTTGGTATTTTAACCAGGCAGATTTCCCCCAGAAGGGGTAAATCTGGATTGAATGGGGGGAAATGCTGGCGGGCATTTTGATGTCAAGGACTATCATTTTGGGGGGTGCTTTAAATATGCTTCAAAAGTATGGTCTGTATGCAGCCTAGGGAAGCTTCGTCACTCCCAAATTTACAAAAGAGGTATGTAAGCAAAAACACGTTTCTGAGCAAGACTCTCTTAAATGAGACTTTGGGGGCTTTTAAGAATTGATTTAATCTTCCGCTGCCACTAGATATGTAGCTTTGGTTCTCTACGATTATCTTTAACTTGAAATTGGTAGCAAGGAGGTGAAGACCAGAGTGCAAATTGCTTGTCCTGCAGAGGTATGAACAGCTGTTCTAAAGTTAGGGATGTGAAAGGGGAAAGTCAGATTTGAGGGGAGAGAAATAAGTTGAAGGGCAGGCGTTGCCTATTCTAAAAGCAAAGATATCTTCCTTAAAGGGCTATTTGCAAGTTGGAAAATGAGCTGTAACTAACAACAGCTTAGTGACTCACGTAAATCAACTACATTTCCTCTTCCACACCAGGCTTTCTCCTTTATTGGGGACCTGTGCCCCTGGCAAGGAAGCAGGGGGCGAGTGGACACTCCTTTGCCAATTCCTATGAAGACACCTATAAGGATAGAACAGATTGGGGGAAGAAAAATAGTACAAAGGAAACAAAATCGATTTTCAGGACTTCTTACTACATGAACAGTGAGCTGCAAATGAATTATCTGACAAGGAAAGGCTTTTAAGTGGGAGTTGGTTTGGGAGAGTTGGTCTTGGGGAGGGTGGGGGGTTCCCAAAGATGAAAGAGAGTGTAGAGGCGATTTAGATGGCACTGATTCAGCAATGAGTAGTGCAAAAATGTTGAGTGCAAGAAGAGGACTGTGTGCACATTTCGGATGTAGTTCCTTAATCTTGATGGATGCTAATGGGTGACTAAGTACCCACGGTGGATATTCCGGTGGGCATGCTATTACAATTTAAAGATTTGAATAATTTATTTGAATTATAATGCTAACAGCGCTGAAGCACTTTTGTGCCGGCAGCTGGAAGCAGAGTAGGAGGAAACTGAAGATGAGGACTAACACAGGACTTAGGTATAACAAGCTGCACTTGAATGCTTACAGCTTCCATAAATCTGCTCTCGTACATATACATTCCAGTGTTACCGACAGCCTGTTTGCTGGCACTGGATGCCCCCAGCTTTCCTGCTGAGGGACACAGGAAGAATGGCATCAGACAAGAGCAGACAATTTAAACAGCTCTGGCTGCTTACCCTCACAAACCTCATGCCATCTCAGAGAGGAACTGAGAGATGTCTGAAGGGTTTCCCCCAAATATGGTCCCTGCCCTATGCCTGCACCCCAAGACAGTTTTGATAGAAACGAGAATCGAAAATAAAAGGTGGTGCAAAAGAAAGCACCCAGCTAAAACTGAGAAGGTAAAATTCCACACTGGGTATTCACCTCATATTGGCTCCCTCTAGGCTCTAAGTCTAAGTGGTCCAGAAAGAAGTCTCCCCTCTGGTCTGCCCTGATTGCCCCATCCATAGACCAACCAGGGATGAGCTAATATGGCTGTGAGTGGAGACTGCAAGTGATTGGGTAGCCGGGTCTCAGAATTGAGTGACCCCAGCCACACTGACCCATATCTGTCTTCCATCCCTTCTCTGGAGGACAGGGGACTTCGCTTCTGCTAGCATTAAAGCATTTGCTGTTATGTGTGTTTGCAAATTATTAGACTCAAAACTATCAGCACTGCATCGCCACTGGAACCTTGTCTTAAAGCACTTTTTGTATCTGGCCTTCCTGCCATGACTGAAGTGTTTGAATTATGTAATCAATAATATTAAAATGGTCAGTAAATCATACTGCTGACAGCTTTATGGGGAAGTCAGAAGCTGGATCAGACCAAATGTCTATATAATTCAGTAGTTTGTTCTCAGAATGACCAGCCAGATGCCAATGGGAAGCCCAGAAGCCTAAGAGCACTTCACTGCTTGTGATTTGTTAGGAACTTGGTATTCAGAAGTAATATAGTAAAAATACTTTGGCCATCTCATGAGAAGAGAAGACTCCCTGGAAAAGACCCTGATGTTGGGAAGATTGAGGGCACAAGGAGAAGGGGACAACAGAGGATGAGATGGTTGGATAGTGTTCTCGAAGCTACCTGCATGCAGGAGGCAGTGGAAGACAGGAGTGCCTGGTCCATGGGGTCACGAAGAGTCAGACACAACTAAAAAACAACATCTGGCTGGGTTTTAGTGTTAATATAGCCATTATAACTAATAATATGTATAGCTTACTGGAGGAATATAGCTAAGGTAATTTGGCCTTCATAAGGTGTAATCATGGACAGGATCCTCTGATCCCTTTTTAAAGCCATCTGAGTTGGTGTTCCAACATTTGATGTAATGGAAGCAAATTTCAGTTTGAGGATGCACTGTGTGAAGTACCACTTTTGTGCTTCCCATAGGTACCTGGTTGGTCACACTGAGAACGAAATGATGGGTTGTTGGGCCAATGGCTAGATACAGCAGACTCTTATGTACTTGTTTCTTTTCGTCTGCCTAGTTCCGATGTCTTGAGATGCATTTGGTATTGTGTTTTTTGAGCCATTGTGCCCCTCCCCTCGAATGCTGTGTCTAATCACTTTTGAAACTGCCAGGGGTCTTTTCAGAAGCAATGCCAAACAACACAGGACTTGCTGTTCAAAGCTGCATGCACGGAGCACAACAATATTGCTTCAAACCTCCGAACACAGTTACCTGATGCCTTTTTATTTAACTCTACACATTTGGGACTACAGTACTCCTCCTGAACGCAACAACCCACTTTACATAAATTGTGAATCTAAATTTTCTTCTCACCGTGAAGGTGCATCTCTTCATTTCAGATTTTCAGAAAGGGTTTTTTGGAATCCAAACAAGCTTTTCGTGCTCATGAAGGAAGAGTAGTGGTACAGAGCTAAATAAAAAGTCTCATTATCAGTAATCAGTTATCAGTTCCCCTCGCCCTCCCTCCTGCACCTCTTGTTTAAGGCAAAGAGGCCATATTCTAAGGAACCTCGCTTCAGAGTAACATGCCCTCCAACGCTTCTCGGTTGAAAATAGGGACGTCCGATTCCATAATGATAATTTTAATATTTATACCCCACACATCTTACTGGGTTGCCCCAGCCACTCTGTGTTACTTCCAACATATTTAAAAAATATAATACAGTAAACATTAAAAAAAAACCTATACAGGACTGCCTTCAGACTGCTTGGGAGAGTGTCAAATAACTCCACACCCTCTGACATTTCTTCAATGAAGATAGGGACATCCGACCATACCCTCCAACATTTCTCCAGTGAAAATAGGACGTCTTAAGGAAAAGTGGGACATTTCGGACTCAAATCAGAAGCTGGGACGGCTTCTCTAAATCAGAGATGTCCCTGGAAAATAGGGAGGGTCTGGAATAAATCAAATGAATACTTGAAGTTAATATCATGGGCGTAGCTGGGATTTTTGTGGGGGGGGGGACAGCAGAAGTTTCTGGGAAATCACGGGTAAAAATAACATTAACAATAACAAAAAGAGGACATTAACAGAGGCGGGACAGGCTTCTGCTGGGTGAAGGAAGAAAGTCAGTTAATTGAGTACCCCTTGGTTAATTTGCACACACACATTGGAGGGGGGAGGGCAGAACCTCAGTTGATTGAGAACCTCAGTTAATTGAATAGCCCTTGGCCACGGCCCATGGTTAATTTGCTTATTGGCCGCAGTACACACACACACAGAAGACGGCAAAGCGAGAGCGGCGAGGAAAGATGCTGGCCGGTTTGGCGGCTCTACCGACTACTTAGGGCAGCTAAGGCGCCCCCCCCCCCCCGCCGACGCCCCAAGGACAGGTGAGTTCGGCTCCCTGGTCCCGTCACCAAAGGCGCAGGTGAGTGAGGAAGAGCGGCGGCGGCGGGAAGTAACGCGCTCCCGCGTTCCCCTCCCGCCGCTCGGGGCCTGGAGAGACGCCGCTGCCGTCGCTCGGCCGGGAGCCTGCGGCCTGGCGCAAAGGCCTTCTTCCCACCCGGAGGCAGCAGCTGCGCGCGCAGGCCGGGAGCGGTGGCACGGGAAGGAAACCGCCGTGAGGAGGAGCGACGCTGTGGTGAGGCGAAAGGGAGGGATGCTGGAATCGTCGAGTCGGAAGGGGGTACCCCGAGGGGTCATCTAGCCCAACCCCGTTTGCAAAGCAAAGGGTTCTCAGCTAAAGCATCCATGAGGGGAAAGCAAGCGAGGGAAGGCAGGATACGTTAGTGTGGGGTAATAATAAAAATAACAATAATTAAAATTATTGCACCCCGCCCATCTGACTTGGTGGCCCCCGCCACTCTGGTGATAAAAGGGAGGAGAGGCTTTTGTGTTTTTTTGGGGGGGGGACGCATGGGCGTAGCCAGGATTTTTGGGGGGGACGAGACCTCATATTTGTATTGATTTAAGGGAAGCAGCTTCCCCCCTCTTGGATACACCCATGGAGCCGGGGGGGCTGTCTCACCACCACAGCAGCAGCAGCTGCTGCACCTTCTCCAGATGCCTTGTTGCCCTTGGCTTGAGGGGCAAGAAACCGAGCTTTGTGCTTTGAAAGGCGTCGCAGAGGCTGGTGCATGGGTTGCCTTTTCGGGCATGGAGCCAGCGCCCTAATGCATCCCTCAAATCGACTCAGTCAGGCGTCGCTTGGAGACACAGTGAATAGGGAAAAAAAGAGAGCTTAGGACGGGATGAAGGCCAGCGAGGAAACGGCGCTGATTCTCTTATCCCCATTATCCCCTCCTTTTCATTGCTCCTCTGCTCCAGTACCTGCCTGCCTCCTTGAGTTTTAGGATTGCCTGCTGCTGCTGCTGCTGCTGCTGCTTGAATCCTCTCCTCTCTGGGCTGCCATTTAGCTCCAACCCATTAAGCTGCCTCCGCTGCCACCGCCTGGTCTGGCTCCTTGGAGGCTGCTTGCTGCTGCTTTCTATTAATTGTCATCTTCCTTTCCCGGACTGCAGTGAGGAGGAGGACGTGATTGGCACTACGTTGGGGACTGAAATGCCAACCAGGAGACGGCAAGGCGATGATGAGCTGAAGTGTGGCTGAGGGCCAGTGGGAACACCGTGGCTGCGCTGCTTCCTTCCTGGGGTCTTTTAACGGCCTCCTGCTGACTCCTGTTCTTGCTTGTCTTAAGACTTTCACATCCACGGGTACGGCTTGTGCCAGACGTCACATAGGGTCAGGATTCCGATGTCTTGACTTCGGGATCCCAGAAGAGCTGAGACACAGGGATCCTGCACGTTTCTCTCCCTAGCAGTCTCCACAGGTTGGTTAATACTTTTAAATTTAAAAGCATTACTTTTTAATCAAGCATTTAACACCTGGCTGTTCTGAAAGGCTGCTGTCCAAGGAACTCATTTAAGCAGGTGCTGTTGAGAGAGAGATGTAAGGTGGAAACTGTTCAGGTGAAAGGGATTTTATTTTGGCCATGGAGAAGGTAGAAAGGTGTTTTTTTGTGTGGGTTTTTTTTTTGTTTTTTTGTTGTTTTTTTTGGTCTCATAGGAAGGATTTTGCAGAGAAGATCTGTTGCTAATTCTGGGCAAGTAAGGGAGGTATGTTTATTAGCCTGAGGTGGGGAGAAGGAGATTGTGCCAAACTATATAAGAGGAAAGTTCTCATGGATTTAATCCTGGATGAAGGGATCGATCTGGCATGTGCTACAGAAACCTAGCAGGTGTGACACTGTGTCTTATTCTGTCCTGGAGATGTCCAGCTGCATTATCTGCAAAGCATCACAGGTGAATAGATGACTAGGGTCAGGCAAAACAGCTGTATTTCATAGGAATTCCTTTTTCTTTTCTGTTTTTTACCCGTCAGTGTTGGGCTGTGAGGAGACACTGAGGTTCTAACCATCTCTGTGGTGGTCTCAATTCTACCATGTTGGAGATTTCTGGCCTGTTTGTCTGAGTGGGGGCTGCAATAATCCACATGAGGCCTTATTATACAAGGAGTGACTCAGGATTTCATAGCCACCATGGCAACCTTTGGACTGTCCTGTTATATAGAGAGAACAGATACATGGATCAGGTCATGCACTTGATGTGTTTGGTGCCTTATCTGGATTGAGGCAGAACTGCTCTAGTGAAGGAGTCCTTTAGAATTAGTTCACTGTTGTGGGCCAGTCATTACTTGGTAAAGTTCAGAATCTTGCAATATCTGATTCCTTCAAGTGTGAGGAAATCTGTTCAGATGGTTGATAGCTATTAGTTTTCAGAATACCTTAAGAGATTCCTTATTTAGAATTACTTGCAACCCTGCCACTGAACCTTTGGGAGAGGGGGCTTATGTGGATAATCAATATGAACTTGTGATAGGTATGTTGATTGTATGGTGACTTGCCTGCCTATTAGAAAAATTCCAGATTACTACCCTATAAATATGTGGTGAATGTTCACAGTGCAGGAAAGGGGTCGACAGTTGTGGCACTCAGACACAGATGCATTGTGCACTCTAGGAAGAAAAACTAAGGTAAGACAATGAAGTTCAGAACCTCCTCAATAGTGTTTTCGTAAGTGTTACTTATTGTTGAATATATTTCCTCTAAGTAGCTCAAGGCTATATGCACTCCTCCCTTATTTTCCTTACACCAGCTCTGTGAGATGACTTAGTATGTGAGAAAGTGACTGTTCCAAGGTCAGCTAGTGAACATTGTGCCGAACTTGAGTCTCCCTAATCCTTATACAGCACACTAAGCACTATACCTACTTGCTCCATATGCAGGGTGAACTAGATTGGGTCTGTGAGGGCTTGTTCTACGCACAGGACCAGAACTGTGAGGGTCTATGTGTTTGGGTGATGAGTGAGTCAAGAGAAAGAATTTAGCTTTCTTAAAGCACCAAGGAACAGTTTGAAAATAGCTGTGCCTGTTGAAAAGAGATAAGACTCCATTTGATCTGTGATGGGATTATAATGGTGGTGGTTAACATCAAACAAGCCCTAGAGTAGCTTTTAAACTGACTTAATGGGGGACTACTTCAATGTGACTCATTCCTAAATGAGGATACGGTAAATGTTTATGGCCATTTAAATGAGGGATAAAATAGAACTTGTGAATGAGCATCCAGAAAGACCCAATATTAACTTTAAGAGTATGTAAGAGTTGGTTGTTTTAACTATTGTTGGGCATTTTTAAAGGTGCAAATTAAAGTGCTTTTTTTTTTTTTAAGTGCAAAGGCACTCATGTATTGCTTTGCTTTTCAGGCTACACATAAAAAATGTCTCTGGATCCTCCGAGACAAATAGGAGTGTGGCGACAGACCAGAGCTCTTTTATACAAGAACTGTCTAGTTAAATGGAGGACTAAAAAGGCTAGTGTTCAGGTGAGTTGATTTTTTTTATATGCAGTTATGAGTTTGGAGTGCCAAGCTGTGTGCCAGACCACTCCAATCCCTGGATCCAGAGAGTGTTAAATTAAATCAAGGTGTCCTATTCTGGGAATAGACAGACTAGCCTCCTGGTGAAGTGATACCCTGGGTGGTGAGTTGTTAAGGGGTTCAGTGTGAGATGACAAATGTCAACAGACAAAGCCAGAGTTTGGAGTAGAGTTTTGGAGTGATATGACCTAGAAGTAAAGCAGCAAGCTGGAGAAAGGGTAGGAAATGTTCGACTTATGTCTGAATCCAAGCCTTTGGCTAAGGGAGACAAGGGAGAAACAAGACACTTTTGGGGTGTTAATGCTGTGAACATCATAGGCTCGGTTTATATATGTGTGTAAATAAACCATATATCATAAAGACATCAATCTCTTTTTCTTTCAATTCTAAGAGTTGCTAATATGTTCTTAAACTATTCATATCACATGATGCAGAATTGCGAACCACTCTGAGGTTTTACTGTTGAGCAGTATGTACATTTTGTTACACATATCTCATTCAACTTTACGTTTTGTCGTAAATGCTGCAGCCCCCCCCCCCCCGTTATGTGTACCTAAGCTGGTTGTCTTCATTGGGCCTGTGTGCATAAATGCAACTGTGGCTCTCTCGTTTCGTTTCTTCTTTTACCATTAAACTTGTTTGTTCCCTATATACAGGAAGTCCTGATTCCACTTACCTTTTTAGGTTTGCTAATAATAATAAGCATGATTCAGCCTAACAAAAGACATGATGAAGTTCCAGATTGTAATCTTGATTCTACGAGTTGCTCCAGCATCTCTGAGTTTATTATTGGCTACACACCAGTGACTAATATGACAAGAACAATCATGCATAAAGTGACTTCAGAATACTGCCCAGAAGGTACCATGAGTTGTCATGCTGCACGGTCTTTCATAAATTTGTCTTGTGTGGTTTTCCTTCTTGAATTTACTGGGGAAAGTATGTATCTTATTGCATGGATGCTAAAAGTTTAAACCGCTTGAGTTTGTTGCATGTTTTTCTCATACTAAACTTAGAAAGTAAAAAAAAGGATGTAAAGCTCTATAAAACCTAAACATAATTATGTAGCCAAATCTTCACTTCCTTTACTACTACTAGACAATAGAGTGGTGTGCTTTTAAAGCTCAGTTTCACGGTTGTCATTTTGACATTTTAAAACAATTTGTTTATTTCTTATTTGTACTGCATTTATATATTTTTAGTATCAATTCAGGAGCTGTGAGAACTTTCTAAGATACTTTTTGTCTTATCCATTCTTGATATTTTAATTATTAGAGCCTTATGTTGTATTGGGGGTATTACTGGATACTTGAAAGAATTTGGGTATAGGTTTGTGACACAATTTGCATAATGTTTTCTTATGTTAACATTTTTAATAATGCTTTTAGAGAAGGAAAAAGTTGTGGCTCTTGCTGTCAGCAATTGATCTGATCTATGGGGCACTAGCAAGATTTTCTTGGCCCAGCTCACTATATATGTATTTTACACTCTTCCCACCTCACTCTCCATAAGCAGAATAGAGTTGACCCCCTCTGTAGGTTGCTTCTGTGTGAAAGATACGGGCTCTGCGATGATATTGCCAGATTTGGCAGTGCTTCAGTGGGTGACACTTGCACCGTATCTAGCATAAAGTGCACAATACACGACTAACGAACAGAATTGAGCCACAAAGGAAAATGAAAAAATCCTCCCATTTTGGAAATAAAAGAAAGCCATGCTCATCTACAGCAGGGATGGGGAACCTGTGGCCCTCCAGATGTTGAATTACAGCCTTAGCTTAGTGACAGAGTATCTCCTTTGATACAGACAGCCCTGGGTGCAATTCCCAACATCGTAAGGTAGGTCCAAGAGAGATTCCTGCTTGAAATCCTGAATTTGTCAGTATAATAATTATCAGTTATTTATGTGCCATCTTTCCATAGGAAGCCACACTCAAGGCAGCTAAAAATATAAAAATATGTATAATTTACTAATTTGCAAAATACAACAAAATGTAAACAGTCAAACAATAAGCTAATTAAAACACGTCACTAGGTAATATACTAAGAATTATAATTCATAAAAGGTCTAACAAACAAAAAACACAAAAAACAATCCCAATAACAGTAAAAAAAAACCCCACACCTCTTGAATTAAATAGCCCCTGAACATCCCATCTCCCTGATAGTCTCTGGGCATTCTGAGCAGCATGTCTTTCTGGACTCATGGATCTCTGTCACCTTCAACAGTAACAGTTTCTGTCGCTCCCCTAGTACCTTTAGCAGTAGTAGCTTTTGTAGCTGGAATTGGTCGAAGCCAGCACAGAGATCTCTGAACTAGATGGACTCAGTGGTTTGACTCTGTATTAGGCAGCTTCCTGCAAAAAAGTAATCAAGTAACTTTGCTATTTTGCAGCAGAAGATGCAAAAGAATTTCTGAGTGAGGCAGAAATGGAAGAGGCCAGTCTTCAGGACCCTGAAAACTTTGTTGGTGTCATTTTCAGTGATTCCATATCCTATCACCTCAGATTTCCTACTGTAGGGGCTCCAAGATCTTTAATCCTCCCGACATCAATAGGTAAGTTTAAATAAATGAATAGATAAAATATGTGTGCTTGTTAATTATAAAGTACAAAACGTAGATGTTTGACCTTGTCTTGAAAATGGAGACTCGAAAAAAGTCAACAATAATAATAGGAGAAAACTGTTTCAATAGAAATAGATATTTAGGAATCCTTTGTACATGCTTATTTTAGGTCCTGTTTGCAGGCTCCCAGATTTTCAAAATACTTGCACAATTGGCATTACTCATTGAATAGAGAAATCTCATTGTGTTACAATTTCAGTTGTAGGAGTGGCTTGCAATAGCAAGATTATTTGCTACTTGTTTTGCCGATTGTGTATAGCTCTGCATGGCTATTTTATTAATTTCTGAGCATCAGTATCTTGATCCTCTGCATGAATTGTAGGGCAATCTATCCATGCTGGTATGGTATCTAGAATGGTGGAGATAAGTTTTTAGAATCTGCATGTATACTGCAGAAACCTAATGTCAACCCAGTTTTGATGCTTTTTAATAATTAACAGAGTTTAGATTTTCCTTCTTAAGCTTTGATTTTTTCCCCCATAGCCAGTTGTTCAACCCCTTCCAAAATGTGTGAAGCTGAAACATACTGGCATTATGGATTTGCAGGCATACAGATCTACATTGATGCAGCAATTATAGAGGTAAATATAAATAATCAGAATGTGAGCAACTCTGAATCACCATTATTTTGTAATAGCTGACATATCAAAAGGTATTATGGGTCCCCCACCCCCTTGTATTTCAGGATATTTTATATAATGGTGTGCTTCGCACATCATGTTAAGCCAAATCAGCAAATGTGTGGGCTCCTGGATAAGATCATAGCTGCTTTCATGATTTAGCTCTCCCCAGACAAACCACGAACTGCAACCAAGGCTGCTTCTGTGGTTTGCAGCTCATGGCTTGTCTGGGAAAGCGAAACCACAAATGCAAGTTTGGATGACATGCTAAGTCAGCAGCACAGTACAAAACAATTAGGGAAGAGCAAAGCAGCTCTAATCTCCTTTCTGAGAGGTTTGTTTGTTTGTTTTTGTTTGGCTTAATGTGATGTGTGAACAAATGCAGTGAGGTGCTTTCCCCTAAGCCTAATGCATGATAGTAACAGTTCCATTCATCACTCAACGTTAAGTTTAGGCAGTGATTTCCATCAGGATATAATCAGGATATCTGTGTCAACCGTTAATGGCATATAATTTATTCTGAGTGTTACCATATACATTTATGCAAATGAATACTGTATATATACCCCTAAGGAACTATGGCCAGTTATGGATCCCTGTGTATATACGTAGTATAAATATTAAAAGCCATGATTTGAATCTTGAGTTACCTTTCTGCAAATGGAAGTATTCATTCTATTGAAGGACGAAATAGTGGGAGGAGGCAGTTTTTTTCTGATTACCTCCTTTCCTATGCAGCTCACCTTGCATGTTATTTTAGAGAGTTGTGGAAGCCTTTGGAGCAGAATTGAGGGTGGGACATGGGGGTTTTATAGGCATGGGACAATTAGTCAAAATTGCCTCACCCCTCTTCTTCTGCCAGTGGGAGTACCCTCTGAGTGGAGTTCTACTCACATGAATTTGACACCCATATGTATCCTTTCATAGACACTGTAGCAATTACCAATATGTATCCAGCAAACACTACTTTGTATTTTTTCCCTCACGAACCAAGTGAGAAAAAAGTTTGTGAGAGTCACCATTAAAATTTTATTTATGAAATTTCATAAACCACTATTTAAGCACGGCACATACATTTATCAAGAAAACACTGTTAAAATTCACAAAGCTGTCAAATACCATGGTACCTCGGTTTTGAAACATTATCGGTTTCGGAAGACAGTTCGAGATCTGAAACGTTCAAAAACCAAAAACTCATTACGGAAGCCTCAATATGGAAGCCGCATGGCATGTTCAACTTCCAAGGTGAGTTCAAAAACCAAAGCATTTACGACGTTTGAAAACCGAAACGTTTGTCAATGGAGATGTTCGAAAGCTGAGGTACCACTGTATACATAAAATAATAATCAGTAAAACTTTTAAAAACAAATATAGATACTTAAATTATATGTCTGAGTAGGCTTGCTGAAATAACAGTTTTCAGCTGGCATTTATATGAAGTGAAAGTGCCTGCCTAATGACAATTAGAAGGGAATTTGGAAGTATAGGTGCTGCCAGACCTAAAAGACTGCTTCACTACACTGGGCTACTAGATCCAGCAATTGCATCCTGCCACACTGATATTCTAGAACTCTGAGAAATGAAGATTTCCAGTTCATGAATATCTGAGTAATAATGAATGCTGCAGAATTTATGTGGCCACTCTTTCATATAATAAAATAATTTGGTACTGATTTTTTAAAGAGGGATTCTGACATATTGAACTGGTATCCTGAATGTACAGTAGGGGGGAAAGTATTTGATCCCCTGCTAAATTTGCCTGTTTGCCCCCTGATGAAGAAATGACCAGTCCATAATTTTAATGGTAGGTTTATTGTACCTCTGAGAGACAGAATAAAGTGTAATCTATAAAGATTGCCATACCCGCTTTTGGAAAATGTGAACTTGGTGAAAGCAGAACATGGCAAACTCTGGGCACTCACTATACCTTGTAACCAAAATGCTGTTGTGAAGGATCGATCCCTTTTGAGTTTCATGGCAGTAAGTTAAATTTGGTATAAAAACTATTTAAAGCAATGAGATTGGTATTTGCAGATTTACAGTTTATTTTGGAAATAAAAAATGCCTGTTGAAATAGCTGCTAGAGTAATTTGAAATCTGATTTTAACATTTCATTTTTCTTAGTTGAAGACTAATAAATCAGTTTTGGAAGAACTGGAATCAGCAAAAGCTGTCAAGATGGGAAAGTCTGCTGTTGTGGAAATAGATAATTTCTTTCGTGCAGTAATCTTAATTTACTTAGTTATTGCCTTTTCACCTTTTGGCTATTTTTTGACTATTCATATTATGACAGAAAAAGAGAAGAAACTGAAGGAATTTTTAATGGTAATGGGACTTCAAGACACAGCTTTTTGGTATGCATATTTCTTAGTTCTTTGGTGTTAATTCAACTTTTGTTCCATTTATTTATCTCATATCACTGCATTATGCTACTCCAGGAAGAAGCAGCACATAATAAGTTAAGCCAACTTAAGAAAGTTCATAAAAGGAAAGTTTCCTGTGCCTTCCTCCCCTGCTGCAGCCATCTGAGACTTGGTACTGGTTTACAAAGCCCTATTATAACAGCTTGGGACCAGGATACCTGAGATATCATCTTGTCTCTGTGGCTGTACTCTGCACTTGTATTTTTATTGGTAAATCACTTTGGGATGTTTTGTGTGAAGTGATTCGCAAGTGTGTGTGTCTCTGTGTGTATGTATGTATGTATGTATGCAAGCAAGCAAGCAAGCAAGCCTCTCCAGAGGACCAGAGGTCTCTCCAGAATGCTGCAGTGCTCCAGAACATGTTGCACCTGTTGAGGGAAGGGAGAATCACTATAAATTAGAAACCCTCCATCAACCCTCCCACATTGTTCAGGAGGACACCCCCCAACGTTGCAGTTGTTCAGCAGAATCTCTTATCTGGATCTTGCGTAGAGTTGAATTTTCTCCACCACAATTATGAGTTTAAAAGCTTTCCTGCGGAACAGTCATAAATACTAGTTGCAATAAGATAAATGTTACGAAATAACAAAGTAACCCATTGCAAACAAGCAATGGGGTTCAGTCCTTTATACTTTCCTCTCTCTAGTCCCAGAGGGAGAACCTGAATTTACTCATCTTTGCAGAGCTTCTCTGCAGCTCTTCTGATGATGATACTGCTGCTATCAAACACCAACAAACTCACATACAGGCTTAAGTTTCAGCTTCCTGCTGTGAATTTCTGGTAATGAGTCATCAGGTAGCTTATCTTACTGAACTGGAAAAATGCCATCCTTTTCTGCTGCTTTTGCAGCATTTTAAATGTAGCGCATTCAAACACAGCATGTTATGTGTTTTTAAACTTATAACTTTAACACCCTACACCCCCCACAACCCCTCTGGAAAGGTTACAGGAGTGAGGAAGGCACAGTGTTTTTTTTCCTTCTATGAATTTTTTTTTGTTTTAGGATCAAAGCTAACATCATCATGGTGTTCTTGTGACAGTTTCTCTATGTGAACATCTTTGGTTAATTTAAGTGGTCCCATTTGTGTGCTAACCTTAACCTTAAGACAGTGAGCCAAGCTGCATGTGATATGCATCATATGATCAAGGAAATGGGCATGTAGAAGACTTTGGGGAAATGATTTCCCCATTTTATATATGGGAACACAATGCCAAAGCCTGAGAAATGGCAACACACAAAGCCGCCCCTCTGTCTCTGTCATGCACCCAGAAGAGCTCATACAGCCACACACAAAATAAAAACTGTGTTTCTGTCTCTCCCTAAGTAATCAGATGTTAAGGGACCACGGGGTTGCTATTGCCCTCATGCCTGTCTTACAAGCTGCGTGGAACATTTGGTTGGCTATTCTTGTGAAAAGAATGCAGAACTAAATGGGAAAAGTCAATATGTCCAGTGAGTAGAAGACAGAGGTCAGCTTTGAGCTCCAAAAGGTCAAACACCTCCTTTCAGTTAATATTTGTTGTTGCAACACAGCATATATTTGCATTACAATTCCCATTATAGAATTTACATGTGTAGGCTACTTATACAGATATTAATAAGAGTGTAGGGCCCAAAGTAGTTTTTCAGATATCATGCGTAAACTATTGAGACTGTGTCTTGCTTCTGAGCAGGTATGCAGACGCTCATTCTTCAATCTACAGGTATTTTCTGTGCTGTTACTGTTGGTGATCTTCTCTATATTATCTGTCATTCAACTGCACACTTTTAAGCCTTCATTTCATCCCTACTCTCCATTTCAGTTTGTCTCCATTTATTTCCTCTAGTTTATTTCTCTTCTCCATAGCCAAATCAATTTCATTTCTCTTCTCTAATTTTCTGTTCAATTTTATTTCATTCCCATTCATTCTTTCTTGTAGCCAAGTTTATGAAAACCCCTCTTTCTGCAGTTTATTTGAGATTACCACATGATTAAAAAATACCTATTATAAAATATTGCTGCTGTAATAAAACACTTGTGGAATGACCCCCACTCTGAGGGGTGTCATGCACCAACATTGTGCATTCACTTCTTGTCAAAATTTCAACAATCTTTTTGCCCAAGGTTTTGAGACAAGTTAGATAGAATGTCAATTATACCAGCTGTTTTATTCATTCTCTGCTGCCATGAAAAGTTTGAGTGATTTATTAAAATAGACAATATCCATTTTGCCAGGTAACATCATTGTGTGAAGTGAATGATATATTAGGAAGGGAAATAGAACTACATGCAACTAGAATATATGGGTGAGCACTCCCAAGATCACCTTGGATTAAATTGGAAATGATCCAGGGCTGGCCCAAGACATTTTGGCACCTGAGGCGAACCACAAAATGGCTCTCCCTCACCAGAGAGGAAGAGAGGAATGGAAATCTACATCAGGAACAAGGGGGAAGGGAATAAAATCAATCTTTCTCAGTGGTTAAATTGGGAGTCAAAGGGGCCAACTTTGAATCGCCAAGAAGCTGCTGTGGAAGCAGCATGGGAGGGGCTGCCGAGGAGGCAACAGATTCAGCCTCTAAGGAGCACATTGCAGCCATCACTGCCACCATGGCAGCAGCTGTAGCAATGGGCGATGCATTCCTTGGAGGCCAGATCTGCTGGCCTTGTGGATCCTACCACCCGAGGCAGTCACCTCACTTTGCCTCATGGGTGAGTTGGCCCTATCGAAGCCCTTCCAAAACCCTTGGATCACTTTTCTGAGCCAATTCAAAGCTGGCAAAATGATGGAACTCCTCCCAGCTTGTGAGGTCTGCAGGGACAAGTCCTGCTCACTCTTCACTTTTGGCCCTGCCAACTCTTAATCTCCAGCAGACCTCACAAGTTCGGAGGACCTCTTATCATTTTGTCCTCAAGTCATATGTATCACTTGTGACCACAGTGATGTCCAAATGATTCCTTCCCAGAGAAGCTTTTCACTGGCAGCAGACAATACATGTACCACTTGTTTATTTCAGTGGAAATGCCCCCATAAGCTCTAAGCCTAACATTAACTAGTTATTTTCTTCCCATGGGCAACCTACCCAGCAAAACATTACTTTTCTTGGTTTGTGGCTTACTATGTACATTGCAAATATTTTAGATGAATATGAAATAATTCATCTTGTCATACTTACTGCGATTCTGTGCTTCATTAATTTCAGGCAAGAGTTATCACTTTTTAATAGTATTGACTAATATTTAGCTTCAACTTAGTAGTTCTTATAGATAACTTTGAATTCATGAGCCTTCATTGTGTTTTCCCTTTTTCTAGGCTTTCTTGGGTCTTGCTCTACACCAGTCTGATTCTTGTCATGTCCCTTCTCATGTCGGTTATTGCAACATTTTCTTCGCTCTTTCCCCAAAGTAGCAGCTTTGTGATATTTCTTCTTTTTTTCCTATATGGATTATCCTCCGTAAGTGTGTATGTATGTGTGCTTGCTCATTGCCAATATGCTGAAGCTACGTGTTTTAGGATTGTCCTTCCTGTTGACATAGAGGTATCCCATGATGGTGTTTCACAGGTACTCACTAATTTAGGGATAATCCTGGGGACGTTTAGGCAAGATGCCATGGATTTCCACCAGAATAATGTTACTTCTACCCAGATAAAATGTAGCAGGTCTAACAGACACAACTACAGCCTCCATGGCAATTCTGCCACCCCACCAATCACAACACTGAATGCTGATAGCTTCCCCATATTAGCCATCCATGGATCTGGTCAACAAGAGTGATGGCAGAAGGAGCCCATCATGTCACCTTAGCTAGAACACATATAAAATATAACCCTGCAGCCCCAAAGTCACCACAACACTGTTCCCAGTATAGACCACTATGGTTTAGTGAGCAGGAGCATAATAGCTGATATGTACAGTGAAACCCTTCAGGAATTGCTTCTTATTGAGAAGGGTTATAAATCCCCCTAATAGTGCTACCCAGGCAGTCTGCAAACAAGCATCTTTTGACAGACAAGCACACAAAGTCATTCAAGGAAGGACCAGCTACTCTGATCACAGCACCAATGCAATGCCTGCATGGAGGACCCATGGATTCTCAAGAAGGTTTAAGCTGAATTGTACAACAATGCTCCCCCAAAGATACAGATTTGGGGATGAGCAAGCTATTTGGAAAGGACAGGAACATAACACATAAGGAAGAGCAAGGACCTCAACAGGCTGCTCCTGGAGGCCATTTCTAGGACCTGCTTTTTAATGCAGCAGAAATGAGCTATGCAGTATGTAGCGGGAGATAGCAGGACCCAACTACATAAACCAGTACTAAGGGAATTCTTAAAGAACCCAGCGCAAGTTTAGTATGCATGAGGTCTCATGTTGTGGGTACAGTCTCTCGCTAAAAGGACTGGAAGATGGCATACCTGAGGCAAAGCAATGTGACAGCCAATTGAAAAAGGTGATGTGTGGACCTTGTGGAACCCATAGAGCCAATGGTTTGTCACTTTTGCTCAGCCCCCTTTATCCCATCCTGTCTGTTTCTGCCTTTAGTGCTGTTTGCCGCCTTCCTTGCTCCATCTGACCTGGCAAGGAAGAGGGCCTATACTAGGCATCATTGGAGTCGAGTGCTCCACTTCTCAGTCTCAAAGGTAGCTGTGCTTCTCATTGCCTCTGCTGGTGTGCGTTGAGGTCCCACCTTCATGGCAAACATCCCCTCTTCCTGCAGAGCGTGTATGTACCCTGAGTTGGAGACAATATTGGTTGCCGTTGAAGGAGAAAAGATTATTGGGAGTTTACACTGTCCATATTGTAGCAGTGGGTGAGGATTGGACAAAAATGGGAGAGATCTGGAGAAGTAATGTTTCAGGCATGGGTTCCTGCCTTTCCCCCCACCCTCCAGGCTTCCGTTTAACTGTGTGTGGTGCCCAATGGTAGCAATGGAAGTTATTGTGCATTATCTCGGACCCCGAGAGACAGGGTATTTGCAAGAATTCTGAAAAGATAAACATGATCGTAATCTTTTTAACTTTGCACAAACAGTAAACATACAGGGCTAATAACAAAGAGGTTTTTTATCATAGTTTCCAGAGTTGTTCTGTGATTTAAGTTCTCTAGACACATGCACAGAGTAGTGTCACTTACCTAGTTGTCTGAACTGTGTTGTCCCTGTCTGAGTCTTATATACTGCTGGTGGTGTGTCATGATTGCCTGCAAAATTTGTTGAATTCCTCTCCTTGTGTAGTGCAGAAGGCAGTAACGTTGAAGTGCCCATTTACTGCAGCAGGAATCTCTGAACTAATGCAGCCTCTTTTGTTCTAATGTTACACCACAATCAGGATTAACATTTTAGTCAGAACAGGATTCCACTCCTTCTGTAGCATGTTATGCCAGCACAGTCATGGCGCTGTGGTCTAAAACACTGAGCCTCTTGGGCTTGCCGATCGGAAGGTTGGTGGTTCGAATCCGTGCAGCAGGGTGAGCTCCTGTTGCTCAGTCCCAGCTCCTGCCAACCTAGCAGTTCGAAAAGCACGCCAGTGCAAGTAGATGGGAAGCAGATGGGAAGTCAGGGCAGGACTATTAACATTGGTGTTGTGTGTGGGCAGTAGTCTGTTCCCATCGCCAGTCTATCCACAGCATTCTGCACAAGGGTGGCCCTACATAAAGCATGTTGTTTCTGATTTATCTGCATTTCTCGGGACCAAACTGCATGTGACAGGGTTGCCACCCATCTACCTGTCTGCCATTTTTGTTCAGATGCCAAGTGCAGGGAGATGAGTGAAACTTGCCATCACCTTCACTGTGCTTTGTTTCATTAAGCAGTCTTCTTCCAGCTCATCTTTGATACTGGGACAGTTGGGTAGAAGAATTGAGCTGGGTAGAATTGCTTGAAGCAATGGAATGTGGTGCTGGGGGGAGTTGGGGAGAACAGACTGTATTTCTTTTCATGTAGTCCTCTTTCCCACCATGACATGTGAATGTGCCTAAGACCCTTATGATTGCCCCATCTCGGTTATTTAGACCAATTTGTCCATTCCTATTTCAGTCCATGTGTCTTTTGCATGTATTCACTTATATGCCCATTCTGTCCCATTTCTGTACTAATTTACTTTCTTTTAAAAAAGTTTGCACAATTTGCATATAAATAAGTGTTATTGAATGTATTTTATCTCAAAATGTTAAAACTTTTTTGGGATAAGCGCTGTGTTGCAACATTCAGAGAAGTGATTAAAATAGCAATGTTCTGTTCCACACATTAGTCCAGGAGTTTTGGATTAGGTCAATTCATATTGGAATTCGTAAAGTTCAGATTTCTCAAGCATACCTATGTTTAGTTTGGCCCAAAGTCTTCTGGCTCCTAACATTTAATGTATGGAAACATCTATTTATAGCAAGAAGAGAAGGTGACCTGTGGGTACTGATTTTGCACTTATTCCGAATTTATGAATATAGCATATGTAAACGGACTGTATATTCAAGGGCCTTTAAAGTCAAATTCTGATCTTGCTCTCTGTTCTGCACAATCTGCCCATTATTTACATTATTTACATGAAAGGCTGCATATTGTACAATCAGGCCTCTACTATAATGTGTATAGTCCATACATGTGGATGAAGTTTAGTGGAAAGACCGCTTCTGTGGGCTGGCATCTTTACCATCAGCTAGTCCCTGAATCTATCTGCAATTCCTTCTGCCCCTTGAGAATATTCTGCTTGGGTTGAGAACAATACCCTGCCCCCGGAAATAATAACATATTGTTTATACGGATTTTAATTTTAAACTTCTTTGGGAACCAATCTTGGCCAGAAAATGGGATATAAATGTAGAGTTCTGCTCATGGGACATCTCATTCATAGAAGGGCATGGCAGGTGACTCAGAAGGCTGTCGTGGGAAGGGAGAATTGGGAAAGTTCCCTCCCATCCCACTTTCATGAGCAGCAGCTCCTGCAGCCCGTCTTTTCATAGAATCAAAGCAAAATACATAATTGCTTAACTTTGAAAACCTCATTAAATGTAAGAGCTGCACTGTGATTTGAATTGCATCTTGGCCATTCACTGTCTTTCTGAACCTTGAATCTGAATTGAAAGTGATCATTTTTGAAAAGGTGACCTGTTTTTATTGCAAAAGAATCATTCCTTAAACATCACATTATATTTTGTTAATGCGCTCCTTGCAACCTTAGATTTCCCACTCTGATTTCATAACCAATTTGGGAAATTTTGATGTTGCAGTTTGCCAAAGGAGATAGTACTCTTAGGAAGAAAATCCTCAGCCTGTTAGCCAGCTGATGTCTTTCATTAGCATATTATATTGTCTTTAGCAAATACTAAGTGATACAATAATTATGATTTTCACACATAAAAATTGAGATTCTAGCAATTTTAATCAAGTCCTATTGTGCACTGAAAATACGCTTTCTATTTCTGTTTAGATTTCCTTTGCATTTTTGCTAACCTCTCTTTTCAAAAAAGTGAACTATGCTGGTTCAGCTCAGTTTTTCACAACTGTGGCTTTTGGTGCTGTGGGCCTGAGCATTGCCCTGTTGGAAGATTTTCCAAAGTCTTTTGTGTGGTCACTAAGCCCACTGTGTGAATGCCCCTTTTTAATTGGTGTTGTACAGGTTAGTAAAGTATTTGTTTGTTACTGTGGCATGCACCCATCACTGTGGTTCTAATATGAGATGTGATAATACTTTAAATCTTTCATCTTGAAATAAAGTATGTAATAGATCTAGAACTTGCTTTGAACTTTTTATATATGTGTTTCTTGTTGTTTTCTAATTTGTTATTAAGTAGACATTTTAACCGATGAGAAAAATCAACTGTAATAAGTAACACATTTGTCAGAAGTTCAAAGAACACTGTGTGTTGCAGACTTTTTATGTTAAATTTTGCAGCTTCCTGTCAGAAATGTGTAGTTTTCAGGGTATCGCAAGCGGTCTTTGGCTAGCATAGCAGGAGATCACCTTACGGTCTCTGCCTCTGCAGTCTCCCGTGCACCTCATACATTTTCTCTAGAGGCTCCCCCAACTCCCTGGAGCAGATTTTGAGGATGCAGGGTGGGGAAAAGGAAGGTAGAAGAAGAAGAGTTTGGATTTGATATCCCGCTTTATCACTACCCTAAGGAGTCTCAAAGCGGTTAACATTCTCCTTTCCCTTCCTCCCCAAAAACACTCTGTGAGGTTAGTGGGGCTGAGAGACTTCAGAGAAGTGTGACTGGCCCAAGGTCACCCAGCAGCTGCATGTGGAGGAGCGGAGACGCGAACCCGGTTCACCAGATTACGAGTCCACCGCTCTTAACCACTACACCACACTGGCTCTGTAGTGGAATCCCGTTGTATGAGCAGAAGTCAGCTTTAAAGCCACTGAGTTTTTCTTCTGGGTCAGATATTAATCCAAACTTTAGAAGAACACCTTCCCACTCCCATCCAGCAGCTATAATGGTAACAGTGAACTTATCTCCCCACTTCTTTTTCTCTTCCACTTTCCCTGGTGTCTGGAATGCTGCCACAATAGCATTCCATGTCTCTGAAACCCTGATGTTAGTTTGGGCATTTCGTAGTTGGAGGAAATTATGCTTCCTGGGGATCCAGGAAAGGGAAGATCTGGAAGAGAGGAGGCGGTTAATGGTTGGGAAAGAGAGAGACAGGCACATTCAACCTTCCCTCCTGCTGCTGTGGCCACAACTGTCCTAAAGGTGGAGGAGAGAGAATAATGGCATCTCACTGCTCAACAGTCTTTGCTGCCTTACCAACCATGAAATATAGAGGGGATCACAGGGGATCAGCAGTTAAGAATGAATTTAGGACTTGGGGGGATAGCTTGAATGTTCTCTGCTTTAGCTCATAGTTGTCTGCCCAAATGAGGAACTTGGCCCATCACCCCTACTTATGATGGCAACTTGATCATCATCATCAAGGTTTATATAGTGTTACATTATTTACCTTACTATTTTAGTAAACTAATGCTGTCACGTAGCTGCAATTTTTATATGTCTTTGCAGGTGATGCATCTGGAAGATTATGAAGAAGGAGCTATTTTCTCACATATAACTCATGGCCCTTATCCACTAATTATTGCTTATACGCTATTGACCCTTGATAGTATGCTTTACCTGCTCCTAGGGATTTATTTCGATCAAGTGATTCCAGGTATGTTAGAATCAAAGAAAAATACAAAAAAACCTGAACAACATCAAGGGTTTGGTTACATATTAAGTATTGTGATGCATATTATATGTGGTGAAATACTCATTTTAAGTGTATCATCATCCTTACTGAAATTGTGTCCATACTAGAAATCTTCATTCTCAACCTCTTTAAATTCATTCTAATCATTTGGGAAATATGTTGCAGAACCAAAATGCCTGGATATGTTATGACCTCTGGGCACTATCGAAATTGCCAGTTCATATACAATGTATGTGATTTACAATCCCCACTGGGATTAATGCAGACTGGAACCTGTTAATCATATACTCCAAACTACCCAAACTATTAGTTATATTTCATAATTCTGGTATATATGCTTCTGGTCTACTAATAAATAATAGTAAATCACCCACATATCTGTCTGTGCTTAATAAAACCATCCTGATCTGAATGAACAACTATTATTATCACCACTGGCTGAACTCTATTTGACAAAATCACTTTTAGTATCTTCTGTGTTAATTAAAGAAATTTGCCTATAATTTGCATACATGGTTTACTATTCCTAAGTGTGGTACAAGTCATACATCTACACATCATAAATTGAAGTTGACTGGGTGCCTAAGCATTTTGATAAATACAGAAAAGCTTAGGGGTCAGAAAGTTTGAATGTGCCTTTTACCATTCTATGCTGTTGCTCTAATACTCCTGTAGGATTCAGAAATGGTCGTTAATCATGGGCATTTTAAATGCAAAACTTTTATATCCCAAACCTCCTTAGATTTGGAGCCAAGAAGTAAACAAGAAATAAATAGCACATCCATATAAAATTAAAGTAGAATTTCAACTTGCGCATAGTGTGTATGTATGTCTGTGGCACCAAAGATGTATTTGTAATTTATGCTAAAAATTACATGCTAGACTGTAGTACAGGAAGATTTCCTGGGTTACAAAATAAGGGATATAGTTTGCACAAGTCTAAAAATTAGCAAACTATAAACAGAAAACTGTCCAAACCTGTAATTATACTGTGTAATCCATATGTTTACACATTCTTTCTCATCTTTTTTTACCCCTCAGGGGAATATGGATTGCGGCGAAGCTTTTTCTTCTTCCTAAAGCCCTCATTTTGGGTAAAGCGAACAAGAAATTATAAGGAATTGTATGAAAGCAGCATTAATGGAAGCTTAGAATTCAATGAGATTGTTGAGCCTATATCTTCCGAATTCCAGGGAAGAGAAGCTATTAGGTATGACGGATGATGCCGAAGTTTAACCTGAACCTATTGTAACTTACTAATTGTTTTTGCACTTAGAAAGAAACTGGCTGCGTTTGCATGAAACGATCAAGAACCTTGGCTTAATAAATAATTTTGTGTACAAGCAGCATGTACACACTTTCCGATTGCTGCAAGCAAATCAGCTCAGCCTGACATTTGAATGCAGGAGTGTTGTTCATTTCTCCCTAACAAGCAATGCTTGGTAGGCAGCCTTAAATCAAGGCTTGCTGTTGGCTTTCAAATTCTGGTTCATTAGTGATAAGCAAACCACACTCCTAGGTCACATGAAGGGGGGAGGAAAGAGTTGAGTAATCCTCTGCATGTACATTATGGTTTATTAAGCCAGGGTCCTTGGCTTAACATTGCAAGCAAACATGGCTGCTGTGTGAAGTATGCATGCAGTGATAATTAATTTGTCAGTTTTATTATGCACACTCAAGAGGAGCAATGTGATAGTTTTCATATGCAAATATAGTTTGTCATTGTCCTGTGAAGTGATACTTCTGTCATTGATTATTGGCAAAGGAAAAAAAGTCCATATTGAGAAAAGACAGTGTTAATCAGTTTTGGTTCTATCAAAACATACATTGTAGAGCAGTACCTGTGCAAGTGATCTGAAGCTCCATGTATTGCTTAAGATGCAAATGTTGCATGTTGCACGTACTAATATTTCTTTCCTGATAAGAGTCAACAAGGAGGTCACTGCATGTACAAATCTCTGTTGCATGTTGACTAGTCAGTTTGCAATTGAGGCAAGGAAGGTCATTTTGCTAAGCACTCAAAGTACTATGTCTTTGCTTAGGAACCAGCTTAGTTTCAATCAGAAGTGAGGCATATTCAGTCCAATTAACCTTGGGTGCCATTTACCCATATTTTCCTTAGTTTGACAGGAAGCCAAATAGCAAAAAGTGGTATTTGTGGTTTAGAAATGTTCCATTTCATCTTTTTCACTGTATTCTGTGGTTCAGACTCCTCCTCATTGCATCCATTTCTCAAAATGTTTCATGAGAGATCAAACTCTGGAAGAAATCATAGTCAAATTATATGTTCAGGAAAAGTATGTGGTACTTTCTTTCTGGGAAGGGGTTGTGGCATAGTTTCCCAGGAGCATTGTACTACTTTTGAATATGAAGATCACCTTGCATTGTAAACCAAAATGGGAATATTCAAGCTAATATAAATATGTGGTACCTGCATATTCTTTGATTTTATCTTGCTTGGTAAATTTTTACCAAAATTCTGTGTTTCTTTTTGAAAATAAATTTATCTTTTCTTCTTTCAGAATCAACAATGTTCAGAAATCATATATTAAAAAGGGTGAAACTGTGGAGGCTTTGAAAAGTAAGACTTCTTAGGTTTTCAACTGTCTGCCACAAGTGTGAGCCCTTGTTCTTTAAGTGTTGCCTGTTTGTTGTTTTCTGACAGTGACTATTTGCATGTCATGCTAAACCGTGGTTGAGCACAACATGCACTAGCAGAAATGAGTTTCAGCAAGACTTGGGCTTGCACACTTCCTTCATTTCCTCCCATATGCCTGGCAGGGTGAGCCCAGAAGATTTTGCTTTTGCTTTACCTAAATCACATCTTAACCATGGTTTAGCATGGTGTGATCAAGGAGAAATAAGCTGCACCAAGTCTTAGGATTGTGCACTCCTGTTCAAACTGGGGTTCTTACTTCCAAACTGCTCTTGACCAAACCAGAGGAGGAAAGCAGAGCACATGAGGCCAAGGCTCAATGCAAACATGGCCAATGGGAGCAATGATATAGTATGTGGGTGAGTTTCTCTTTACTGACTACTCATTTGTAATCAGTAAATATCTCGATAAGGAAACATCAGTCAAAACAAACACAATCTGTACACAACTGTGTGTTTGGCTTTATTAAATATTAAATGTTCTGTTAATGGTGGGGGTTTTCTTAAGAGTAATTGATAGTGTATGTAGCAGTGGCTAAATACTTCCTGAAGCTTGTAGCAATACTATATAATGCCATTAATTAATCCCCCTCCTTTTTCATTTCTTATTAGGTTTATCCTTTGACATTTATGAGGGTCAGATCACAGCATTACTTGGACATAGTGGAACAGGAAAAACAACATTAATGAACATTCTTTGTGGATTGTCCCCACCTTCTGATGGTAAATATGTGCCTACTTCTGTTCTCTTTGCATTTGTCTTAAAGAGCGTTAATGGAAGAAATCCCCTGGAAGCCTATATTTGTGGTTTTTGTTTTGAAATATGTAACCCTTGGGATGGGCTTAATGTAGGTTCTGACTCAAGACCCCACTCAGGAAACCTGAGACATTTGAATGTTTGAATAGAAGCCTTCTCTCAATACACACACACACACACGTGCAGGCAGTGCTATTTATTCAAATAATAGCGGATCAACAAGAGATTAACAATGTAGGGAGCAATACAAAAATATATTTTACTCTAGTTCATTCCACTGTCTCTCAGGGTCCATCTATGCCAAAGGAAGTTTGTGCCCTTAGGTCTTACTCATGGTCAGTTAAGGGATTCAGCCCATAGATGCAGAATTTGAGAGCATCACAATACTGTACAGTCATACCTTGGTTTTTGAATTTAATCCATTCCGGGAGTTCATTCGACTCCTGGAACAGTTTGAAAACCAAGGTGCTGGATGTTCAGCTTCCAAAAATTGTTTGAAAACCGGAACAATCACTTCTGGTTTTCAATTGTTTGGGAGCCAAAACATTCAAGTTCAAAGGTGTCTGGCTTCTGAGGTTCCACTGTAATGAAATCCAGCTAGCAGGTCACAGCAGAGAGGCTGCAGTGCAGCGGCAGCTGAGGTGTGCTGCAGTAAAGAACTACAGCAGATGGTGGCCCCGAGGCTTCTGTGACTCCACAGCTGCAAACCAGTAGTAATGGTTTATTCAGCCAGTAAAACTTAGCAATTCCTCATTTCAAGCAGTGTGCAGGAGAACAGTTCAGCTCTCTTTCGAAAGGTTCCCCCTCTCTCTGATCAGGTCTGTGATCCCTGCTTTCCAGAGGTTACTTTTTGGGCATCCAGCATCACTCTTATTGAGGGTAGCTAGCTGACAAGTAGGCACAAATGGTCTTCATTAACAAGTCATTCATTAACTAATTCCAACTTTTACAATAAAACATAGAGTGCAGCTCTAGCCAACATGCTGAGTTTGGACACTGTGTTTTCTCTGCACTTTCTGCTTCCAACTCTTTAGTGGCATGCATTCTTTTCTCTACAGCTTTACAAATCAGTTCCAAGAGCTGTACTGTTTCTAATGTTTTCTGATTTGTGTGCGTGTTGGTGGCAGTGCATATTATTTTTTTTAAATCACTTTTATTTTAAAACTAACTCTGCATGTTCAACGATGTTAGACACCTTGACTTTTGGGGGTGTTCTGCCTCAGGTTTGAGCTAGCTGCCTTTAGATATATGTTCTACGCTGGTAGCCATCACAGTGTTAACATTTCCGCTCTTACTTTTCATGCATTAGGATTTGCATCGATCTATGGCTGTAGAGTTTCGGAAATAGATGAAATGCTAGATATAAGAAAGGTAATTGGAGTCTGCCAGCAGTCAGATATATATTTTGACGTATTAACCGTGGAAGAGAATTTATCAATAATAGCTTCGGTTAAAGGAATACCTCCCAATGATATGATACAAGAGGTGAGTGCAGGCTAATGACCATATTCCATTATGCTTTCATAAATATATTCCATTATGCTACCATAATGTCTGCAAGCCATCTTGAGCCTTAAGGATAGGGCATTTAACATGAAATACTTCTTGTCCTTGGTTTAAGGTCCAGAAAGTTTTACTCGATTTGGATATGCACCCCATTAAAGATAACCAAGCTAAAAAACTAAGTGGAGGACAGAAAAGAAAACTGTCAGTTGGGTTTGCAGTTCTTGGAGATCCAAAGGTAAGCAGCAGAAGGTCAAAACAGTTGATTGATGCAGCAATAATATGTAATTTGTATACAAGAAATGTGTTTCTCTGCACTGTTTGTATGGTAAAGTAGTAGATAGATAGAATCAGTTACATGGCGTATTTATTATTCAAATTTGTGCGCCCATTCTAGTAATTGTTGAAACTAGAGATGGAAGCATCTGACTGTCTTATAGTGGCATCTCACAAAGTTAAAGGAATCCAGAAGGATGCAGATTTCAGCCTGAACCCCAGGTCTAGTCTGTGAATTGGCTAAGGGGTATCTGTCTTCAAATCCTAGTTTGTTGGGTAGCTTATTCCAGCTCTAGTTGAAATGGATCAAGGTAGTCTCTTCCTGTTCAGTTCTGACAACATGCTTGCCCATCGCTCAGTAACAACCATGCCAGAAATATGGGCAGGGCCACTGGGACAATCTAGCAAGAAATCTATGAGCCAGATGCTTGCCTTGCTGGAGCTGTATTTCCAACTGTATGTCATGTGTTGTTGTTGTTGTGGAATGAGGATGTTTTATCAGAGTTAACCACCTATATTTACCTGCATGCATTATTATTTCTTACATCTGTACTACTACATTTGATTGGTGATAATATGGCTTGGTCATAATATGCCCTCAACTTCCTGTTACCAACATTGAGGTTGTTGGTTAACATTTCCTCATTGTTACTGATCAGAGCCAGTTTAGCAGCTGCATATGTATTTAAGTCATATTTAAGCTGCGTATATATTTGAGGCAATCCTACATAACACGAGGCCTGGAGGCCTATTACATCCCCTCCCTCTGAGTGTTGGAAGCCTCCTAGGATAATTCCAAGCACAGTTGTTTGCAGCTCTCTTCCCACTACTTTGTGAAAGCATCTTAGGCACTTTTATACATAACACCAGATGCAGTTCCTTCCCATACACTGTCATAATTGTAACAATTGTTGCAAGCCCCAGAACAGGGGAAAGGAGCCCATGACATGGTCCCTGCCCTTGGTTTTAGGAAAGGCAATACTGGCACGGTTAGAACCCGTACAGGCTCCAGTGTGAGCTAGGGCTTCTGATAGTCTTTTCCCACATCAACATGGCTATGCTGAAATGGTTTCCAAAATAACATAAGAAATGAGCTAAAGATCCATTCACAGTCCATCAGAAGTGGTGATAGCACTGAATAATGTCTATGTCACTGAATAATGTCTATGTCACAATCTACATTGCTCTTGGAATGGTGCCAACATTTCTCATCCAAATTTCTCCCCAGAGTTTTTGGAGTTCTTTACTAATGGAAAGGTTAATGAGAATGTGGGGCCAATAATGCCAGAATCTCTGATGTTGTTTGATTTGTACTTCTGGACTGTGTTTCTTTTGGTAGGAGTGGATTTGTCATAATTATTATAAGGGGTGGGTGTGGGTATGTGGGTGTATGAGACTTCTCAGTTTGCAGGAGCTGAACAGGATGTGTTTCATGAAGCAGAGTGTTTTAAAAATTATTTTATTTTTAGTATATTCCCAAATTACAGGTAGGCAGACTGAGAGCGTGAAACAAAAACTTACAATAAAAGGAGATAATGTGCTTGAGGAAACAGTAGGGTTGCCATATTTCAAAAAGTAAAAATCCAGACACAAAACTTGTTGAGCTTTTTTCTTGGGACCTTATCTGGTCAAACTGTTCATATATCTGATAGAAGTGATGATAATGATAAACAATATTATTGATAAGGGATAACTGTTACTTTCAAAATGAATAGCTAGTCCATTGTTTTCCATGGCCAATATTTAGGTATTACTCTTAGATGAACCAACTGCTGGCATGGATCCATGTTCACGGCAAACAGTTTGGAACCTCCTGAAAAATGGAAAAGCCACTCGAGTGACTGTGTTCAGTACCCATTTCATGGAAGAAGCAGACATTGTTGCTGGCAAGTGCAATTTGGGGGCCTTTGTGTTAGTACCAGTTTGGTAATATGGCCAGCTTATCGCTGTATGAACTGATATAACTGAAGGTACCTTCTGCTCTTGCTTCTAGATCGGAAAGCTGTGATTTCTCAAGGAATGCTGAAATGCCTTGGCTCCTCTCTGTTCCTTAAAACAAAATGGGGAATTGGCTACCGCTTGAGGTATCTGTAGTCTGAAAGTCTATTTCAGTGTGTTCATTAATTTCCACTTTGCCTGAATTTTACAACTGACTTAAAAAAAACATTCAGTTTAGTTAGCTGGAAGTATAATAGCAATGAGTAAACCTGGTAAATATGAACGCTAGTTGGTTCATATTGCCTTATTTTCTTTTTTAATGATCACTACAAAGCAACTGTCACAAGGTTATAAAAAAGCATTTGACAGAACAATTCTATGTCTATCCACTCAGAGTTCCCACTAAGTTTAATACCACTTACCCCCAGGTAAGTGAGTACAGGATTGCATTCTGAATAAAATATTAAATAATAATAACTTTTTTGGATCAAGCAGACTTATACCTGCTAGAAATTTCAGTAACATCCACAAAGTACTAAATGGAAATATGATTGAGTGTATCAGGTAGAGTTGCCCCCAAACGCCAAAACCCCCACAATTTTTTGATTGACTTGCCTAATATCAGGCATGAAGAAATGGGGAGTCCAGTTTGGACTGCCAAGCCATTTCCCCCAAACATTGCCAACCCTGCCCATCAGCTACTATTGTTGGTGATATCAGCGGGTGGGCTGGAACCTTCTTGGAAAGCCATCTCTTCAGCCTCTGAAAAGGATCAGTGTACGGTGAGCCTTCCAAGAAGAAAAAGGAGTCTGCTACCTTTTTGCTGCTGGAGAGCAGCAGCAAAAGTGGGAGAGAGAAAATGCTGCAAAGAGCACTCAGTCTCCACTCTCCTGTGCTCAGTCAGGAGCATGAATATTAATTTAAAGCAGCCATTCTTTTTTTAAAAAAATAAATAATTTTTTTATTGAATGATTTTATGTTACAAAAACATTACAACCATACTCCCACAAAATATAATTGAGAAATAAAAATTACATACATCAATCTTTTGTTTTTTTATATACAGTGGTACCTCGGGTTATGTACGCTTCAGGTTACAGACTCTGCTAACCCAGAAATATTACCTCGGGTTAAGAACTTTGCTTCAGGATGAGAACAGAAATCGTGCTCCGGCGGCGCGGCGGCAACAGGAGGCCCCATTAGCTAAAGTGGTGCTTCAGGTTAAGAACGGTTTCAGGTTAAGAACAGACCTCCAGAATGAATTAAGTTCTTAACCTGAGGTACCACTGTAATTTACGAATACTTATATGTAAATTTTGATTTTCATTTGGAATAAGGAAATTAAAGTTTTAACATATGGTTTACAATATGTTCTTTTTGTTACTTAAATAAACAAACAAACTGTAGAGTCCCACCTTGTAAATAATAATTAAACATTGTGTGTGTTTGTTTTTCCTTAGTATGCAAATAGACAGATACTGTAACACAGAAGGCACAGCATTTTTGATCAAGCAGCATATCCCTGGAGCCAGTTTGTTAAAGCAGACTGAAGAGCAGCTTGTGTATGCCTTACCTTTTAACGACATGGACAAATTTTCAGGTACACCTCATCTCCCCTTTGAACACCAGTGAAAATTGGAGAGCAGATGAGGAAAATAATGAAATTCATGGAAAACTAAATTGAAATGGACTTCAAGAGAAATAACATAGGTTTTGGGCCTGTTATGCAAGGGAAAGAGGTGGTATTTGTTGTGAAAGGGGTCAAAACACCCCAAACTATGTTGTTTGGTTTGTGTTTTGTTTTTTGTAATCTTCCTTCCTTTCTTGGCAAGCTTTTAATAAAAAATATATAGTAGCAAGACAGTTCCCAGAAAACAACAAAAAACCCCTCAATTTCAGACACATTTTTGACATGCTGATAAATGAAGGAAAACATTCACCTTTTGTTTCATGTGACTTTGAACTGTTACGCTATATGCAATCGTTAAACAATAGTGGCACCAAAGGCTTTTTTGTTGTTACACTCAACGGCAAACAGAAATAAGGCAACATGATTGCAAGAAATGTAATAGCTATAAAGCTCATTGGGAGAGAATAAACTTTGCATGCAGAAATCTCTGGCACCACCAGGTATGTCTGGGAAAGACTTGTGTCTGAAGCCCTGGAGACCCACTGTCATCGTAGACCAGCAGAGAGACATAATACACCCATCCAGATACCTAATTTGGTACTCAAGGCAGGCTATTTTTCTCTAAACCACACTCGCCTGTTCCACCCCTCATGCCATATATGATATGCAGTCATAGAATCGTAGTGTGTGTGTGTGGAGGGGTGTCATCTAATTCAATCCCCTACAGTGCAAGAGTCATAGCTTAAGGAATCCCTGACAGATGGCCATCCAACTTCTGTTAAAAAACTTCCAGTGAAGGAGAGTCCACCCACCTCCGGACAGTAGTCCATTCTACAGTGGTGCCTCGCAAGACGAAAAGAATCCGTTCCGCGAGTCTCTTCGTCTTGCGGTTTTTTCGTCTTGCGAAGCAAGCCCATTAGCAGATTAGCACTATTAGCGGCTTAGCGGGCTTAGCGGATCAGCTGATAAGCGGCTTAGTGGATCAGCTGATAAGCGGCTTAGCAGATCAGCTGTTAAGCGGCTTAGCGGGTCAGCTGATAAGCGGCTTAGCGATCAGCTGTTAAGCGGCTTAGCGGATCAGCTGATAAGCGGCTTAGCGGCTTGGGAAAAAGGGGGGGAGGGAAAAAACCCTGCAGGAACTCGCAAGACATTTTCGTCTTGCGAAGCAAGCCCATAGGAAATTCGTTTTGCGAAGCACCTCCAAAACGGAAAACCCTTTCGTCTAGCGGGTTTTCCGTCTTGCAAGGCATTCGTCTTGTGGGGCACCACTGTACTGTCAAACAGCTCTTGCCATCAAAAAGTTATTCCTAATGTTTAGTCAACATCTCCTTGAACATCGCTGAGGGAAGGTAAAGATGCAGCTCCCTGCTGAATTGTTTGCAGGCACTTGCAAAGCCCAGTTTGTTTGCCTGCATGGTTTGATTACATCACGGTGATGTCAGGTGATTGACCCGTCAGCAATCCCATCCATCAGCAATGCATCCAATCCCTGCTGTAGGTAGGGATTGATCAATGGTATAAGACAGCTTCCTGTATTTCTATTTCCAAGTAGTAGCACGACGGCGGCGGCTGCTGTTGCTACTATTACCACATCTATTCCTGCTTCTTCTTCTAGCACTGTTTGCTGATCTAGACATGCATTCCCATTTGGGTGTTATTTCTTATGGTGTTTCCATGACTACCTTGGAGGATGTGTTCCTCAAGCTGGAAGTTGAAGCTGAAATTAACCACACAGGTGAGAATCAATGACAGTACTTCCTGTAGTACATTACAGTTCAATGATTTGGTGACGAGGGATAAATTCTAAGTTGCCTAACCTGTTATCCTCCTTAGATTTCAGTGCATTTAACTCGGAGCAAGCTGAAGATGAAATGGATGCAAAATCTATGGATGAGTTAGAGCAAAGCCTGCTAATGCTATCTGAGACAAAATCGTGTGTACTAAGCAATAAGTCTCTTTGGAAAAAACAGGTCTCTACTCTGGCAAAAGTTCATTTTCTTAATTTCAAACGTGACATCAAATCACTCACGGAAGTGTAAGCATCTTGGCTTTCTGTTTCTTAGTCCAAAATGTATGAGAGTCAGAAATGGAAATAGGTTAAAAGGTTAAAACAGACCACAGCCCAGAGTGAAGGCTGCATCTCAGATTGGTGCCTTGTGTTGCAGCACCTGATAGGGAAATAGTGAATACAGCGTGTGTGTGTGTGTGTGTGTGTGTGTGTGTGTAGGAATTGCTATTGAGTCTCTATGCTGCTTCCTATGCTGCACACTAGGGGACGTGGGTGGGGCTGTGGGTTAAACCACATTGCCTAGGACTTGCCGATTGGAAGGTCAGCGGTTCGAATCCCCGCGACGGGGTGAGCTCCCGTTGCTCGGTCCCTGCTCCTGCCAACCTAGCAGTTCGAAAGCACGTCAAAGTTCAAGTAGATAAATAGGTACCACTCGAGCAGGAAGGTAAACGGCGTTTCTGTGCGCTGCTCTGGTTCGCCAGAAACGGCTTAGTCATGCTGCCACATGACCCGGAAGCTGTACACCAGCTCCCTCAGCCAATAAAGCGAGATGAGCGCCGCAACCCCAGAGTCGGTCACGACTGGACCTAATGGTCAGGGGTCCCTTTACCTATGCTGCACACATGTAAGCAGCATGTTGCATCATTGTGGAGAGTGGAAGGTCTGTGTAGTTTTCCCTTATCTCTTAATGCAAGTTAAATTTGGGACTCAAATAGCTAGCATCCAGAAAAGAGAGAGAGAGCGCGCACGTGTGTGCATGCGTGCTTGAGAAACGCAAGGGAGGTGTATGCATGCCTCCTAATCCCTATAATGTTCAGTGTGCCAAGGAGAAGCCAGGAGATAGTTGGGGGTTGTGTGTTCATTCAGCTTTATTATATTAGATTATTTCTGTCCCACCTCGCCTTTGCCAGCAATATCTGTGCGAATACTTAATGCACTTCAAGAGGGAAGCTTGCCACATCCTGAAAAAATGTTTGAAAAGAAGTTCCAGTGAGGAAGTGGTAAATTTCAATCTGCACATTACGAAGCATTCACAAGGATAGGGTCGTTTGAAAAGAAATTGCATCATCAAACGTCACATTTGACTGCAAGTTCTCTTACCTAAGGCTTACACGTGAACTTCAGGAAATATTTCCGTCTTATGTTTTAACGATCCAAAGAGAAGGAGCCCATGGAAGGAAAATAAGTGATTGAATTCATGTGATGCTCCAAGAGGGACAGGTGGCTATTGTTTGAGACTGGGGGCTTATCCACATTTTACCTTCCCTCTCTTTCAAGGCATGATCCGTGCGTTAAAGCTGCAGGTCTGAGCACCGTTTTTGTTTTTAATCCTCTGGAGCTTTCCCCACGCAAACCTGCTCTTTAAAGGTCCGTTGGAGCAAGTGCCAATGTGTGGAAAACCCAACTTGACATTGGCTCTGCTTGAGCACCAAATAATGGGTTTTCGTGGGGAAAGCTCCAGGACAAAATAAAAAATAAAACTCTCAGACACAAGCACAGACCTGTGCCTAGGAAGAGCAGGGAAAAGGTAAGTGTGGATAAGCCATCTGACTATAATGCTAGTTTTTCAATAACACTCCCTGCCCCTTCACCTTTCTGAACTTTTTAAATACCACACAAGGTGCCTTAGATATCATACTCATGGACTGCTGTCTCAATGTAGCTGTTCACAGGCTTGTACTTTTAGTATGTGGATGAGTGAAATAATTATTTAATGACTTGTCATCCAGAGCAAGGATTGCAGCCAGTTTTACCAGTGGATACAGTTTAAAGGGATTCTTACAGAGAATGCTTGAGCAGGTCAACCTGGTTCTGATCTAGCAAGGTCCTTTCCTTTGTTACTGCGGAAGAGTACATGCTTGTCATCCTCAAGATATCTTGAATATGTGTTTTGTATTGAGCAAACTTAAGACAGATTAGTGTTTCCAGTAAAACAATGCAAAGTCACTTAGAGGTTTTACATAAATTAAAAAGCATACTGATTGTGTTAAATTAAATAAAAAAATAATATGGAGGATGGCTATTCAGTCTACCTCTGCTCTAAGGGTCACAATTCTTTACACTAATTTGTACCAGCTTTACGTGTACTTTTTTCTTCTTATTTCAGGTTTTTGCTATTAACAGTGTTCCTTGGTGTTGAGATTTATATGTTCAATATGTATCGGCAATACTTCAAAAATGCAGTGGTTCCTATTACGTTTTCTCCAGACTTATACTTTCTTAAACCAAATGAAACTCATCATAAATATAAAAGCAGTCTCCTTGTTCAGAACTTCACTGGTAAGTTACATTTCAATTTATTCGCTTTTATTCAATTCACCATATGGCTTTTCTTTTTTTTTCTTTTTTTACTGTATGACATACAGTAGGAATAAATTAAAAGTGTAATTAAGTTTAACAGTAATCAGTGTAATGAATGGTTAGCTTGAGGACAAGTAGAAAAATCAGCCCTCTGGCAAATCTGGTTTGACCCCCCCCCCCCATTTAATCACAAATTGAATTTAAAGATATGTTTCTAGAATTGCATCTGGCCAACTTCACGGAACAGACTTTAAATACTTTCATTTTTGACCAAAAAGCTGAAAGCTTTACAGCAGCATCAGTTAGTGGGCAGGGTATAAATATTTAAAAATAAAATAAGCAACATTATTTCATAATTATAGTGATTACATGACAGCACTGTGTGTGTGTGTGTGTGTGTGTGTGTGTGATAATATATACACATATTGTCAGTGCTTCAAGAGTATTTATCTCAGTCATGCACAAAGCAGACCCACTGAAATCATTAACTTTCATTTATTTCAATGTGTCGGGTCTGAGTATGACTTAATTGGAATTCACCCTAAAACTCTAAGGATATTTTGATGTTTATACGGGACTTCTGGAGAACATGAGCCTTCTTGTTTGCTGCAATACCAGTGCTAACTCTAAAGGTTCAATAATAATATGTAACTTTGGCATAGCAGGGAATGGGGAAACTCTTTGTATGCAAGGACTCTTTGCGCCTGTGAGACTAACCTTTCAACTTTCTTTATTGTCTCAACCTAGGATCAGACATTGATGACATCATCAGCTCTCTTATACGCCAGAATGTACACACAGAAATATTCAATGGCAGTGATTATGTATCAGTTGCTCCCCACAATGGAGCATTAAATGTATCTCATGCAGGCAAGGTGAGAAGAAATTTAGGTTAAATATATTGGTTCTATGTGGGCATTGGTTCTGTTTGCTGGCAGGGAGTTGGGGTGCAAAATGAATTTTTCTCCCAAGTGGGATAGGGGAGGTTTTGAAATTTGAAGAGGGAACTCGCCTTAGAAGCAGGGTGGTAGGTCTTTTTCCTCACTGTCAACCTTGGTGGCAGCAGCAGTGGCAAGATCAAAGCTCACAGAGTTTTCTTTAATAGCTCGCATGTCATTTCCTTTCTCCCAGACTGCCCTGGTGTTGTTCCATCAGCACATAAAGTGCTAGGGGGAAGGAACGGTGGCACTAGAGATTTGTCGCTGATTATGCTCTTGTTGTTGTTGTTTTCAGAGCTACATCTTTACAGCTGCTTTTAACTGCACCATGAAACATTCTTTACCAGTTATGATGAATATCATTAGCAATCTGTATCTGCACAATTTAAATGTCACAGAAAACATCCATGTCTGGAGTAGTTCGTTCTTCCAAGTGAGTAAATGCAAAGTCCAAAAAAAGTTCTTGTAAAATGAAGTTGCATTCCAGTTCATGACAAGGTGGCCTTTGTGTACATTGGATTGCATGACGTGATCTCCAAAACCAAACACATCTTAAATAATAATAATTTATTATTTATACCCCGCCCATCTGGCCGGGTTTCCCCAGCCACTCTAGGCGGCTTCCAACTGAATGTTAAAAACAGTACAGCATTAGACATTAAAAACTTCCCTAAAGAGGGCTGCCTTCAGTTGTCTTTTAAAAGTAAAATAGTTATTTATTGCTTTGACATCTGGTGGGAGGGCGTTCCACAGGGCAGGCGCCATGCCATGTGTTGTAGTCTCCCAGTTATTCCCTGTTTTGCAGCCCTAGTCAGGCTGCAAAACAGATTTATTTATTAGTTTTAGTTTTCAAACTGTTATTGTACTGTCTTTCAAAAGAATTAAAAATGCAAAATATGCAAAGTTACATAACTGCAAACTAAATATAGCAAAAACAGACTGATTTATCAAGCCACGGTTAGACCCCCCGCCAAAAAAACACACCCTTAAAATTATATTTCACAGTGGGTTTTTTCCCTTTGTATTCTAATATTGCAATCTGTTATTTTGCAGAAAATCACTGACAGAGGTTTCATAATGGTGCTGGTTGTTCAAGCTTTGACAGTAGGAGTCACAATAACTGGATTGCCATCATATTTTTCCATGGACAATGCAGAAAACCACAGGGTAACTTTGTATTAGAACATACTTTTTAAAAAAGCAATGTGAAATGTCCTGTACATTGGTTCAACACAGTGATTCCTCAGAGCAAATTGATCAGAGGGAAAATCAGGAGTCACCATAGTTATTCCCTTGCCACCTATTTGGCATCATAACTTATTTTAACTGATTTCATACATTGTAGTGAATCAATTCAGGGCAGATATGGTTGTACGTAAAAGTGTTCAATTAGAATAAGGAAATAGCAATATTTATAACTCCTCTGTTCAACATAGTTACCAAATCGTATTGTTCAGCTAACTGATTCTATGCTGTCATAACTTGGGCTGGTTGTCATGCTGCATTCTAAAGAGCTTATTTATTGGGTTTGATTAGTAGGATATTCTGGTTCAAATTCATTGCCACACTAGGACTCAGGTGGAAATTACAGATCATTCTGGTGAACTTTCATTTTACCAATCATCAAGAGTCACTGTGCTTTTTCTTCCTCAAACTACGCATTTGCTACTACCACCCAAACTGTCCCGTTATTCAGTCTCAGAAAAAAACTATACCTGCTCTCTTAATTTTAATGATGCAACTATGTTTCTTTTCTTTTTCTTTTCTATGTGTCTTGTTTTTGTTTTTTTGTACCATGTATGCCTGTGTTGACCAAACCTTAAGTTCAGAGAGCAAACACAAATTTAAAAACTTCCAGCCAAACTTTCATATATTCTCTGCAGATGCTTACATAACTGCTTGTTTCACTACTTACAAAGAAACTGGCATAAAAGTAATTATTTAGATGGAAATGATCCAAAAGCCTGTATCTTCCTTACACACCATGTTTCTTGTAGTATAACACAACTACGGATATATTGTAGTTTTGTACACTGTTGAGGAGTCTTCTGCTAGCTTGCCCAGAAAAGTTAACAAACGTTTTCTCTTTTCACAAATGGCTTTTTGGATCCCAACCTCTGGCTCTCTAAAAACCACCGCTATAGTAACTGCGGTTGCAACCTCTTTATTCATTACATTTACTTGGGAGTAAACCACATGGAATTATATGGGATTAACTTCAGAGTAGACATCAGAGTCTAAATGGGAGTGTGTAATTTCGCTACATGCTGCTTACATTTATCCTTTTTTAAAAAAATAATCTAATTGCATTTGACCTCAATATTCCTAACTAGGACTGTGCAGGCAATGGCCTATTGATCCCATGTTGTGCTGCCAGCCACATAGGATGAATAATAATAAATAATGCTTCTTAATTCCAATGTCTCTGGGTGGGAGGCTGCAGGCATTACCTTTATTTCTTGCTTTAATATTATCTTCAGTGACTGATCTTGGGCTAGGTACTCACTGTTGTGCCCCACTGTAAAACAGGACTAATATCCTCTAGATGATATAAATGAAATATAGTGCATATATGTGTGTGTGTGTTATGCATTTGATTTGCCTTGTAGCCTGTGGCTTGCCTCCCTGCTTTTGCCAGCTGGAGCCACCTGCTTGCATGCATATTAGTTCCTGCTTTCCTCCTTGTGGCACGTTTGACTCTGGATTGTGTTGGCCCTGCTATTGTCTGCCAAACCACACTGCTGAGCTGCTGGACTCCGCCCCTAGCCCTACCCACTCCTGTACAGGAATGTCCCTATTTTCACCCATGAAATTTTGAGAGGTAAGTACTCCCTGGTGTGCAGAACTCTCTGCCATTGCTGTACTTTTCTTTGAGCTGCTCCCTAGTTGTAGATCATTTTAATTTTCTTAATAGGATATGTTCTTCCTCCATCTTGGTTCATTTATCAGTTAGGGGTGTTTGAGGTGTCTTGTTTCAATTAAATTAGAAGGACCCTTGATGTATGCTCCCAGTGCTTTTCTTCTAGAAAACCATATGTTCCAGCCCTACAGATAAGCTAGTGGCCGAGGGCTCAATCACACTTCCATATGTCCACCACTTTCCTCCAGGAAAACCCACCGAATCAGAACAAATAGCAATCTGCCGAAAATCTGGTTGCTGTTTGATCTGATTTAGTGCTGAAGAGTGGGTTTTCCTGGGGAAAGTGGCAAGGCAAAGCCAAAGGCACTCAGACCCGTATCTATAAAGTACAAGAAGTGTGGGTGAGCCCATAGAATGTTTTGTACTGTATTTTTTAAAAAATAGTTCATTCCAGATCACATTATCAAAAGCAAAAGTACAATTGTTGGATTTCCTGCCATTGCCCATATTTGACCTGGATTTTCATTTATTTTTTGCACCTTTGCAGATCAAAGCCTATACTCAACTGAAGTTATCAGGTCTTTATCCATCTGCTTACTGGTGTGGGCAAGCACTAGTTGACATTCTTTTATATTACATAATTCTCCTCCTGATGGTTGGAATCTTGTTCATAGTTCACCATGGGATTATTTTTTCCCCTGAGGAGGCTCTTGCTGTGGTAAGTTTTGTTTTCTTCCAGATACTTTTATCCCTTCCTTGCTCCCCTTATTGGCGTCACCTCAACAACAGAAATCCAGGAGGATTCAGAAATGATTTCCCTAAGGCAGGAAGGAATTCTGTTGCCATGGAAAGCCCCATTGCACCTGTTGAAGGGGCGGGCAGGAATTACTAAACTCCTGCTGGCAGGAATACCTGGCACCTTTGAAGGGAAGAATAGGGCCAGCGATGGAGCCACTGGATCAAAAATCAGTCTGTTTCCCTTGGAGGAACCGATCCACGACTCTTTGCTACACCATCCACAAAGAATAAAAATTAACTGCCCAGGTAGGCAGGAGCCGACAGAACTGCGGATGTGATGGCAAATCTGCCATTCTTCAGCCCTGGTAAAGATTCTTCCCCATGGCACCATTTTATTTTATTTATTACAAAAGCAGAATAACATCGTATTCAACTTGGAAGTTGCCAAAGCATCTTACAGAGTACAGCAAGCCACAAGCCACATAATTACTAAAATCAACAGAGCAGCAAAGTGAACATAAAGCAGAAATTGCCTGCGTAATGGCATTGCCTGCCATTTTACATGCTGCACTCACTGAAGTGTATTTCAAACATCCTGCAATGAATAATGTAGTATACTTATGTTTTTCTGCTCTACTTTTAACCCAGAGAACCATCAACCTTTTGGCTTTTAAATTGGCATAGGAGCAGATGGTAACACTGTAAATGAATACAGTGGTACCTCGGGTTACATACATTTACAGTGTTACCATCTGCTCCTATGCCAATTTAAAAGCCAAAAGGTTCCGAGTTCTGATATATCTACAGTGGTACCTTGCTTTACGAACTTAATCCATTCCAGAAGTCCGTCCTTAAACCGAAACCATTCTTAAACCGAGGCGCACTTTCCCTAATGAGGCCTCCCGCTGCCAGTGCCCTTCCACCATTCGGATTCCATTCTTAGACCGAGGTAAAGTTCTCAGACCGGAACACTACTTCCGGTTTTGCGGAGTTCGTATACCGAATTGTTCATAAACAGGACTGTCTTATACTGAGGTACCACTGTATATGAAACATTCCTGCATTGAGCTCTATAACTTGAGTCACCTTCCCTCAGGGAAGGTGACAGATTGTATTCTGTGTTCTTAATCATTTTGTTGTGTTTTCATGTTATGCATAACTCAAATTTAATTTCCCCCCTGCAGGTTTTGTGCCTTATTGGCTACGTACCATCGGTAATTCTTTTCCATTATGTTGTCTCTTTCACCTTCAAAACAATACAAAACACCAAAGAATTTTGGTCATTAATTTTTTCAACAGTAAGTAAAAGTGCAGTACTTGATACATCTTTCCTAGTTGATGCAATTTAGTATTTTAATGGATTGTTATATTTAATAAATAATTATATATCTTTTTTTCATTTGGGTTGTAGCTCAGTCCTGCAAGCGCATAGTTTGCTGTGCAGCATATGCATGCTGCATGAAACCAAACTTTGCAGGATTAATTATTTACTGTTCCTTTTATTCTGGATATTACTTTTCGCTTTCTTAGCAAAAGCAATCTATACAGCTGGTTTTTCAGTTGCCCACATGCAAATGAATGCTACAATATTTTTTAAAGATGGATAAAAAGAAATCAAATGGTGCTCTAATTTTATTGTAATTATCTTTATTTCTTTTCCCTTTCAGGTAGCCTTGATTTGTGTTATTGTTATTGATGTAGCTTTTATTCAGTCGTACGCAATAGCAATTATAATTCACACGTGCTTTTCTATCTTCATCCCAATATATCCTCTTATTGGGTGTCTCATTTCTCTAACAGAGGTAAGTTTGCAGTGAACTGAAACAGTGATAGATTTTGTCTGTCATTTCAAAAGTCTGGTGTGCAGGAGGCAATACATTTGATCAAAATTTCATTCCACATCACTCACTCATGTAGTGACTTAAGACTAGTTATGGGCAACCATAGCTGGGCTCAGGAAACTGAACTATTTTGAAAGTTGGGAAAATAGGTTGTTGTTATTTCTTGCAAACAACAACTGTTCGTATATAGCATTTAATATAGCAATCTGATTTTAGGGGTATTCCAATAAAAGGGTAACTCAGATTGAAATCCACTTTGTGTTGGAATTCAGGGTGTGTGTGTGGATTGGGTCGTGGTGTCCTTCCATCTAGCCCTGTTGGCCTCCATCTGTATTGGAATTACTTAAGCTATTTTCTTATTTTGGTGGGCAGGGAGTGCAATAGTTTGGTTTGTCAAACACAATTCTGAATCAAACCAGCTAGTGTATACCCTCTGCTAGAAAGCAGTAGACTGATCTTCTTTACAATACCATGGATTATGAGAGGTGCCATATTTACTCGAATGTAATGCACATCTTTCCTGGCCAAATTGCACTGTGAAAATTAGGGTGCATGTTAGATTTGATGGCATATTTGCATTCACTAGCAAATGCTTTTTTGGTTTCAAGGTTTTGAAATTTGACGTGCGCCTTAGATTTGATTGTGCATTAGATTCGCTTAAATACAGTATTAGATAGCAGTTCAAGATAGATGTTCTCAGTAGTGACCCCTGACTTTGGAATGCCCTCCCCTCTCAGATGCAAGTTGTACCAGCACTGATGGAATTTCAATACCAGCCTATTCATTCAAGCATTGTACCAAGTGTTGATTCTCACCTCTTTGATCTAGTTATGTTATGTTAACTAGTTATCTAGTTATTGCTTTTATTTAAGTTGTATTTAAATGAAATCTACTGTTTTTCTTGTATTCTGATGCTCTCTTTGAAACAAGGAAAAGCAGGCTTGTTTGTTGTAAAAATGTATGTTTTTTACGAGCTTCCTGCAAAAATCAGTTTGTGGAAGAAATAATTCAAATAAATTAATTGTTTCGAAAAGCATTGTAAAAGCATTTTCTAAATGGTAATATTATATAAATGAACTCAGAATGACCTGTAGAAATATGAGGTGGGAAATATTGAAATAAGCATTTTCTATATTGTTAGGTAGCAGAGAAGCTTGGTCGAAATATGGAAAGAAATACAGAAAGGCTATTGGTTTCAACAATAGCGGTAGGCACCATATTTTCCCTTAAGAATTCAAGAGATGGATTGTCTGGATACACTTTTACACATAATGACAAGGTGTTACTGTTTTTATTTTATTTATTACTTGCATGTAAAAAAGCTCAAAGTGGTTTACAAAAAGGTGTGGGGCAGGTGAGCATGGTTTGGAGAAATCTGCCTCTTGGGTCATATTTGATCCCCTGGCCGGTCAAGTTTGATCCATGGGCCAAAGGTTTCTCATCACTGATCTATGGGGAAGACATGGCCGTAATCATGGTCATTAAACTGAGCTTAAAGGGTTCTTTTAGAGTTATTTTTCTAAAACATAGAAGCAAGTGTATGCTGATGCAACTAGTCTTGCTTCTAACACTAGCTGAAGATCTGCCATTTTTGATGCACCATTCCTGACCCTCCCACTGTTGTTGTTTAGTCGTTTAGTCGTGTCCGACTCTTCGTGGCCCAATGGACCAGAGCACGCCAGGCACTCCTGTCTTCCACTGCCTCCCGCAGTTTGGTCAGACTCATGTTTGTAGCTTCGAGAACACTGTCCAACCATCTCGTCCTCTGTCGTCCCCTTCTCCTTGTGCCCTCCATCTTTCCCAGCATCAGGGTCTTTTCCAGGAAGTCTTCTCTTCTCATGAGGTGGCCAAAGTATTGGAGCCTCAGCTTCACAATCTGTCCTTCCAGTGAGCATTCAGGCCTGATTTCCTTAAGAATGGATACGTTTGATCTTCTTGCAGTCCATGGGACTCTCAAGAGTCTCCTCCAGCACCATAATTCAAAAGCAGACCCTCCCACTACTGTGGCATATAAATGATATTGAAGGATGTTTAGCACAAGCTGAGTTCAGGCGTCCTACTAATTGCTTAAAGAAATAAATAGTTGTGGAGCCAACCGACAGATGGGTGCAGAAAGGGAAATGTAATGAAGGTCTTAAGATGCTCCATCAGTCTAATTGTATTGTATATATTGCTGTGTGATGCCTCATGTGAAGTGTGATACATGAAGTAAATAAATAATAATATTTTATTTATCATTGTATTTATATTCTACTTTTTCTTCAAAGAGTTCAAGGTGGCGTACACACTTACTCCCCCCCTTTTATCCTCTCAACAACCCTGTGAGGCAGGTTAGACTGAGAAGGAATGACTGACCTAAGGTCACCCAGTGAGATTCACGGCCAAGTGGGGATTTGAACCCTGGGCTCCCAGGTCCTACTGGGACGTGGGTGGCCCTGTGGGTTAAACCACAGAGCTTAGGACTTGCCGATCAGAAGATTGGCGGTTCAAATCCCCACGACGGGGTGAGCTCCCGTTGCTTGGTCCCTGCTCCTGCCAACCTAGCAGTTCAAAAGCACGTCAAAGTGCAAGTAGATAAATAGGTACCATTCTGGCGGGAAGGTAAATGGCGTTTCCGTGCGCTGCTCTGGTTCACCAGAAGCAGCTTGGTCATGCTGGCTACTTGACCCGGAAGCTGTACGCCGGCTCCCTTGGCCAATAAAGCGAGATGAGCGCTGCAACCCCAGTCGGCCACAACTGGACCTAATGGTCAGGGGTCCCTTTACCTTACTCCCAGGTCCTAGTCCAGCACTCTAACTACTACACCACACTGGCTCTATCTTACACTGTTTTGTGGGAAGAAAGTGGAGCAATGTGCAATCCAAGAGGGGGGATGCATCTAGGGTCCTTTGCAAAGGAGAAAATCCATTTTATTTAATGTGCTTATTCCTTTCTTCTCTTTTAGCCCTACTTGCAATGTGTCATTTGGCTCTTCCTTCTACGCTATCTTGAGGTGAAATGTGGAGGCAAATCAATGAGAAATGACCCATTTTTCAGGTTGGTATGCCTCTATTTACAGTACTGAAATTACTACACCAAGCCAGTGTTAGTCAGTAGTGAACTGCAACAAAGTATACACATTAAAAGTCTCTTGGTCCATGGAGAAGTGACCACTTGCTGATGTTTAGGGTTTAAGGGAGGGCTAGAGTTATTACTTAGATAGGCAATACTTTTAGGGACGATAGTGAAGCAATTGGAGTCCAAGAGTTTGCCCTGGGATCCTTGCAATGCCAAAACTTTGACTGTTCACGATCTAAGAGTTGTGTCTTTGACATCCTTTCTGACGCTACTTTATTACGCAAACTAGTGTGTATGCTTTCCTAGTTTGTGGATATTGTAGCCACCAGCACCAGAGAGTTTATTTGAACTTTCTCCCAAGTCAAACACTGCAATATGCTTTAGAATAAGGAAAACAAAACCTTCACACAGCTTCTCTGAACACCCACCCATCATCCAACCATTTCTTTAGCTGATTGAATATGTGATGATTCTTGCATGAAAGAGCATTCTTCTTATTGTTGCACATAAGAAACTGAATCAGGGATAAATGGGATATTATCAGCGATTGTAGCGTGAATGCTGCCACCTTCTCATTCACCCAATCGCTCTTTGATCTAGCAAAATATCTCACTTGTCTATTTTAGGTGTTTTTCTAGCCAATTCTGTCACAAGGTCACATTGGACAGGGAAGTATCATAGAATCATAGAATCATAGAGTTGGAATAGACCACAAGGGCCATCGAGTCCAACCCCCTGCCAAGCAGGAAAAGAGCACTCCTGACATATGGTTGTCAAGCCTCTGCTTAAAGACCTCCAAAGAAGGAGACTCCACCACACTCCTTGGCAGCAAATTCCACTGTCGAACAGCTCTTACTGTCAGGAAGTTCTTCCTAATGTTTAGGTGGAATCTTCTTTCTTGTAGTTTGGATCCATTGCTCCGTGTCCGCTTCTCTGGAGCAGCAGAAAACAACCTTTCTCCCTCCTCTATATGACATCCTTTTATATATTTGAACATGGCTATCATATCACCCCTTAACCTCCTCTTCTCCAGGCTAAACATGCCCAGCTCCCTTAGCCGTTCCTCATAAGGCATCGTTTCCAGGCCTTTGACCATTTTGCTTGCCCTCCTCTGGACACGTTCCAGTTTGTCAGTGTCCTTCTTGAACTGTGGTGCCCAGAACTGGACACAGTACTCCAGGTGAGGTCTGACCAGAGCAGAATACAGTGGCACTATTACTTCCCTTGATCTAGATGCTATACTCCTATTGATGCAGCCCAGAATTGCATTGGCTTTTTTAGCTGCCGCGTCACACTGTTGGCTCATGTCAAGTTTGTGGTCAACCAAGACTCCTAGATCCTTTTCACATGTACTGCTCTCAAGCCAGGTGTCCCCCATCTTGTATTTGTGCCTCTCATTTTTTTTGCCCAAGTGCAATACTTTACATTTCTCCCTGTTAAAGTTCATCTTGTTTGTTTTGGCCCAGTTCTCTAATCTGTCAAGGTCGTTTTGAAGTGTGATCCTGTCCTCTGGGGTGTTTGCCACCCCTCCCAGTTTGGTGTCATCTGCAAATTTGATCAGGATGCCCTTGAGTCCATCATCCAAGTCATTGATAAAGATGTTGAATAAGACCGGGCCCAAGACAGAACCCTGTGGCACCCCACTAGTCACTCTTCTCTAGGATGAAGAGGAACCATTGATGAGCACCCTTTGGGTTCGGTCAGTCAGCCAGTTGCAAATCCACTGAGTGGTAGCATAGTCAAGACCGCATTTTACCAGCTTCTTTACAAGAATATCATGGGCATCAATATGGTTTCATGTAGGTCTACCTGATGGCATTATTTCTGTTAGTTCTATCTGTTCAGAGGTCCCAATGAGCAGATTTCACATATATTTCCTTAACTTCAGAACTTCTGCAAAGCTGAAGGCCAGGAAATCGCCAGATGTGCCGTTTGACGAGGATGAGGATGAAGATGTTGTGGCTGAGAGGTTGAGGGTTAAGGAGATGACAACGAGCCAGAGCTGTGAGGAGGTATATCTTGCTCTTTAGTATCAACCCTGTGAACCTACTGGCACCTGGTCGTATTGTAAGACCTGTATAAGGGGTGATGTGCCTTACCTCTCGTATAGTGATAGCCTGTTTCAAAAAGCACATATTCCAAATCACGAGTTATGCACCTTGTTTAACTAACAATCCCTGGTTAGCAGAAGACATGCTAAGTTTATGAGAACTGAAAGTAAATGCCCCTGAAATCCTTCTCCTGGCTGCACAGGTGAGCATGTGAGGTTGAGGCTTTGCTCAGGCTTGTTTCAACTTGTGCACGTAGCAAGAAAGCATGGTTTAGTTTTCCATGTGCGTTATTAATTAAGCTCCGTTACCTTTTGTTTCACCAGAAACCTGCCATTTTGGTCAGCAATTTACATAAAGATTATGATGAAAGGACAGATTTTCTTCTTGGAAGAAAAATCAAGAAGGTGGCAACCAATCAGGTCTTTTTTTGTGTAAAAAAAGGTTAGTTGTAAAAATAAATAAGTCGGGGAAATAAAATGCACCATCTCATTAAGCAGAACTGCACATTTTACGTGTTTGCCTTTTCTTTTTCCAGGAGAAATTATGGGACTGCTAGGCCCCAATGGAGCTGGGAAAAGCACACTGATTAATATGTTGGTGGGAGAAGTAGAACCAACCTCAGGCCAGGTATTCAAGTGCAACCTGAAGCTGGTGTCCCCCTCTTCCATCCAGAACAGGTTTCATAGCTCAGGCTGTAGTCCTTTTTTTTTTCAGAGGGTTAAAAATGTTATTTCATACTGAGGATCCATATTCTTTTCTGGATATTTCTTTCCAGCTGGCACGTAAATACCTAAACCTCAGCTAGATGCCCAAAGAATATTATGAAAGAGTGGGGTGCCCATTATTGGAAATGTTCATGCATATGAATTTTTAGTGCCTAACTCCTTTTTGGTTTCATAGATAATCTCAGAACTATGAACTGGGGCGGGGGGGGGGGGGTCACAAGACCTACATGGTTGGCTCATGTTTGTTTTGCTTCTAAAGCTAACGCTTTTAGAGGGGGTACAATGGGTTTTCCATTCATATGATATATGGCTTAGATTCAGAAATAGGCACCGGGATGTTGTGACTACTCATATGAAGGCTATATCTCAGATGGCTCCTGGTATATAAAAGAGTGTTCATGTAGTAAAACCAAACTAAATACTCCTGTGCATTTATTGTCATTTTTTTGAATTTAACTTTACCTTTACAATCAGCTTTTCTGTATGTTAACTGCAAACTTTATGTAAGAATGTTGAATAAGGACTGGTATATTCACAGGTGCTGATGGGAGATTATTCTTTAGGCGAAAATAACAAGGATAGCTCCATGAGATTTATGGGATACTGTCCGCAGACAAATCCACTTTGGCCTGATATTACATTGCAGGAACATTTTGAAATTTATGGTGCTATCAAAGGAATGAGTGAAAGTAACATGAAAGAATTCATAAAATGGTAAATATATATTTTAAACCCTTTGTTTACATTCAGAGAAGTTTCTTCTCTCTTACTTTGGTATAATGTCTCCCTGAAAATGGTTGTTAGCTTCAACTTAAAAAACACACCACACAGATTCTTGTAGATACACAGATATATCTAGGACATAAATTTGCATCATTTTATTTTTAGGCTGATGAACACTGTAGTTCTGATTCTGCTTTCTGTTATGTATCAAAATCTTCTGCACTAGTTTGAAGGTAATCTGTAGTCAACAGTCTAAGTTACAGACAAAATTGTGAGGTTGCAAGACTTTTCTGGTTACATCTCTTAAAATACCATTAAAAAAAACACTTAAGCTACCTGTGGCATACATCTTGATTATTTTTGCAGGGAAGATCAATCCAGTTAAAACCACAAATAGTGTAAAGTTAACCGGAGGTCAAATAATACTAGCTAAAACACAAAATGTCATATGAAGTAATTTACTTGAAAAAGAACTAATGAGCATACGCTAAAGTTCTCTAATACTGGTTTCTTAGAATGTTTAACACTGTATACTTTTGTTTTTCTTCAGCATTTCCCATGCACTTGACCTCAAGGAACATCTACAGAAAAGAGCAAAGGACCTTGGAGTAGGAATCAAACGAAAGGTATTTGATTGTTGTTTTTAAGCTGAAATGCTAAACCAAAAATCCAGGATCAATAAGCCTGGATATGCATGACCACTGTGAATCCACACATTCTTGTTTCATATGAGCAGCAAAACAAACCATTGCTTATTATTGTGTGCAAACCCAGAAACTATGGTTAATCACCAAAGCAAGCCAGGGGGCCTTAAGCCAAAAAACATTGCTTAATAACCTGGCTTCTTTTGAAGCTACGTTCTAGGTTTGCTCATAATGGAAAGCTGTGCTAAAAATCTTGGCTTGTTCTGCCACTAGTAGGAAGGAAGGAGCAAAGCAGTAGGAAATGGGCTGCCCATCACTTGTGCATATCCCAGATTTAAGTCAGGATTTTTGGCTTGGCATTAATGTTCAAATGCAGCCAATGGTGCACTGTATAATGGTCGCCCTTCCCTTACTTCCCTTCTCTTTCAGTTATGCTTTGCTCTTAGTATGCTTGGTAACCCTAACGTTACTCTATTAGATGAGCCATCTACTGGTATGGACCCTGTAGGGATACAGCAGATGTGGTGAGTAACCTCAAATATCATGGAGCCTTTATGTGGAAAGCAATATCACATGTGTGCGTTGCTTCTGTTATAACCATGCTTTGCTCATTATCTCTATTCTGCTTCTGATAGTAGGCTCAGCCTTTTTGTACAGTGGTGCCCCGCAAGACGAATGCCTCGCAAGACGAAAAACTCGCTAGACGAAAGAGTTTTCCGTTTTTTGAGTCGTTCCACAAGACGAATTTCCCTATGGGCTTGCTTCACAAGATGAAATGTCTTGCGAGTTTGTTTCCTTTTTCTTAAAGCCGATAAGCCGTTAATAGCCGCTAAGCCGCTAATAGCCGTGCTTCGCAAGACGAAAAAACCACAAGATGAAGAGACTCGCGGAACGGATTAATTTCGTCTTACGAGGCACCACTGTATCTTTACAATATACATATCTTGAAGATACGTGCTTAGATAATCTATGCCATATTATTGGCTGCCTTCCTATTAATGCTGTAGGTGTATTCATTTATATATATATATATATAATGGATGTTAAACAGGGCTAAAACAAACCTTCTCCCATGAAGAGTTTATGGTCAGAATTGGGTGTGGCATTGGGGAACACTATTAGCTGATCCTTTCCACCCTCTTTGCTGTTTCCTCTTTCATGTTGACCAGGCATAGGCAAACTCGGCCCGCCAGATGTTTTGGGACTACAACTCCCATCATCCCTAGCTAAGAGGACCAGCGGTCAGGGATGGTGGGAATTGTAGTCTCAAAACATCTGGAGGGCCGAGTTTGCCTGGTGTTGACACACAGTAGCTTTGTTCCCACTGGCTGTCCTTTTTCTTTCACAGAACTTCCATGGCACCAGCTGCATGTCACGACTAAGCGCTCATCCAGACTGCCTTTTGTGCCATGTTTCTAAGGCACGGGTTTAAACCTCTGAGCGTGTCTTGTCACTTTCCCCAGGAAAGCCTGCATTTCACCGCTGAATCAGAACAAAGGGCAGCTGGGTTTTCCGTGAGCTGCCATTTATCCAATTCAGCAGTAAAATGTTGGTTTTCCCAAGGAAAGCACCAGGACAAAAAAAAAAAAAACAAAGCAAAATGCTAAGACATGGGCCTTTAAAGGGCAGACCTGTGTCTGGAAAGTGCAACGTAACAGGAAGTCTGGATGATCCCTAAATGTCAGAGGGAATGTGAGGAAAGAATGTATTTGGTGGCTACTCACAGTATACCACTGCCTGTACATTTCCCATCCTCTGTTTCATCCCCCACTCACTTGCGGAAGATCCAACAAATGATCTTATGCCCTTTAAATGTAACTGCACACCGAAAGAGCAACAATTTGTAACTTATTCACCATAGGAAAGCAATTCGGGCAGCCTTAAAAAGTAAGGAGAGAGCAGCAATTCTGACAACTCATTATATGGAAGAAGCAGAGGCTGTGTGTGATCGAGTCGCAATCTTGGTGTCTGGAAAATTAAGGTACTTCCTTGGCATCTTGAGTGAAGAAGCTCAGATTTTTATTGTTAAAAACAAATTTAATGCCAAAATCTATTATTTTGTTTGCCTGTCTCTCTCCCCCAAAACTGATAGGTGCATTGGTACAGTTCAACATCTCAAGAGTAAATTTGGCAGAGGATATTTCTTAGAAATGAAATTAAGAGAAGTGCCGGATTTACAGCAGAAGGAGCGTCTTCAAAGGATGGTTTTGCGCATCTTTCCAAACGCAAGTTGCCAGAAAAGGTAGAAATCAATAGTTGAAGTTTCTGAGCATTAAAAAGAAAAAGTGCTTACCATTCTTTTTTCAAGCAATCACTTTAAAAATAAAAGCAGAGAGAAAATCTTACAATTAGAAAAGAAAACACTATTGCTAAAATGTATTATTTTTCTATGAGAGCTCTTGTACACTTTGGGCTTTGAGTAATGCTTACTAGAGAAACATACCTTATAGACCAGAGGTTCTGGAAATGTGGTCCAAGGCCCACCAAAGAAACTGGCATAGTAAAGCAACCAGCATTCCCCTTGTCTATTTTGCTATCATTTACCCAGCCATAGCTGCAGAAGGCAGGAAGCTGGCATTCCTGTCAGCATTTGCTGTGCCAAGGATCTGTCCAGGCATGGAGTTCACTACACCCCACCCCCTTCAGCTTGGCTGAATCACCCATTATTATTTTCTTGATGTGATGGGAGCAGAGAGGTGCAAATCTAAGACTGGTGCTGATTTAAGCTCTCTCCTCATAGTGTTCGAGTGAAAGAACCCTTAATTAGAGTGGTACCTTGAGTTACAAACTCCGCTAACCTGGAAGAGTTACCTTGAGTTGAGAACTTTGCCCCAGGATGAGAACGGAAATCGTGTGCCGGCAGCGCAGTGGCAGCAAGAGGCCCCATTAAGAACAGTTCCAGGTTAAATCGTTCCGGAGGTCTGTTCTTAAGTTCGTAACTAGAGGTACCACTGTACTGCTATGGTTAACACATTTTCATTCTCAAAATAGATGGAACTTGGTACATGGAAGGTTTCATCAGTGAATGCTTTGGCAACTAGGCAAGCACCTTGAATGCCTCCCTCTCGTACCATCTAAAACCTTCCTATTAGATAAAACCTCTAGTTTGATTCAGTTATTGTACCTGTTTGGCTACATTGTACAAAATGCTTAACACCTGCAACTTTATTCCAAGCAATTTTGTGATTCTCATTTCTGCTTAGTTGTGGTGGTATGTACTTGTGTCTGTTGTTTTTTGTTGTGTTGCAGCATTGCCTCTGTTTTGGCTTACAAAATTCCAAAGGAAGATGTCCACTCGCTTGCAGTATCTTTTTCTAAACTGGAGGAAGGTGAGGCAACAATTTACTAAGTAGAATCTTCATCACTGGGTTCTAAGTTATCCATCCAAATCTCATAGTAATCTGAATTCACCCTGCCAAACTCCCACATTGTCCCCAAACCACTATGTCCCAAAACAACACATTCCTTTATCCAAACGTTAGATTACCTACAACAGGGGTCTGCAACCTGCGGCTCCGGAGCCGCATGTGGCTCTTTTACACCTTTGCCGCGGCTCCGGAGCAGATACTAGCGAGGGGAGGAGGCGCATTGTGCACCCCGACACTCCCCACTGTGGCGGGCGCTGTACTGGCTGTGACGTCGCATGGGGGCGGTGCGTGCGTTAGTCATGCACCGTCCCGACGTCACCTTCCCGCCCGCCCGCTCGCTGCATTGAAAGGGGGCATGTACACTGGTCACTGTTTTGAAGGGGAGTGAAGAACACACACCAAAAAAAGGTAACTTGTTAATTTAACGTTTATTTCTATGAGGAGTAATTCTGAGGGGTCAAACAAAGAAATAATAAAAAAAGTGACAAAAATGTTATTTTTATAATGACGAGTTTTGCGGCTCCCAGCTTTTTTTTCTTCGGAAACGGGTCCAAGTGGCTCTTTTTGTCTTAAAGGTTGCAGACCCCTGACCTACAAGCTTTTATCGTCTCCCAGGCCATTTGCCTTGGTGCGTGTGTCGCCTTCTTCCCTTGCTTTTGTGAGGCATAGTAAAGTCAGAGCATTTTAAAGAGGCACAGGATTGCCTCCTGAGAAATAAACTTGCCATTCCCTTAGAGCCACAAGGTATGTTTGGCAGGCTGCAGTGTCCTTAAACATTTAAATCCACTGCACTACAACTTGACAGTGGCTTTCCCATTGAGGACAGCTGGGTTCCTGCACCCTGTTATGGCCACTTCTGGCCATACTGATTTTAGTTGACTGTGTGTGTGTGTGTGTGTGTGTGTGTATTCTTTTGATGCCTATGATTGTAAATACTTCTTTTTAACATTTCTAACAGCAAGACATGCTTTTAATATTGAAGAGTACAGCTTTTCTCAAGCAACACTGGAACAGGTAATTTAACCGTTTTTCAAGAACAGAGCATGCCAGCCCTAGAAAATAAGTTTGAAACGCGGTGTCTCCATTTACATTTCTTAAATAAAATTGTCATTTTATAATTCATAAATTGGTTACATACCTAATGATGTTTTGTCACATAGTGGGAGGTGTCATTGGGAATTGATCCCCCAGAAGAAAAACCTCTATGTTTACATGTACAGATGATTTGTAGTATAGCACTGTTGTCTGGTGGAGATTTAGAAACCTATACTAGCTTAGAGCACTATTCTGCCTGACTGGGCAGAATCCATGTATTAATTCATGTATCTTCTTCATTTCAGGTATTTATGGAACTTGTCAAAGAGCAAGAAGAGGAAGAGAGCAATTTTGGAACCCTAAATGGAACAATTAGCTGGGAAAGATCCCAGGGGGAGAGAGTTATTTTCTGATTTGTTTCACATTGCAGAAATTCAAGAGCTTCGCTTGTCACGGTTTTTGCTAAATATTTGTTTGCTGTGGCCTAGAGAACAAATATCTTACAGAGCCTATTCCTGAACAATTGAGTAAACCTACTTTGCCTTATGGAATACCTTTATTTTTGAATACTCTTACTACTATTCTAAGACTTCCTTCTTTTTTAAAAAAGTAATAATGAAAATAATGATTTTATCCTTTTGTTTTGTTCTGTAGTAATGGTGGAAAGAGGGCAATGTACTTAATATATTGTTTGGGGGCAATTTATTTTTCAAGGAACTCATTAGCTTTAAGAGAAGGACCATGGCTGGGCCCCAGTGAACTCTTTCTAACCCACTAAATTTAAGCTTCAGGTAAGACCAATCGTCCTATTTCAGTGGGTTAAGGAAGGGTTAACTGAGATGGGACTTACCACGCGATTCCCAACTGCAGTGCGAATACTAAAGAACCTGATGCAACACTGTGCTAGCATCAGCTGAAGAATACACGCCCAGTCTGTAGTGCCTAGGGAAGATCATGTTGCCACTTTACAAATATCCAGCAATGATGTGTTCGCAGCATTAGCTGCTGCTGACCTAATTGAATGAGCATGAACCTTTGTTTGCTAGGGTCATTGTTGAAGTGCTTGTTAACACTCTATTGCACTACAGTACTTTAAAAAAAGCAATTGCACTTCCAGAAATCCCCTCATCTCAGCCTAAAACAAAGGGAGTACAATATGGGTTATGAAATAAACCCTGCCCAATGGACTAAACAACTGTGGTCTAAACCTCCCTTTAAATCTATATCAGCCAAAAGAAGGCAACTCACATTGAAACTTAATCTCTAGATGGTACCTAACAATGCATAAGGTGGTGCTGTCACACCCAGGAACCCCACCAAAATGCTGGAGCGGTTGTACCCTTTTGGACATCAGTCCTACAAGAAATAGGCAAAATAACAAAACAGGTACTAGAAGCCACCCGAGAACTGGCCCTACTGAATATTTTCCAAGACAGTAGGCACATTCACACTCCAAAGAACTCATAACCCACCTATGCTCAGCAGCCAGGATCATCATAACTAGACACTGGAGGTGACCTTCAGGAGTGAACATAAGCCACTGGGACCAAACTGTCTGGGAAAACCTAAGCAACAAATTGAAACTAGCATGGGGACAAACAAAAGAGGATGCCTCCACCCCATTGTGGCTCCCCTTTATTACATACAAAGCCCAACAAGACAAGAACCCACCGACTGCATATGAATTGATATGACTAACTTGACCTAACAACCCCTGCCCCTCACCCATGCAAACAAAACTCACTGCAGTCAACTGAAGGCAATCAAGCAGGCCTTGCCTCCCAATCTCCCTCACCGCCAGTGAAGACGAATGAATAGAAAGAGAACCTACCCATGTGACTCTGACACAAAACCTTGCACATAACACTATGTAAAATAAGGAACATTTAATACTTCTCCCCCCCCCTCTTCTCCCCCAACCTTTTATTGACTAAAACATTAGCGTCTCATGTCAAATATGACTGATCTGTAGAAAGGACTCTGAACTGAAAACAGATGCTGTTTGTACTCATGTAACCCAATAAAAATTAATTTTAAAAAAGCAATTGCACTTCAGAATTAGTGACAAGGCATTTATGGCATTCTTCTAGCTCCCCCTTTTGGGTTACATGTTCTGAACAACAGTCACATTATCCAGAATAGATCTGGTCAGATGGGTATAGTCAGCATTTCATGAGCTCGAAATAAGTATTTTGCTTGCAGCCAATCACTTTAAGCCACTATGAATTACATTCAATAATGTCAAAATACATTTCAATATATGTGTAATGTGGTATAAGACTACCAATGCTCCATTTTGTTTTGGATGGTTTAAACCGTTACCATTGCAAGTTGCAAAGAACCCTGTATACTGCATGCATGCATACGTCCATTTGTTTAAATGGGTTTCTCTCACTTTTCCAATGCAAATTGTAAAGGCAACATGACTAAATCACTTTATACAGCATATTAAAGCATTGCATTATCTTTTGCCATTTTTAATGTCAACACACAAGATGTACTACATGTTTGACAGACTTAACTTTTTGTGTTCCTTTTCAAGCTCTTTACAATTTGTAGCAGCACACCCCAGTTCTAATGTTTTGATAACCATGGCAAGCAATGAATCTGTTCCATTGGCCGCTGGAATAACAAAATAGAGGAATAAACATTTATATGATACAATCATACTTGCATGTAATCAATTTCGGATTAGGTTGTAAAGAGAATAAAGTGGAGATCATATTATCACACCCCATGAGAAACTGAATTTGAATGAAAGCCATACCTTATATCTCTTCTTATGAAATTAAAGATGTTCCAGCCACTGATGCACTCTATAGTTTGATGGTTAAATTGTTGGTTCTAGCAGATTTGCATTTGTTTTAACATGCGTGCTTCCGGTAGACTTGGACAGATGTACGGTGACACCGTGCTGGCTTCATGATGGTAGTACTAACAAATCTTCCATCCAATCTTCCATTTTGCTTTTTTTTTTTTAATTAATAAAAAAAATGTAGTACTTGTAGTTTACAGAAGAAAGATTAGTCCTAGGAGCTGCTTGTCTGGAAACAATCTTAGAGAAGTATTGCCACTTTATTTTACATACATCATTTTACTTCAATCTCTAACAATATAAACCCATGAACAACAGCACCAGAAACAGAAATTATGCTCCGTTACAAGTCGTAACTTAGTACAATTTTCACAAATATATGTTCTGTAAATGCAAATATAATTTTTTTCAGATAAAATAAAAATATAATAATCTAGACCTCTTTATGGTTTGGCATTACAGATTAGTAAAGCATTCTTCAGCCTTAGCTGTCTTTCACTTCCTCCTTTCCTTATGGTTTCTAATATCTATGTAAAGCGAGGTACTGTATTAGGTAGTTACAATTCATGAATCTTGTGGGGAATGTGCAACCCGTTAATTTTCCTGCCAGCTTCATACAGCTTTGATCCAAAAAGAATATGTGCAGAGCAGCTTGTCTGTGCCTGGAAATGTTAAATAGTAGATGAGCTTCTTTCATTCAGGCAACCCTTCAGTTCTCTGGAGCTTATGGAGATAAAAAGGAAAGCTTAGAATCGGAAGCAAATAATCTTCTAGAAAGTGCTTCTGGTGAAAGAAGGAAGCATGAGATGGTTGGATTTTAAACAGCATATTATTTAAATGAAGTTCTATGCAGCTAATTTTGTCCACAGTTCCTATTTCACATACTGTATGAGATGACGATACACTACAAAAGTGTTCGATGTTACTATGAAGTGTGATGAAGTAATGTTTATTTGAATTAAGTTTTAATGGATGTTGGGTAATATGTTCTGACATTTGTACTACATTGTGATGCATTTGACATGGGAAGTTTTCTGTCTGCCCCTGTGGAAGTTAGTTTACCTGCTGCTTGGGGCCTTAACTAACAGCTGCAATAATTTCTGAATTTTCAGTTTGGCATCATTGGCTGGAGCTGGACTAGAGGGGCCAGAAAAAAGTACATATATAGCCAGGTGCTGGTTAGTTGGCGACAGCTGGACTTGTTGGTGCTTGGTGTCATGGAGACAGCCAGAAGAAGACAGCAGAGGACGAGGAGCAGTGAAAAAGAAGGAAGGCCTGGGTGGAGTGGCTTGTGGGAAAAGACTTGCTGGGGATAGCTGAATCACAAAGGCATTTACCCTTTTCCAACCTGATAAATATGCCAAACAGTACAATTTTATGTGCTAAGCTATACATAATGCATTTTTTGGTTTTTAAGTAGTAAATTAAGCTGAGATGATATAAGAATTATGTACTGCATATATTTCAATTCTCACCCCCCCCCCAAAAAAAAATTCAAAACATTTTTTCTGGAAAACAAAAAAATTCCAGGGGATGAACATGTCCAGAAATGGTACATTTCATTCTCTACGTATGACCAATATGGGTTTTGGTCACACAGACCTGTATGTAGAGCTATATGTAAAGTCCTCCCGTCAAAAGGCTGGACTCCAGTCTCACATGCCAAAGGAGACACAACATTATTCAGAGACGGGCTGCTAGATACTTCTTATATCCTTCTTATTTCAAGGGACCAGCACTTACTCCTGTAAGCATCTGTTTCATGTCTAGGTTGCGAACAACTTAAATATCAGCCTGCTGCAGCTGTTGCCATTCAAAGACTGTGCTCAGAGATGGATCGAAACAATCACGTTCCTGCTCTTTGACAAGTTCTAGGAAAACCTGCACAATACAGTAAAAAAAAAAAGGGTTTCTTCAGCTAAGTAGTGCTTGAAAGGCATCACATTTCTTTTCTTTGGATCATTCTAATGAAAATGAAGATAATTAAATTTCAGTCCTATTATGTACAGATGTGACCTAAATCTGTCATTGTTTTTAAAGAAGGGACCCTACTCCATCATGTCAGTTGCCATTTCCTTTAAATATGGCAAATTATTAGCAGTCTCAATCCAGAATGTGTGCCTAACTGCTCAAAAATTGTAAGCTGAACATTTTCTTTAAAAAAACCCACCCTGATGAACTCCATATTTTTTTAGCTAATCCAAGAACTCAAAAAACAACAACAAAACACTCCATGCATCTCCAAGGAAATGGGGAAATCTTTCTACTGTCTGTACACAAACTAATGATCATGATAAGGAAAAGATGCTACAGGGAGGAAATCAAGGGTAAAAAAAAATCACCCTCCCTTATTCAGGACCTGCAAGAAACAGCTAACTCGCCCCATGGGCTGGTTTCTCCCCCTTTTGTATGCAATGGAATCACACAGCTACACAATATATAAAGCAGGAGAAACCAAGGAATCCACCTGTGGGGCTCCTCCCCACCTCCCAGTTCTTCCCAGGAAGAATCTCCATTTCCCCCTGTTTAGTATGTCAGAGCAATGCCATTCCACTGACTCCAGTAGGGGCAATCTGAGAGGCCAGAAAAATCTCCTCTGCTGAGGTTTTAAGGGTGACCCTTTGCCTTGCCCCAGTTCTTTTCAGAGCCAGGCTCAGGAGAACTTCACCAGATCCCTAAAAGTGGTTTTGCAGAAAATTCCCAATTGGATAGATAATCCTTCGTTCTGGATGCAGAGATCCAGCACTGGCTGGGGAGGCACTTGCCAAGCTCTCTTGGCACCATAGCTGTCAACTTTCAGATTTGAAAATAAGGGATCAGCAGCCTCGAAAATAAGGGATCAGCAGCCTCACCTGTCCCGGGGACAATCTACAGGATATCTAACAATCTGGGATAGCAGCGGGAAACGGCGCTGGAATAAGGGAATTTCCCACAAAAAAAGGGGAAGGTTGACAGCTACACTTGGCACTACTTTTCTAATCCAGCAGAGGAAGCCCACGAGGAAGCTGAATTGTGGTGAATGCAGTGCTACAAATTCCACCATGCAATTGTATTTGAAAATCGCATTACCTGCTCCAAGGTGTTCAAAGAAAAGCTGTACTCCTCAAAGCTGAAGCTTCGTTTAGCTGTGTGGATAAAAAGCGAATTATGGTTTGGTTGACCCAAATCAGCTTGATAGGTTCTTTTCATGGGAATGACTGAATTTCAGTGCCAGAGGATCTGCTTTTTATTTAGAAGGTTCTTTCTGGGTTACTGGAGAACCTTTGCCAGTCAGCAAAGACAATGCTAGATGGACCCGATGGTCTGACTCTGCATAAGGCAGCTTTCTATGTTCCCATGATGCACCTTGCACCTTCATTCATGCAATATGCACTTCCGTCTCTTCAACACCCCAGATGTCTGAGGGTGCCGCATTTGAAGCAAGAGCACACAAATATGTAGAAAATAAATAAATAAATAATTTATACCCTGCCCATCTGGCTGGGTTTCCCCAGCCACTCTGGGCGGCTTCCAACAGAATATTAAAATATAATAAACAGGGCTGCATTCAGATGTCTTCTAAAAATCTGGTAGTTGTTCTCTTTGACATCTGGTGGGAGGGTGGGTGCCACTACCGAGAAGGCCCTCTGCCTGGTTCCCTGTAACTTGGCTTATCACAGCGAGGGAACCTCTGAGATACAATATGCCTCTACATTCCCTTAATGTGCTGGGTGTTACACATCTTTCTAGGCCTACCTAGTGAGTCGGAAGGAGGGATCTTCTCTGCTGTGCATAGAGGGAAGGAAAGGGGGCAATACCCAAATCAGGTGGGCATTAAAATATCTTCCACAAACAACTGCACAGTCTGTCTGGACGTACCTTCCTCTAACATGGAGAAGGCCTTCGATAGAGGCAGCGCGTCTTCCATTGGGATCTTGTAGGCCAACAAAGTGGATATCCTAAGGGCAGGGGGAAATCAACTCAGTCACCAGAACGGCTTTGATCCAATTGGAGTAAGTGTAGTGCAAGCAGTCTGTATGTAGACAGCCCTGGTTAAAAAACCAAAGTCCAGTATGGGGGAATGGGGGGAGTTGAATCTAGCATGCACACATACATGCACACAGAGAGAGAGAGGAGAGAAATTTTTCCTGCTGAGCAACAAGACTAGATTTTTATAGGGTCTCCTTGTGCACAGCCTTGGCTGTTGGCAGCAGCGTGCTTTGGGCTCTCAAATTTCAATGGCACCCCCCACCTCTCTCACTCTATTCTACAGCCTTCTGGTGCTTCCTTGGGCAGCACACAGTGCAATCACACTGGTTGCACGCCACCCTAAAACCGCCTCTGCTGTTGGTTTCAAAAGGGAGCCACACGTGAGTTTCCTCATCCACCCATGGATAGAAACAGAAGCCACCTGAAATGGGGAGTGTGGGGCCGTCTCCAGAAATAACACCTGCTCAGTATGTGGCAGGTCCACGTGCTGGTTCATTGGGGCCTAGAGGGCTGGGGGACAGGAAGATGCAGAAGGGCATTCTGTCCCCATCTTGTTCATCTGGCCCATTACCAAAAGCTCAAGGAGGGTAAGTAAGAGGGTATACAAGAACATAAAGGGACCCCTGACCATAAGGTCCAGTTGTGGTCGACTCTGGGGTTGCGGCGCTCATCTCGCTTTATTGGCCGAGGGAGCCGGCATACTAAGCCACTTCTGGCGAACTAGAGCAGCGCACATAAACGCCGTTTACCTTCCTGCCCGAGCGTACCTATTTATCTACTTGCACTTTGATGTGCTTTCGAACTGCTAGGTTGGCAGGAGCAGGAACCGAACAATGGGAGCTCACCCCGTCACGGGGATTCAAACCGCCGACCTTCTGATCGGCAAGTCCTAGGCTCTGTAGTTTAACCCACAGCGCCACCCGCATCCCTCTGAACATAAACTATAGTAACCAAAATAATTCAGGAAATTATGTGTCAAGCTGCAGGAAAAACACTGCAGTTACCTTTCTTGACGAGCTGCATGTGGGAAGATCTGTAGAATATGAGTATTCAGAAGCTCCCCGTGGTCCACGCCCTTAACTTTTATTTGGAGCAAATAATTTTTGCCAAATTTGCTTTTCAGATACTGAATAGAACCAAGACACCTGCAGAAGGAAGGAATCAGCATTTGTGACATTTGGATTTGGGGATTGAAGATAATGTTTTGTTATAGAAAGTGGTTTTGTTGAGTGTTATATTGGAGTGGATGAAGTTATTATTGTTTATATATAGCGGACATATGAAGAATGGGAAGTTCTTTAGTTTCTGAACTTTATCTTTTCCTCTTTCTTTCTTTCTTGCTATGTTTTTATCTTATTTAGATCAATGCTGATAAAAAAGATATTTGATATTAAGTTTTGTATTTTTCTTTATAAACCCTAATAGAATTTATTTTAAAAACACACTTTAAACAGTTATTGTCAAAAACGTAACAAATTATAAGTTGAACACAGCGAGCTTCAGAATCAGAAGAATCTTTATTTGCATCAGCCACTAGCCATAGCAATAAAACAAAATACAATGTACTGAAGATAGAGGTAAAAACTTAACTATACAGAAAGCTTCTTATGAGAAGGTGGAAAAAGAGTAAGAAGAAACTTTTGCCCCATCAGCACAACAGCTGTTTATGGTATCCTAATATGCTGGAAAACAAAATGCAAGTTGAAGCTCACCTGAGCTGTCCAGTCACCATGATAGCTACTCTGTCACACACTGCCTCAGCTTCTTCCATGTGGTGAGTTGTCAAAATGGCTCCTTGGTCTTTGTCCTTCAGCGCAGTGAGGATTGCTTTCCTGCAGTCAACATAAGATATACTAGGGTGGAGTAGGGTTGAAGGAGCCGTAAACAGCCTGGTTCCTAGCCGACATTATTGTCTGGTACAGTGGTACCTCGGGTTAAGTACTTAATTCGTTCCAGAGGTCCGTACTTAACCTGAAACTGTTCTTAACCTGAAGCACCACTTTAGCTAATGCGGCTTCCAGCTGCCACCACGCCGCCGGAGCATGATTTCTGTTCTCATCCTGAAGCAAAGTTCTTAACCTGAGGTACTATTTCTGGGTTAGCGGAGTCTGTAACCTGAAGCGTATGTAACCTGAAGCGTATGTAACCTGAGGTACCACTGTATTTCAAAAAGGCACTGAACAAATTCACAATATTTACTCGGATTCCTAAATGCAAGTACATCATTATAAGCATACATTTTGTTTTGAGTGATATGCTGTTATGTATTGCAAATTCACAAACCTGCTTCGAGATATTAAGTGTATGAGTCACTCACCACACTTGGCGCTTTCCTTTAGGATCCATTCCTGCTGTTGGTTCATCTAATAGCATCACTGCAGGATTACTCAGCATGCTCAGGGCAAAGCATAACTAAAATGAAGGAAATAATAATAACCATTTAAAGTTGCTTCAAACATTTGATAGGATATAATTTTTTTTGGGGGGGGGAAGTAAGTACAAATACAACTAATAATATTTGCAGAGGGTTCTGGACGACAGATGAGTCTGTGGTGACAGTTGCCCAGGTGCAGAAACCCAGAAAAGTATCAATATGTGAGTGAGAACTAGTGATCGTAAGAAGGCGTTGTTTTCTGTTCCTCACACTGATTCCATTGTGCTGTAGTTTCTCTTCTGCCCAAACTGCATTATCCGTCTCACAGTCCACTGTGGCAAAATTATTTGTTTCAGTGCAAAGGAAACAACGGGGGAAAGAATAATGAATTATGTATTGTTTGTGGACTGAAACAACAACAACAGCAAATGCAAAACAAAGTGGTACATGCTGGTTTCATTTCCATTTCGGAAACAGGATGGATAAACAAGCATTGGCAATTTCTGTTCTCATTACTGCTTTTGTCAGAATTCTCCAACGTCCCTAGTGAGACCAAACTAAAACATGCCGAATGCTCGGACAGGCAAATAAGCCAGTAAGAGATTTTGATAATACATTTCATTTTAGAACCCTTTTTCCTTGAAGAAACTGAGGTTGGTGGACAAGCAAGGCAATTAGGACTTCCAAGGATAATTTTCAGTCCCAAAGTTTTGAATGGACACACCCTGGTAAGACTGCAGCATATTTAGAGCAGAAGGTCTGTTAAGAACTAAGGTGTGGATATGCTGTTGAAATCACGGAGACAGCAATCTGCACCATGGACTACATTGTTCTGTGATCCTCTTGCATTGCATATTCTTATTCACAACCAGTCCAATGAACTCAAAAGACAGGCTAATCTCCCAGCCAGCATAACATAATGACATACAATGGAGATGTTAATAAACCACGGCTGGCTCCAGGTTTGCACACTGTATCCACCTGCCATGCGAGTAAGCCGCCCTCCTTGTAGTGGGCTGTGGATGGCCCTGATTTTTAATGTTTTGTATTCAGTGGTCCATGTTTGCCTGAGCTTGAGTCTGGACTAAGAACTCTGAGCTCCTGTGTTCTGATTCGATACAAGATATCCAATCATAGAACATTTCAGGATTTGGGCCTCTGCCATTGGTCCTTGGACTCTGAGTCGTGATTTGCAGCCAATCACGTTAGGAGTGGGAGTGGCCCAGGCCTCCAGAAATGTATATAAGCAGTTGCTTTGCCCCTGTTATCCAGTTCTGTAGTTCAATAAAGGTTCTTGCTGTTATCACTGTGTCTTGCCTCATGGGAACCTACACTTCAGTTAACAGAACAGGGAAGTGGGAGAGAGCATTTTCTCTCTGTAGACAGGCAGATGAGATGGACTTCCCCGCAAACAACAGCAGCGAAGAGGTGGAGGTGGCAGTGTCGGTGAAGACCAGGATGCAGCAATGTGGGCAAGGAGGAAAATAGGCAGTGCAGTGGCAAAGAACTAGCGCTGACTGAGCAACAAACCCAAGTACCTTGTGATGCCGCTTGGTCTCTAGCCATTAAGGTAAAGGTAAAGGGACCCCTGACCATTAGGTCCAGTCGCGGACGACTCTGGGGTTGCGGCGCTCATCTTGCTCTATAGGCCAAGGGAGCTGGCATTTTGTCCACAGTCATGTGGCCAGCATGACTAAGCCGCTTCTGGCAAACCAGAGCAGCACACGGAAACGCCGTTTACCTTCCCGCCGGAGTGGCCCCTATTTATCTACTTGCACTTTGACGTGCTTTCGAACTGCTAGGTTGGCAGGAGCAGGGACCAAGCAACGGGAGCTCACCCTGTCGCGGGGTTTCGAACCGCCGACCTTCTGATCGGCAAGTCCTAGGCTCTGTGGTTTAACCCACAGTGCCACCCGCGTCCATTAGCCAACATTAAATATTTGGCAACCGCTTCAAGAAACTAACAAAACACAGAACTTACTTTCCTTCTCAGTCCAGCAGGTAATGCCTTAGCAGCCGTTTTCAAATGGTCCTGGAGTTCTAGAGCATGAACTATTCTGAAAGAAAGGGCAGAAGAAACGACATCTGGAGTATTCTAGAATGGATCTCTTTTGCATAAGAATTACAGGGGAGGTTGCAAGTGAATCTCAGGGATGCTGTTAGGATACTGGATGGAGATGAACCACGTGTGCTATTTGTCAGCGTAAGAACTTCATGCTAACTGCCTGCCTCCCAAGGAGAAATGTCAATGCTAAAAACAATTAGCTTTCAAAGTCCAACGATTCTGTCAAGTATAGAATGAGAGGCTTTGCACTCAGTAGCCCAAAAACTAAGAGATAGGAAGTGTACCATGAAAGCAGGATCTTTTGCTGCCCTTACCGACTGATAGCAACACCAGCTGAGTCTTTCTGCATCCCTTTCACAGCTGCATTAATCTCCAGATGTTCTTTCATGGTCAGGCTGGGCCAGAGGGCATCCTCTTGGGGACAGTAGCCAAGAAAACCGACAGCATTTTCTTCCGTTGCAGCTGCATCAGCTCCTTTCATCAGGATCTGTCCAAAATATTGTGGCCCCATTTAAATTTGTCCAACATGAGTCATCTTTTGAAATATAAAAGTCCTATCTAGGAAATTAAAGGCCAGCCCTCAATCTTCTACCTCCCATGCAAAAATCCCTCCCTGTTACTAGTCCTAGATGGGAATCTGCTATTGATGCCATTGGCATACTACTCTTTGTAATGCATTGAAGTTGACTTTTGCAGTGATAGTGCATCTGTTCATGAAAAAGAAGAGTACATTTTAGTGCTCACACCTACCTGTCCAGCTGTTGGATCTGTGTCTCCAGTTATCATATTCATTGTTGTACTTTTACCAGCTCCATTGGGTCCAAGTAGCCCCAAAATTTCTCCTAGAACAACACACATACACTTTTGTAAGGATACTACACATTATCCCAGCAAATAAAATAAAATATTAAAATAAAATAAAATAATTTATTACTTATACCCCACCCATCTGGCTGGGTTTCCCCAGCCACTCTGGGCGGCTCCCAATAGAATATTAAAAACACAATAAATACATCAGACATTAAAAACTTCCCTGAAAAGGGCTGCCTTCAGATGTTTTCTATTTCCTTGACATCTGTCGGGAGGGCCTTCCACAGGGAGGGTACCACTACTCAGAAGGCCCTCTGCCTGGTTCCCTGTAACTTCGCTTCTAGCAGAGAATCAACAAAAGACTCTCAGATGAGGACCTCGGTGTCCGAGCTGAACTGGGGGTGGAGATGCTCCTTCAGGTATACTGGACCAAGGCCGTTTAGGGCTTTAAAGGTCAGCACCAACACTTTGAAATGTGTTGGAAACGTACTGGGAGCCAATGAAGGTCTTTCAGGACCAGTGTTATATGGTCTCAGATAGCTATATTTATAAGAAATATTGCAAGGATACTACACATTATCACAACAAACAAAATAAAAGAAGGGTAGCTATATTCATAAGAAATATTGCACTCTCAGTTGCCTCAGTCATCTTCCCAGGTACTACTCAAAGTCTTTACAATTGGATATGATCATTAGATTTAGGTTTAGGTTCCCTATAATTATTTTAGACTCTAGAGAAGTGTGTTTTTTAATGTTGATTTTTGATATAGTAAAACGGCTTACACAAAACTTTAAATAACTTTTTAAACAGCCTGATTCCCTGGGAGCAACAAATGCTCTTCTTCTATAAGTTCTGCTTAGTTTTAACTTTCTGCAACAGTGAAGAAAATTTTCTTGGGTACAATGGAGAGAAAAGTGACGAATCACCCCACTATTTCCAAAGCCCTGCCGGTTTGCATCAGCCGGTCTGGGAGTACCTTCCACTGAAACCAATACAGTGGTACCTCAGGTTAAGTACTTAATTCGTTCTGGAGGTCCATTCTTAACCTGATGCACCACTTTAGCTAATGGGGCCTCCTGCTGCCACCACGCTGCTGCTGCACGATTTCTGTTCTCATCCTGAAGCAAAGTTCTTAACCCAAGGTACTATTTCTGGGTTAGCGGAGTCTGTAACCTGAAGCGTCTGTAACCTGAAGCGTCTGTAACCCAAGGTACCACTGTAGTGATGAAATTACCCAACCCATCTCCAAGCTGCCATTGGTAACAAGCCCAATCCTAGTTTCCATCTAGGAAGAAGAGGGTCTTTTGGGTTCAATAGATTCAAGTCTGGCTCTGCTTCTGGCTTTCCTCAGTAACACCGCCTTTCTGGGGCTACTGTGTTACGAAAAAGGAGCAATGCAGCAGCGAGTTGCAGCTGGCTGGAAAGCCAGACAGGATGTTGATGTTTGGGACTGTACCGTGGGAACAAAGGGACAGTCTATTCACTGTACTGAGCATCGGATGTTAGCTCAGAGTGTCATCTGACCTGTACTGGAAGTACAGGGGGAGGAGTATTCTATCTTTGCTGTTGGTGTTAAGAGAGTGCAGACACGTTTCTCTGTACTGCTGGAAAGACAGAAATAAAGACATGTAAATACATTTCTGTATGTCTCTTTCCCCTCCCTGGGGATGGCAGGGAAGAGGGGAAGAGTGGTGTGTTCTTCTCACGTTTGAGGAGGATCGCCGATAGAGATCTCGCCTGATCTTGCCGGGAGACGCAGACGGGGAGGTCAACAAGGAACTCAAGCCGGGTTCCTGGAGAGTGGCCAATTCCTCTGATAAGGCTTGATTCCGACATCCTGCCAGTAAAAATGCTGCAACTGGTAGATCAATGGCAGCGAAACTTTCAACAGCAGCTGTGGCCCCATGCCAGCAAAGGGGCACCTGCACCACTCAGAACCCAAGCAGCCAGCAGATCTGGGGTTTAGGATTGGGCTGCCCCTATACTGATTCCTTTCCTTCCTATCTGAGTCCCTTACAGTATATCCAAATGTCAAGCACCCCCCAAAATGACTACAAAGTCAAAGTTATGCTTTTCCTTGGCCAAGCTGTAACAGTAATTTTCCATTGCCAGCAAACCTTTTTTAACACAGAAGGAGACACTTTTGGTGGCCACTTTCCCCAGCGTCTTGCTTTTCTTGCCACAGGAACAAGCCTTCTCACTTCTGTATTCTTTGCGCAAATTGCTGACTAGGATAACTGGTCTCTAAATAGGTGCAGAAGAGAGAAGCTTGCTTACGGCACATATACATACAGAATAATAATAATAATAATAATAATAATAATAATAATAAATAAATAAATAAATAAATAAATAAATAAATAAATTGTATTTATATCCCGCCCTCCCCAGCCGAAGCCGGGCTCAGGGCAGCTAACAACAATAAAACAGTACAAAAGTACAGCACAAACAACATTATAAAATTAATTAATTCAAGCCACTGGCAACCATTGGGCCAGAGCTCCGCAAAGATTGCCGAGGGAGGGAGTCAGGCTGTGCCCTGGCCAAAGGCCAGGTGGAACAGCTCTGTCTTGCAGGCCCTGCGGAAAGATATCAAGTCCCACAGGGCCCTAGTCTCTTGTGACAGAATGTTCCACCAGATCGGAGCCACAGCCGAAAAAGCCCTGGCTCTGGTTGAGGCCAGCCTAACTTCTCTGTGGCCTGGGACCTTCAAGGTGTTTTTATTTGAAGACCGTAAGGTCCTCCGTGGGGCATACCAGGAGAGGCAGTCCCGTAGGTACCTTTGGTTTAAGTGGGTCAAAGCAAGAACCATGGAAGACATTCTGCTTCAGACAGAAACATAGGAAGAAGTTGACTTATAATAAGCCAGGCTATTTGTCTATTTACTCTCTGACTGGTGGCAGCACCCCAAGATAACAGGCAGAGGATTTCCACGCCCTCTACCTGAATAGTAAAGAGAGGCAGAGGATTAACTCTGAAGCCTTCCTGTACGCAAAGCATGAGCTCTATCAGTGAGCTGTGATCCCACTCCAAAGCTAAATGCCTCACGTATACATCATTGGATAGTACTAACTGTGCCAGCATCCCCACCACACACCTGTGCAATCCAAACAACTGTCAGAACTGTGGCATATTAAGAAACCAGATAAAGATGATGTAAGAAAAGATGATGCTTCAAGACCCAGATCCCAGAATTATTGTTAGGTCAAGTAGCTCACCTTAACATTAATATGTTAATATTAATAAGCCAAGACAGTGGTTCCCAATCGGTGGTCTGCATAACCATTCACATAACAAAAGCTATTGTAGAGATATCAACATTTTCAAAAGTATGGGGGTGCATGGCTTGGCTTTTGAAAAACAGGGTATCTGCAGTACTTAGTTTTCCAGCACCTAAGGTACTGACACTCTTCTTCCGGACACTAATATCTCATCCCTACATAGAGCTCTGTTTATCTAGGAGGCCTCAGTCCTTTTCTCTTAGCATCTCTTCCTCCACTTTTTCCAGCTTTTATAAGAAGTACCCGTGGAGTGCCAAAAATGTTAGGTGTTTGAGCCTTAAAAGCTTATTTTCCAGAGTGACCATAAGTTGGAGCAGGCATCAAGTTACAGTACACAAGCAAATCACTGCAATGAATATCAGAGCAAGCTATAAAGCCTTTCTAAAACAAGGAAATCACAATAATTCTGCTTTACCTCTTCCTGATTTGCACAGGCCAGTGCACTCTGAACTCTTGCCCTTTCCTCTTGAACATCTCTATCATCGCCCTGACTGTCCTCTTCAGGATTCCGATGGCTGCTCTTTCTCTGTGGAGAAATCCTACAGATCAAAGACACCACACAAAGTGTTTCAAAAGCACTGCACACCAAGGAATGAATTCCATTCTTAAGTAGGAAAGCAGAAAACAGTCCATAAGGAAGCAAGAATCTCTGAACTTAATGTGCAAACTCGTCACAGCCCAGAAAATGCTGCCTTACAAAACTACATCTGCCTTTGCAGATAACTGTCCCAAACACATATCGGGGGGGGGGGCTAGGCAGAAACATATGCATAATTATAGTTTGTATATCCCAAGCCACAGTATTATTGTTGTATGAATTTTGTTGTGGTGGTGGGGGACAGTCCACATGATGCCCCAAGTCCCTTCCAATCTTTTCCTTCCTCTATCTGTAGGGGGGGTAGGAGGTATGAGAGCAAGCTCATCAAGCCAATCTCTCTAGGCAATGGCTGTGGCTGAGTAGATAAGCAACACAATAAGCATAATTGCTCTGCGCCATACCACAGATCTGGATCCTGTCCGGAGCCTGGGTGTAGGCTAGGGCCATGGCACGACTCCATCGGTGACCCTGGCGGTGCTCTTAATTGATGTATATCATAGGGCTCCCCCCTACCGGTGGTTTACCCTAATGAGACTCCCTGCAGACGGGCAGAAATCAGGATATCATTTCGCCCTATGCCTAAGGCAAACCGCTCACATCTGTAACCAATAAAGGTAAAGGTAAAGGGACCCCTGACCATAAGGTCCAGTCGTGACCGACTCTGGGGTTGCGGCGCTCATCTCACTTTATTGGCCAAGGGAGCCGGCGTACAGCTTCTGGGTCATGTGGCCAGCATGACTAAGCCGCTTCTGGCGAACCGGAGCAGCGCACGGAAATGCCGTTTAGCTTCCCGCCAGAGTGGTACCTATTCATCTACTTGCACTTTGACGTGCTTTCAAACTGCTAGGTTGACAGGAGCAGGGACCGAGCAACGGGAGCTCACCCCGTCGCGGGGATTCGAACCGCCGACCTTCTGATCAGCAAGTCCTAGGCTCTGTGGTTTAACCCACAGCACCACCCGCGTCCCTTCTGTAACCAATAAAGTTGTTGCCTATTTTATCCCACTAAGCTAAGCATTTGTGTCTGTGTGTCTATTATCTAAGGGAACTGTGGAGCCCGGGGCCTCGCCAGGCAAATACAAGAACAATAGCCAGTGTAGTATAAGCTAGGCAGAAAAGAGGTGGAGAGGCTGGAGACACAAGAGACATGCTTGCTCTGTGCTGGGCTTTGGGGCTTCCCTGGAAGCTTAATGGGAAAGCAAGATCTGTTGGGAAGTTAATGCTGTTAAGGCCCCTCCAGTCCCTGCCAGTCTCAAGAAAACTGAACTTGAGAATGTGCTGAAACCCCTGGAATCTCTCACCATTTGGAGACTGGGGTGGTGTGTAACATTATTAAGATCACCATTATTATTATTCTATTTATAAAGTCAGCTCCTGGAGCTAAAGATTGATTGTTAACGATGTTAACATTGTTTTAAAGATTATAAATGCTGTATTGATTTGTTAATCATATAATATGGCTTGCTTTAAATGTGACGTTTATCTTATTTTTTAGTAGTTGATTTGTAAGCAGTGTTTTATAGATTGCAAATGTTCTACGGATGATTTGTTAATTATTCTATTTCATTTATGTTGTTATTTGTGATGTTCTATTATGTTCTATCATGTTATCACTATATATATTTTTTGTTTGTAAGCCGCTTTGGGATTCATTTGAATGAAAAGACACATAGAAATATAATAAATCAAATCAAATCAAAACATATATTCTGCCTATGTGAGGCAATTTTTAAAACTCATACTTTAACAAAAAAATAATATCCTCTTTTTTCAGAAGTTTGGCTCTACGGAAGAAAACAAGCACTCTCATGAAATGAAAGATTCCTAAAAATTATGAAGGTGTTTGTTAAAACTTGCATATCCTCTTTAAAACAACAACTGTGAAATGAATCTTCCTTTGTTGTTTAGTCGTTTAGTCGTGTCCGACTCTTCGTGACCCCATGGACCAGAGCACGCCAGGCACATCTGTCCTCCACTACATCCCGCAGTTTGGTCAAACTCATGCTGGTAACCTCGAAAACACTATCCAACCATCTCGTCCTCTGTCGTCCCCTTCTCCTTGTGCCCTCCATCTTTCCCAGCATCAGTGTCTTCTCCAGGGAGTCTTCTCTTCTCATGAGGTGGCCAAAGTACTGGAGCCTCAGCTTCACGATCTGTCCTTCCAGTGAGCACTCAGGGCTGATTTCCTTAAGAATGGATGCGTTTGATCTTCTTGCAGTCCATGGGACTCTCATCTTCCTTTACACATTGCCAAACACATCAAAGCAGAGTTTTTCAAACCTTTCACACTGGTGACCCCTTTTTAGACATGCATTATTTCACAACACAGTAATTGAGTTTTACTAGCAAACTGGAGGTTAAACTAACCCCTTCCCAGCCCCAGGAGGAGAATTGGGGTTTGGCTTTTGCTGCCCAACTCCCCATGGGATTCTTTGAGTCCCCTAAGTCCATGATTTTTACCTCAGCATGGGGAGCATTCACACGACACACCTACACACTGCAGCCGACACACTAACCTTTCGCAACACAGAGTTTGGAAATCTCTGCCTTAAAGTTTTCATGAAATAAATAAATAAAGCGAACCAAGGGCTGGGTTAAACTAAAAAAGCCCCGCCAGTGGAAACCTGTTCAAGAACTTCCAAAAGTACAACAGGACTACCCCAACTCCTCCACCCATTACTGCATCAAATTGGCTTGGGGAAGGGGTCCAGAGAACCCCTGGAACAGTAAGTGGGAGGAGAGAGAAGTTGATTCCCTCAGGCCAGCAGAGATGCAGAGCCATTTGCTTAGTGCTACACTGAATTACTCCCAGGGGATATTGGGAATCTTAAGCGCAGAACTAGGAAAACTTGCTTTTTTAAAAGAGAGAGAGAGAGGAAAAGAGAGAGAGGGAGAGAGAGAGAGAAGAACCTATGGATATAAAAAGTGAGGTACAAATGTACATTGGAAGTCGAACGGAATCCATTCCGGAAGTACATTCAACTTCTGAAAAGTTTAGAAAACAAGGCACGGCTTCTTATTGGTTCCTGATTGCGCAGGCGCTCCGGAAACAATAGCGGAAGCTGCACCAGACATTCGGCTGGAAAAAAAAAACATTCGAAAACCGGAACACTCACTTCTGGTTTTCGATTGTTTGGGAGACAGAACGTTAGACTCCCAAGGCGTTCGGGAGCCGAGGTATGACTGTATGTATTTGAAAGTCATCATTTCAGAAGAAAAACAGGAAAACCTTTTGCATTACTAAGTCTGACTGCATAAGCAGGTTAACCATATGTGTACAAACCTAAACACAGGATCTCTTCTCATAACTGGCCTGCCATATTTCGCCGTCAGACAGCGAAGTAAAAGAATGAGAACCACAATGTGGAAGTAAGGCTAAACAAAACAAAAAACAAAAAAATCAGAAACAACCAATTATGTTCAAGAAGTGTACAGACCTATAACCAATTTAAGTCACTATATTTGGGCTACAGTCCTATAAACCAGTAGCGGGGGTGGCCTCTTTCCTCTTCATTTGGCCCATGCAGCCATCTGGGGTAAACCAACACACCTGCCAATCATCTGACATCCTAACCATACCATGCCTGGGGCAACTAAGGGGATCTCCCATCTTAACACCACAACACTAAGATCAGAGACAAGCAAGATGCTCTTATCTACAATGTGGTCTTAGTGTTCTAGTGCTCATCAGTAAGATAGGGAGATAAGATTCCTCTCCTTGCCATTTAAAAACCAGGTAGAGAGATCCATTGTAGAGAAGGATTTTGTATGATGTAGGTACACTTTCAGAGCTCTGCGCACATCCAGGGAGTGCCAGGCTTGCTTCTTAGGTTATTTTGGATGCAGACGGAAAGTCAGAGAGTCAGATCTTGTTGGACGTGGAACCTAGATAGACTTTTGGAAGGAAGGAAAGAGTCTGAACATAGCGCCACCTTATCCTTGTGGAAAATACAAAGACGTTTAGGTGTAGAAAGGGCTGAAAACTCTGACACTGTGTGCCGAAGTGATTGCCACCAAAAGAGAACTTTGAAGGAAAGGATCCTTAGGGGTGCAAGACATATAATTGATATAATAGAAAGGTTGGAAGCGAAAAGAAATTGTAAAGCAATGTTCATGTTTATTGATGCTGAAAAGGCCTTTGATAATGTTTCTTGGTTATTTATGATGAAAAATCTAGAAAAAATTGAGGTTGGCCAGGAATTTTTAAATGGTATTAATGCGATCTATTTTGAACAAAAAGCAAAAATCATAGTTAATAATGTGGTCTCAGAGGAAGAATTGAGAAAGGAACCAGGCAAGGGTGCCCGCTTTCCCCTCTGCTATTTATTTCTGTTCTGGAGGTTTTGTTAAACATGTTGAGGAAAGAGGAGGAGGTTAAAGGCATTGTAGTAGGATCCAAGCAATATAAATTAAAAGCCTTGCTGATGATTTGGTTTTTAACATTACAAGATCCAGAAACCAATGCAGTGAAAGCACTGGAGCTGATTCAAGAGTTTGGGCAGGTAGCAGGATTTAAATTAAACAAGAGCAAAACCAAAGTTTTAGAAAAAAACTTAGATAATGAGGAAAGAAAAAAACCTTTTTGAAAGGACAGGCCTTGTTTTGGTGAAAAAAGTTAAATACTTGGGTGTGAACTTATCGGTAAAGAATTTGAATCTTTACAAAGATAACTATGAAAAATTATGGAATGAAATTAAGAGAGATCTTGAGGTATGGTCAAATCTAAAACTCTCATTGATGGGCCGAATACCGGTGGTTAAGATGAATGTATTGCCGAAGATGCTGTTTTTATTTCAAGTTTTACCAATCATTGATAATGTCAAATGTTTTAAAGAATGGCAGAAGGTATTGTCTAAATTTATCTGGCGGGGGGGGGGGACTAGAATTAAATACAAATTACTTACAGATATAAAAGAAAGAGGGGGCTTTTCCCTGGCAGATTTGAAGATATATTTTGAAGCTGCTGCATTCTGCTGGATCAAGGATTGGATACAATTAGAGAATGATGATGTGTTAGACTTGGAGGGACTGGATAATCGATTTGGATGGCATGCATATCTATGGTATGACAAGGTAAAGGCCCACAGGGGTTTTAAGAATCATGTAATTAGAAAGGCATTATATAATGTATGGACTAGATACAAAGATCTCTTAGTAAGAAAAACATCAAAATAGATTTCACCAATGGAAGCACAGGCCCCAAAAAAGTTAAATATGGAAAACAAATGGTTGAGGTATTCAGATTTGTTGTTAGAGAATCAGGAAGGTTTTAAATTAAAACCATTTGAACAAATTAAAGATAAAGTTAATTGGTTGCAATATTATCAAATTAACAAATTATATAAGATGGATAAGAGAAATGGTTTTGCAACAGAAAAAACCAAATTGGAAACTGGAGTTGTTAGATACTAATGATAAGAATGTGTCTAAAATGTACAGTTTGTTGTTGGAGTGGCATACAAAGGATGAACAAGTTAAATCGGTCATGATTGATTGGGCAAGGGATGTGGAACATAATAGAATGATGGAGGACTGGGAGGGGCTATGGAGGAAAGGGGTTAAGTTCACTGCATGTACAATGTTAAAGGAAAATATGAAGATGATGTATAGATGGTACTTGACCCCTGTAAAATTAGCAAAGATTTATCACAAAAGTGATAATCTTTGTTGGAAATGTAAAGAAAAAGAAGGTACTTTTTTCCATATGTGGTGGACTTGTCCCAAGGTGAAAGACTTCTGGGAGAAGATTTATAATGAACTCAAAAAAATGTTGAAATATACATTTATTAAGAAACCAGAGGCCTTTCTCCTTGGAATAACAGGTTTAGAATTGCCCTAGAAAGATGTTAAGTTATTTTTGTATGCCACAACGGCCGCTCGAATATTACTTGCTAAAAATTGGAAAATACAAGAACTACCAACAGTGGAAGACTGGCAGATGAAGATGATGGACTTTTCGGAGCTAGCTGACCTGACTGGAAGAATCCGCGACCAGAAAGAAGAGGAGTTTCAAGGACTATTTGAACAAATATTGTAACATAAAAAATTAGAAATTACTTGAAAGAAACAAATAGGCCTAGGATAAATTAAGTTATAATTAAATAAATGGGATTCAGAATGTCAAGAAAAGTGAATGACTATAATTGGAAATTGTTTTAGTTTAATAATGATATTGGAAAGCTGTTACTTTTAAATTACAATGAAACTCAGAAGGGAGGGATTTGAGGAAGTCAATCAAGATGTTTAAAAAGTTGGATTTGTGAAGAATTAAGTTTGTTATTATTGTTTATTTGTTTATTGTTCCCCCCTTTCCCCCTCCCTCCCCTTTTTTCTTCTTCTTCTTTTTTCCTTTTTTGTTTTTGTGTATTATTCTGTTTTGTGGCTTGTGTTATTATGGTTGAAAATTTAATAAAAAATTATGTGTTTTTTTTAAAAAAAAAAAGAGAAAGAAAGCATTTGACTAACCAGTTCTGGGATAAGGGCAGCCTACCGGTAGCACTCAGAATTGAGGAAATGGATGAGACATGTCTTTTGAGTCGCACATCTCACCGGGCACTGATTCTGGAAAATTTATCAATATAAGTAAACAACTAAGGAATAAAAGAAGAGTGGCAAATAAGCAGAACAACCAAACAGAAAGAGCAAAGGAAAGGGTTTCATTTGTCTGTCTGTCTGTCTGTCTGTCTGTTTCTTTGTTTGTTTGGTTAGTTGGTTGGGTTTTGTGTGTGTGTAAGAAACCACAATGCATGGACAAACAAAGAACTGCAGAACTAAAACGATGATAAGGGAAATCTAAAGAAAATGAGGGTTCAGAAACTAGTAAAAAACTTAGTTGAGTCAGGAGAGCTGGGAGGAATGTACTGTACAGGTGAAACTAGGAAAATCAGAATATTGTGGAAAAGTTCATTTATTTCAGTAATTCAACTTAAACCATGATCATCACAATTATAACAAATAAAGGCTTGACATATCTCGCTTGGCATGTCATGATTCTATCTCATATATTAGTTTCATCTTTTAAGTTGAATTACTGAAATAAATGAACTTTTCCACAATATTCTAATTTTCTAAGTTTCACCTGTACGCATCTAGACAGGAGGAAAAACTGAGGAAGTCCAGCCTGCTCCCCACAAGTCTTTGCTCCTGTCTAGTGTCTCGCAACAAGGTGAACACCCATTCCATTGGATACAACACCCTACGAACTAAAATATCTCCCCTACAAATATTGAATTCATTTCTCACCATAAAGGAAGCCGCCCAGATCAGATTCACTAATGGTCTCTCTCCATCATAAAGCGGTACACTCAACATCTGTAAGGAAAAAAAGGTGATTATGTAGATTATTCCCTCTAATACTGAAGTCAGGTTGTGCCAGTGCCTGTCAGCTTGAAAGTTAGTGTCCCGCCAAATTAAGTTAATTGTTTCTGCTTACTCAGAAGTATACTAGTTTGTGAAGTAAAAGAAAATGACTTCGAACGACAATGACTTGAGGACCTGTGAGCTTCTAAGACCTACATTATGTCGAGTGTTTCTTGTTGTGGGAGATAGGAAAATTGGGAACTGCAGGTCTATGCAGGATTGTTTTTTATGTATTAAATCTGTATACTGCCTTTCATCTGAAAATTGCAGGGCAATTCACAGCATATAAATACGAGACAAAAGATACAAAACGCATAATAAGGACAAGAACAAACCAAAGCAACAAACATTCCCCCCTTCCAAAAAAACATGTAAAAGGACAGAGGATGTTAGTCAGCCAAATGCCTGGCTGCAGAGGATAAACTACACTTCCCAGAATCCTTTTCATGAGGCAGAGGAGAGGATGGGCTCCAAATGTATGCCCGGTGGTGTGTGTGTGTGTGTGTGTGTGGGCAGCCAGAATCAATAGATGGGGGGGTGATTCCCAGAGGGCCTGGAGCCCCCTCTAGACGTGGAGGGGGGCAACAGAGCAAGGGAGGAATCCTGGAATTTAGTACCAAAATGTCCCATTGGATCTCTGCGAAAACAAATTTGCTAGTCATTTTGTGAGTAAAGTCACTCAGGTTTGTTTGGAATTGAATGCCATGATTAGGATTAAGCCATATGGAGGCATCCAAATGGAGCAGAGCTGTTGGATCACTTTCAGTTACAGTGGTACCTCGGGTTACGAACTTAATTCGTTCCGGAGGTCCGTTCTTAACCCGAAACCATTCTTAACCTGAGGTACCACTTTAGCTAATGGGGCCTTCCGCTGCCACTGCGCCGCAGCCGCACAATTTCCATTCCCATCCTGGGGCAAAGTTCGCAACCTGGAGCAACTACTTCCAGGTTAGCGGAGTTTGTAACCCAAAGCATTTGTAACCCAAAGCATTTGTAACCCAAGGTACCACTGTTTTACTGTATTTTTCACTCCATAAGGAGCACCAGACAATAAGGCGCACCTAGTTTTTAGAGGGGGAAATCAAGAAAAAAAATCTTATCCCCCCCCCCTCAGCCCCAAAGAGCAAAGAAGCCAAGACAGCGAGTGGGATCCATCCCGCTCGCTGTCTTGGCTTCTGCCATAGCTGCTCGCAGCCTCTCCCGGCTAGAGAGGTTGCATGAGGCTAAAGAAGCTAAGACAGCGAGCGTGATCCATCCTGCTCGCTGCCTTGGCTTCCTCTTTAGCCGTGCACAACCTCTCCAGCCAGGAGAGGCTGCACGCGGCTAAAGAAGCCATAGCCGCACACAGCCTCTCCCGGCCAGAGGGGCTGTGCGCGGCTATGGCAATACCCCTACCTCCCGCAAAAGTCCACAGGAGCCGCGCAACCCTTTAAGGAGTGCGCAGCTCCTGCGGGCTTTTCTATGAGGAGGGAGAAGGGACTGACTGGCTGCGTCAGTCCCTTCTCCCTCCTGGGGAAAAGCCCGCAAGAGCCGTGCGGAGCTTGTGTGCAGCTCTCGCGGTTTTTTCCTGCCTGCCTCCCTCCTGCATTCGCTCCATAAGACGCACACACATTTCCCCTTACTTTTTAGGAGGGAAAAAGTGTGTCTTATGGAGCAAAAAATATGGTATATCCCGAGGATGTGGAGAGCACCTCTAGGGGTGGAGATGTCTTCCGCTCCCCTCAATATTTGTTTGAAGGAGAACCAGCTCAATGTTGTGGAAAGCTGCACCAGCCTGTGCAGCATCTCCCAGCAATGCGGGGACCAACATAGCCTACCAGAAGGCTGTGCCAGCCAGTGCAGTAGTAGGAGACATGTGTGGTGTCACGTGACATGCACATGACGTCACACATGCGTGCTGTGCTCCAATCCCCCCAATCTTGAGGCTAAACCGGCACCGCCGGTAGAGCAGATTCCTGAAAGTGTGGGGCCAATGATGTGATTCCTTGATCCTCTGCTTCATAAGAGCAAAATGCAGGGGATTGACCAGGGAGTAATTAAAACTTCATTATGGGAGAAGGTGGTGCCACCATCCTCGAAAAAGGCAACAGTATGACCTCTCCTCAATTTGACACCCTGGACCCAGAAGTGTTAATAACTATGTCTCTGTCACCATTATCCCTCTTTTCGGCCATGTGGTTGGGAGTGTGGTGGCAAGGCTGCTTCAGGCATCCTTTAAAAAGGTAAAGGGGCCCCTGACCATTAGGTCCAGTCGTGACCGACTCTGGGGTTGCGGCGCTCATCTCGCTTTACTGGCCGAGGGAGCCGGCGTACAGCTTCCGGGTCATGTGGCCAGCATGACTAAGCGCTTCTGGCGAACCAGAGCAGCGCACAGAAACGCCGTTTACCTTCCCACCAGAGTTGTACCTATTTATCTACTTGCACTTTGACGTGCTTTCAAACTGCTAGGTTGGCAGGAGCTGGGACCGAGCAACGGGAGCTCACCCCGTCATTCTTAGGTGAAACTAATTATCTAGACCCATTCCAATCCAGTTCCAGCATCAGATTTTGGGACTGAAACTGCCTTGATGTCAGGGACAGTGCTGAGGAGGGCTGCACAGATGAGGAATGGTGGGAGCCTCCCCCTGCTCCCACAGTGGGACAGTATAGATTTGGAATAGTGGTTCACAGAGGGACATAGTTCAGAAGACAAAAATTGGGAAGAACTGGGTGGTGAACAACTAGGATAAGAAGAACCGGGAGAGAGTTAACAGGCTCTGGTTCGCTGGAAAGTGTCCAGCTGATCAGCCCAAGGTCAAGGAGATTAGATAAGGTAGCTGCACAGAGGACACAGTAGTTGCGAGATCAGGTTCCAAAAGAGGAGGTGGCTTGGGGGGGGATGGGTGTAAACCTTAATTGGGAGCACCTTTATTCTGAGAATGGACTCTTTATTCTTTTTCTGTGATCATTAAAATCTCTTTAAATGGCAATAGTATATTTTTGCTTCATTCTGCTTATCCACGGGCCAAAGGGAAGGAGGAAGCCACTTCCCCGAAGCCTAACACTTGGTCACCCTGGTTGATTACAGTGGTACCTTGGGTTACAGACGCTTCAGGTTACAGACTCCGCTAACCCATAAATAGTACCTCAGGTTAAGAACTTTGCTTCAGGATGAGAACAGAAATCGTGCTCCAGCAGCCCAGCAGCAGCAGGAGGCTCTATTAGCTAAAGTGGTACCTCAGGCTAAGAACAGTTTCAGGTTAAGAACAGACCTCCAGAATGAATTAAGTTCTTAACCGAGGTACCACTGTATTTTTGTTAAGTGCAGGGGAAGCAGAATCTCCTATTGGATCTTCTTGACCTCCGTGCAGCTTTTGATACCAAAAGGTCTGTTATGCCAATTTCAACACAACACTGCCGCGCATCAGAACCTGCACTGTGATGGTGGAATGCAGTCAGGGAGCAGCCTCAATACCTCAGCCCTGAAATCCCTTGACAAGTAACAACAGCTGTGTATTTCTGGGATTACAGACAGATTGCAGATGTGCCATTATGAATCTGGTGGCCCATGATGAGCTACTGTTTCCTTAACCCAAGAGTGCAGTTGCAAAGCGATAGCCTAGCGGACCCAAACCTTTTCGAATTGTGTGATAAATTCAGAAACTGGACACCAAATAATGCCGATTTCATAGGTCGAAAAATTGGTCATGTTTGGAACTCCCCCACCCTGCAAAAGCCACAGACAAAATGCACAGACAACACCACATAAAAACAGGAAGCCTCCCAACCCCAAGACATCATTTTAAAAATGAAAATAAAATTGGAAGGGGCAGGTGGTCTTGGTATGTGACAAAGGTACCAAGGGCTCTTTGGTGCCCTAAGGGGCAAGTTCAATATACCAGGAATAGGCTGCACTTTTGCTTACCGCCGTGAAACTAAACATAAATTCTGTTGCTGTAAACAGGGGAAGAATTATTATTAGTAGATAATGCACATAGTCGATTGCAAAGACTCCATTAATCAAAGCAAGCACGTTCACCTGAAATGAAACAAGAAAAAGTATATTAAGCTTTTGAACAGATTAAACAGCTTCTTCCCCTTTTGTTTTCCATACTGAGGCTTAACTCCTTTACACCCTAAATGAAACACAACCAAGTGTGTGTAAACTACATCTCTCAACTTACGTAGGGGTTATGTTCTGAGAACAGAGTGTGAGGCCAATAATCACGTATGTCAAAATATAATGGATTCTATGGTGGGTGGGATTGCCAAAGTCTTTTTTCTTGGATACCTGCCCTGCTTTCTGTCCCCTTTCAACTTTTATTATTATTATTTTTATTTGCCAAGTGCATAAAACCAAAATGCTCAGAAGTTAAGTGTGAATTAAGTTGAGAGTTACCACTCTGTGGGTAGTGGGTGAATCCCACCTCCCACCCCACTGGAAGATGCAAATTGCTGGGGTGGGAGGTGGAATTCACTCGATACCATAGAATGCAATCTATACCTCATGGCTAGCCCAAGACATATTGGCATCTGAGGTGGACCCCAAAGTGGCTTCCCCTCCCTGCCAGAGAAGAAGGGGTGGGGGAAGATCTATATTGGGAATGAGGGGGAAAGAAAGTTTGACACCGGGAACTGCTGCCACTGTGGATTCCAACGCCTGAGGCGGTTGCCTTAGCTTGCCTCATGGGTGAGCTGGCCCTGAATAAGATCTACATTGGGTTCTGTTGCCCCAATGGATCCTGCTACCTGAGGCAGTTGCCTCACCTTACCTCACAGCCACTGGCTTAACAGGCATTATTGAGAAAGGGGCAAATGATAGTATCCTATTCTAATGGCAAGAAGAAAAGTTTTTTGTGGCAGAATATAAGACAGGTATAAGGTATAAGGGACACGGGTGGCATTGTGGTTAAACCACAGAGCCTAGGACATGCCGATCAGAAGGTCGGTGGTTCGAATCCCTGCAACGGGGTGAGCTCCCATTGCTCGGTCCCTGCTCCTGCCAACCTAGCAGTTCGAAAGCATGTCAAAGTGCAAGTAGATAAATAGGTACTGCTCCGGCAGGAAGCTAAAGGTGTTTCCGTGCGCTGCTCTGGTTCGCCAGAAGCGGCTTAGTCATGCTGGCCACATGACCCGGAAGCTGTACGCCGGCTCCCTCAGCCAGTAAAGCGAGATGAGCACCGCAACCCCAGAGTTGGTCACGACTGGACCTAATGGTCAGGGGTCCCTTTACCTTTACCTATAAGACAGGTACAGATCTCTTTGGGCAGCTCCTGAAGAAGGGTCCTCACAGTCCCAAGCATGGAATAACTTGGCTCAAATGCAGACAGTTTGCAGGAAGTATTTAGAACAGGGTTTCCCAAACCTGAGTCTCCAGCTGTAGTTGGACTACAACTCCCATCATCCTTAGCAAGCAGGAGCAGTGGTGAGGGGTGAGGGCAGTTGTAGTCCAACAATAGCCGGAGACCTGATTTAGAATACCGCTTAAGTATGCACACTTAAAGGATCACTGCTCATGCTCTTTTCTGTTCAACATGTCATTCAGTCTTACATTATTTCACATTATTAAATTTGAAGCATCCATTGATTTGTCTACTTTAATGGAAAATTATAAACAATTAGAGGTATTGTAAGATTAAGGATATAAGGAAATAAATGATCAGTCAGTGGTCTGGTCATAAAACTTACCAAGATTAAGACGAATGACCAAAAACTGCTAGCATGCCATTTGTTGCGAAACATGAAGGCAATTACATATAGGAATAAGACCATTGATGTGCTGTAGCCAAACAGAAATGACACCTGTTAAGAAGGAGGTTAATATTTATTGTTAAGACTGGTATCTGAAAACAAGGGTTTTCTGGGAACTCATTTCATATGACCAAACTATACAGAAGGCCCATTATGTTTGGGTGAGTTTACTCCCTTGTAAACTATTGAGGATCGCAGCCCAAGTTTATTATTCAGTGGAAATGGTTCAATGTTTGTAACATTTGTAAACATTAGTTTGTAAGCATTGTAAACATTAAAGGTCATTTAAAGACTATTAAAAAGTAATGTAAGTAATTATACTCACCAAACATAAAATTGTGGTAGCAGGGGACATGAGATCCCACAATGTTTAATAGTCTGAGCCACGGCCAAAGCAGCAGCAGGAGGAGAATAAAATGCAAAGGGACGTCCACCAGAGCTAATCCACACCAAAAGGCAGAAGGGAAGAGTCCTGAGGCCCGCAACTGAGAACAAGCTTTTATCTAGCAAAGAAAATTGCAAGAGATAATTATGCCCTTCAGTATATGATTTGTGCCAAGATACATAATAAAGGTAAAGGTAAAGGGACCCCTGACCATTAGGTCCAGTCGTGACCGACTCTGGGGTTGCAGCGCTCATCTTGCTTTATTGGCTGAGGGAGCCGGCGTACAGCTTCCGGGTCATGTGGCCAGCATGACTAAGCCGCTTCTGGCAAACCAGAGCAGCGCACGGAAATGCCATTTACCTTCCTGCTGGAGTGGGTACCTATTTATCTACTTGCACTTTGACGTGCTTTCGAACTGCTAGGTTAGCAGGAGCAGGGACCGAACAACGGGAGCTCACCCCGTCACGGGGATTTGAACAAGCTGATTTGAACAGCATCTGTAACCTGAAGCGCCTGTAACCCGAGGTACCACTGTATAGCAGTTTTATTCCCCCCCTTTTTTGGTGTGCTCATTTTTTCTCAATTCCGAAATGTATATTGTATTGCTCTTTTTATCACTGTTTCAGCTTGTTTGTTTTTTATAACTTTTTTTAATAGGGCAGTCTCTACAGTTCAAAAACAAATATTAAAACATTCAAAGGGAGATCTGGACTGGGATATAAGAGCTAGCATAAAACTGAAAGTTTTTATTTCTTCCATTGTGGCACATTGGAATCAATAGAATCGTTAGCTCCCCATTGGCGATCTTCCTAAGGTTTGAACATAAATCCAAGAGCTATATCCAACTCAAATAAGTTATCATAAAAACAAGAATGTAGGGGTGATAGGCCCCAAAGATATGATTCTGTCTTATGCACATTTAACTTGTGCGATTTCAACCATATGCAGTTGAACACTGCTGATTGACGTTAAATGCTGGTGTGTGGAAAAGGCTTTGCTTGGGAAGTGAGGCAGAGGAACTTAGAAACTATTTTTACACTGGATTTTCCTGGGTGCACATAGAGCTTTTAAGCTATCTGGCTTGCTTTCTGAGCAAGGCTATCTCCTCTCACCAGTCTGGGATGCTCCCACAAGATTACATAAAAGTTTGGTTCCAAGGGTTTGAGTTCATGCATTTTGCCTATACGGGCGACCCTTTGGAACTAAACTCCCACATAAGACACAATTGTACTGCAATGCCAAGGGTGCTGTGGGTGCTTGGACAGTAAACTATATGCAGATCCAAAATTGATAGATAATCTACTGAATTTGATGTCAACTAAAAAAAAGGTAAAGGTACCCCTGCCCGTAAGGGCCAGTCTTGACAGACTCTAGGGTTGTGCGCCCATCTCACTCAAGGAGGGCCTGGGGGCCAGCGCTGTCCGGAGACACTTCGGGTCACGTGGCCTAGCATGACATCGCTGCTCTGGCGAGCCAGAGCCGCACACGGAAACGCCGTTTACCTTTCCCGCTAGTAAAGCGGTCCCGTATTTATCTACATTGTCACCCGGGAGTGCTTGTGAACTGGCTGAGGTTGGCAGGCGCTGGGACGCCAAAGCAGCGGGAGCGCCACCCGCTGCGGGGATTCGAACTGCCGACCTTTCGATCGGCAAGCCCTAGGCGCTGAGCTTTT